CCTCATGAGAAGACTCCCTGGAAAAGACCCTGATGTTGGGAAAGATGGAGGGGACAAGGGGAAGGGGACGACAGAGGACTGATTGTAGTCCCAATCATCTTCCCCCAAAATACTGTTACAGGTTTGGGGGTCAATCTGGATGATACCTGGGGAGTCCCTTGCAGGCCTGTGATCCTGAATCCATGAGGTTTGCAATCTAGTAGTATGCAAAGCAAGTTTCTTCGTATGATAAGGGCCTTGGTTGACCAACTAAGTCCTGTTATTCACCACATCCAAAGAGATTGCTCTGCTGCCAAAGACCAATGGCTCTGCCATTTCCACCTCATTTGCCTGGATGCTTTGGGGTTGCACTTAATGATACCAAGACAACACTGCTTCTGTTCTGAGAGAGCATCTTTCTAATCAGCAGGCCAGAATGGAAAATGACCTGAAGTTAAAATGTATACTTTTTTTTACTTTCCAACGATTCCAAGTACCAGTTTCTGGAACCCATAAGAGGGCGAGGTCTCTTGCGCTGCTCAGGTCCTGCTTGCAGGTTTGACCACTATGGTGACAGGATGCTGGACTAAATGGGCCCCCTTTGGCCTGATCCCGCAAGTTCTTCTTGACATCCCAGTGCCTTTGATGAGCTGTAAACTCTGGAGAGTCTTTCAGATCTCTCTCCTATAACCTGCTGACCTTTTTATTTATTTCTAAGACAGCTTTATTTTACATTTTGGACAGATGGCTGTGTTTGTGCACCTTTAGAGTCTGTCTAAGCTGCCTTGAACATCAATGCCTAAACAAAAGGCAAGGTATAACTTTCAGTGAATAAGTAAGAAAGACAGACAGATAGAAAGAAAGAAGATAAAATGGACGTATGGATGGTCTCCTCCCCTCCCCCTGCACTAGTGGTTAGCTATATTAGATTGAGAGGCTTGCACAATGGATAGAATACACCCCCCAAAAATTGCACTAGTATGGCATTTGCCAACCAGGTCCCCTCCACTCATTTCAGACTACAACTCCCATCTGCCTCAGGCCACACAGCTTTGCCTACATTGCCTCATTCATTTTTAGAACAGCCCCTTATGGTAGTCCAGTATTATCATTCGCATGTTAACAGGCTGGGATTGAGAGGGATTTGCCAAAATTCCACCTAGAGCGTGCAGTACATGGGGTTCAGAGTACTGTTTAGGGTGACTGGCTGCTTTGTGCATTAGTGCTGGCTGGAGGAGATACGTATTTTATAGCAGTAAATGGTTGTAGCGTTTGTGTGAATGGCAGGAGTGGTATTGTCAGTGGTTGCGGTAAGAGTGTGTTTTATGTAAACTTGCATCAGGCTGGCTGCCTAGTGTTTTCCCCCTTCATCTCTAAGTTATATAGACGCAGATAGTATGCATATTCTGTATGTTTGCATTTGGAGTAATCTTAAGGTAAATCACCTAAGCTTGTGATTAGTGTAATTTATGTATTTTGATTTTCCTTACTGTAAGGAAAGCGCTATACTGGTGAATAACAAGCAATCTGTAAATGTACTGATTAAACAAATAAGGGTCACTTGGTGTGTTTGTGGCTAAGATGAGATTCAAGCAGGCAACCACAAAGGTCGTTAACTTGCAAAGGAGCAACCAGGCTCCTGATAGTTGCTTTGCAGCCATGTATTTTTCTGTCCCATATCTCATGTCACCTATGTCATCAGCTGTGGGGCAGTAGTTTGTGGGTTGAGGTAAAATGGCATCACGGGCCAATTTAGGAGCCCAGCTGGGCTGACTTGGCCCATGGGCCAGAGGCTCCCCACTGCTGATTTAGCCACTCCCCCACCCCAGCTCTCTTGTAATGAATAACATTCTGCTCGGAAACTCCCCCCCCCCAACCTTGCAAAGCAGCTCACAATGATCACGGACCACATTTCACATTAGGAGGTGGTGCAGTTGTTTTATTTCGAAGCCACTGTGATGACTTGGCACACACAACGTTGAGTGGTCTTTTGGTCCTGCGTACAAGAGCACATTCACAGATCAAAAGCAGCCTATGTTCTCTCCAATAGGGGTATTTGCAAAGCTTTTACCCTATGCTAATTCACAAGGGGCCCAACCCACTCGCACTTGCTGACATGGAGAAAAGGAGGAGGGTTCGTGATGGTTGTGGCTCCACCCACATTTCATCAAGAGCCTCCCACCCCGCAGTGGAACTCCCATAAGCCCCAGTCAACATTGCCAAAAATCATGGATGAGGGGAGCTGTAGCCCAGGAACATTGGAGGGCTACAGACCCGCTGCCCTTGTGCTGGACACTTTAAGGAGGATCCAGCTGCTAGCTGAAATAGGAGTCACCCCTTCCCCAAATTAATGCTTACAATTCCCTCCTGGCTCACAACAGGGGAAGCAGGAGAGATGAGGAAGTGAGACAAAGACCCTGGTTTGCATGTAAAGCTGAAGAAAACTATGGCTAAGTGTGTGAATGGGTGAGTACTCACAGCATAAACCGCCTCAAATGTTCCACCATCTTCCTGCTCTGCTGCATCCTGCCAGAGCTAAACTCCAGGGTGGATACACTTGACAAACTGCGATCAATAAACTACGAACAAACTTTGGCTACAGCTCCTGGCTTGCTTGAAATCAGACACAGCAAACAGCCAATATTAGACCAGAATGCTAAGCCAAACATGGCAAAGCAGCAGCAGGGTTGGTGAGAAGTGAAGCTTGCAGGCTTTTGCTGTGAATACCTAGACACTCTCTCATTCACATTTAAGTCATAGCTTGGTTTAGTGTTACAGTGGTACCTTGGGTTACAGATGCTTCAGGTTACAGACTCCACTAACCCAGAAATAGTGCTTCAGGTTAAGAACTTTGCTTCAGGATGAGAACAAAAATCATGCTCCAGCGGTGCGGCAGCAGCAGGAGACCCCATTAGCTAAAGTGGTGCTTCAGGTTAAGAACAGTTTCAGGTTAAGAACGGACCTCCAGAACGAATTAAGTACTTAATCCGAGGTACCACTGTATGTGTGAACTTGGCCAAAGAGGATGGGAGAACAAACAAGGTGTGTGGGGGTGGCGCGGGAGGGGGTCTCAGCTTGTGGCACTCTCCTGCTTCTCTTTTTACTTCTCATGGCACCAAGAATGAGTGGATGTGGCTCCTGTGGGCAGATGCTAGCAGAAGCCCCAGACGAGGAACAGCGCATGCACTCCAGGTGAAGCGCGGAGGGTGCTCTTCCCCCTCCACACCTCCTGCCCCTGCTGGGAGAGCGCTTGAGCGCAAAGTGGGGGCAGGAGGTGCAGAAGAACACGCCCACTGGTTGGGGCCTCCAGCAGTGGATGGGAGAGTGCTTGTGTGCTGGATGAAGAATGGGGAAGGTCATCTTCACGCTCCCTGCTATGCAGCTCCTGCCACCAGCAGGCTGCAATGGGGATCTATGCGGGGAGGGGGCTGGTTTGTGCCCACCAAACTGTGTGCCTGGGGCAACACCCCCTGCCCCCCCACCCCTGGATGCCAGTCCCCTCAGCATTATGCAAAATTGAATGCTATTCCTTCCAAGTCATGGCAGCACGTATCACCCTCCCTTACAGTTCAGCCTCACAACAGAAGTGAGAGAGACTCCCTCAAGAGAATCCCTGTTCTATTTCCTGCTTCCAGCTCTCAGGCCACAGTAGTCTGCCAAGAGAACGCTGCAGAGGGACAGGTAGCCCAGGGTGGGTCTGAAAAATCCAAGAGACTCCTGTCTTGCTATACAGGCCTGACTGCAGGGTGACACTGATGCTGTAACTCACAATAATAAATATTTAACCATTATTTGACTGCTCAAGTGTTCTTCCCTCCACAAAGGTGTAATCCCAAAAGTTAGCTTGGGAGGACTCAGGGTAACAATCTGCTAACCACCTTGGGTCCCTGCGCCTTAAGAGCTCTGATGTCTTGGAGGTGTGGTAGGGGCCCAGTTATGCCGACTCCACCCACCTCACCACCTGTAACAGGACATCTGAATTATCTCACAAGTGCCTACAGGATTCCAAGCAGCATCCACAATGCAGGGTGAGATACTGGCCCCGGCGCTTGCAGTCAATGTCATAGAAGGAAGGGCTTGAGGGTGAGATCAAGGACTGAGGAGGTAAAGGAAACAAAGAGACACTGCGGGTGAGGACAGGAATAGTCAGGTGTGGCAGAGGGAGGCTCCAGGAGGAAGCCTGGAAGCCATACAAAGCAGAAGAGGGGGAGCCTGGCTGGCTGCCGGACACAAAAACGGATGCCACTTCAGATGAGAGGAACAACATGAGAGAAAGGCCCAGAAGAAAACAAAGACAACTGGGGCATGCAAGTTTAGCCTTTCTAGTCTAAGCACATACTTTCCACAAAGGGTGGGTTGGGTTGTTGGGGACAGGAACTCAGTCTGGGCAGAGGCACAGAGGCGATTGCCATATTCTGTAGCAGCAGCCTTCACCCATTTTAAATCAGGAAAGCGACTTCACTCACAACAGTCAAACAAGTTTAGGGGTGAAAATGGTCAGATAGAGGGTAAGAAGAACAGAAGGCAAGTATCAAATGTTAAACAATACAGTTTTAAAAAATCACAGATGGACTAACAAATATTAAGAGCTTATAATTATCCAGTGCTTTCTCCCCATAAGAACTCAAGATCCCCCCTCCCCCCCCGCTGAAAAACATATCTATCACAGGGTATGTCTGTATTTACTCCTTCAGCCCACAAACCGGTAACTGCTTCCTGGAGGTACAATTCAAGTACCCTTCAGAAAAAGGGGGCCATCCAGCGCTGCCTTACCTAAATATCAAAGGAGGCAGGCTTATGCCTCTGTTCTTTCCACGCTAAGGACAAAGACACTTGGAGTCACCAAACACATCAAACCACTCTAGGGCAGAAGACTTGCTACAATTTTCAGTTCAGCCCCCACAGCTCATCCAGCAGAGCCTATTAGGCCGACACCCAAGTCCAAAGCCCGAAGCAGCTCTTCACGGCTCTTCCTGCCCCAATGTTCATAGAGAGGTGCTCCATCACCCATTTCAATTCGCTCAGGCGCTTTCGCTCCGCAAACTGAGCACTGCCTGCGCCAGTTTCCCGGTGTCCAGCACCTGACTGGCCTCGGCCTGCTGGCAGCCTTTTGAGTCTGTGCCTGAGCTGCAGCTGAAGGAGTCAAAATCCACGGCAATGTCCTGGACGTTCCTCTCATTGGCGTTGTCAAAGCTGTTCTTGCCATGGAGCTGCTTGAGGTGCTTCCTAAGGACGGGCTTGTGGGCGAAAACCATGTCACAGTAGTTGCATTTGTGGGGCTTGTCCCCACTGTGCAGGTTGAGATGGTCCTGTAAGGAGCACTTCTGCGAGAAGGTCTTCCCACAGATCTTGCACTGGAAGGGCTTGATGCCTGCATGCACCCGCATGTGCCGGTGCAAGTTGCCCTTCTGTGTGAAGGTCTTGCCGCACAGCAGGCACATGAAAAGCTTGTGCATCTTCAAGTGGTTGGCGTAGTTCTCCAGATGCCGGAAAACACGTGTGCACTTGGGGCACTGGTGGTGCCACTGAAGGCCTTTGTCCACCCCCCGGTTGCTGGTGCCAAACATGTCTTTGGAAGCCATGATGAGGCTGTCTCCCCCCATGTACGAGAGGGTGTAGTTGTGGAGTTGGCCTTGCTCCAGGTCACCAGCTCGGTTCTCCACCGTGGAATTGATGAGGGAGTGCTGAGGCTCTGATGAGTGGAGGCTGTTCTGCTGCTCTGAGGAAATAAACTGGTTCTGGTCCTTCTTGCTTCTGACCTCTGCAACCTCCCCAATGGACTCCACCTTCACAATCTGGATGTCGCTATCGTCCATGTCCAGGCTGTCTTCAGAGGGTTGGATGCATGGAGAGTCTGGAAGCAAGGAGTCATCTTCCTCCTCCTCCTCCTTACTCCCCAGCCTCGGACACTCGTTTGGCTCTGAAGAGTCAGTCTGCTGAGGCTGCTTCCCCTCCTCCTTGTTTTCAAGCTGATGTTTTGGCCGGATGAATTTCCACAGGGCCTGTGTGCAGCGCTCCACAATGTGGCTCATCTGAAGAAAACTAGCCGCCGTCAGGTAGTTCACCAACTCCATCTCGGGAAACTCCAGGACACCAGTGTAGCAGGACAGAAGCAGCTGCCTCCCAACCTCCGAACTCTGGAGGATGGAGATTTTCACTTCCTTGGAGTCATTCAGCAGGAACTGATCCCTTAGGAAAGGGGAGCCAGCAGCAAAGACTATTTTGTGGCCGTGAACCTCAAGGTTGTCTATGTGGACCGTGACATCACAAAACTTCTTCTCTTCCCTCAGCTTGTCCATTTTTTGCAGCATGGAGTCCCCATAGTTGTCGAACTGGAAGTGGAGGCTATCAGTTCTCATGGTCATGTTGACAAACCTGAAAGGGGCAAGTGGATGAATACTGTGAATGCCACAGAAAGAAATAGTTTCAAGACTGTACTAGTTTCTTCCCCTGTGGCTCTCGTAATGATCACATCATCACAATAATTACTGTTTTCTCAGTTTCCCTGCTTGTCCCAAACCCAATATTGCTGAAAGAAGTGACTGGACTGTGGAAATTAGCTGTTGGAAAGTACCTCAGAAATTAGGTTATTTGCAGTGCAACCCCGAATGCATTTACTCAGGAATAAGTCTTACTAAGTTCAGTGGAGCTTACCCTCAGATAAGCGTGCACAGGACTCCAGCCTTACAAACAAACAAAATGGAAAATAAACTTAATAACTGTGGGGGGTGGGGAGGTGTTTCTGAGCAATCAAAGCAGCAGAGATGCACCATCTCATCCTAAACCTACCAATGACATTAAGCACCGAGAAAGACAAAGGCATCAACCTCTTCACTGGAGGTTTTGAAAGGGAGGCTGGACAGCCACTTGTCAGGTATTCCTTAGCTCTGATTATTGCACTGCAGGGGGCTGGACTAAATGGCCCTAGATGACACAGCTGGTGTGGGATGGTGCTGAGGCCACAACTCAGACATAGAGTACTTGCTTTGCACACAGAAGGTACCAGCTGAACCCACTCCTGCCCAGAAAGATACACAGACGCCTTCTTGAAGGTCACCAGCTCCTCACGTGACTGTACTTTGGCTCTTTCGAATTCAACACTGAGAAGAGAGGATCACTACAGTACTCACTCACAAACATACGAAGAGCCTGCTGGATAAGGTCAGTGGTCCATCTAGTCCAGCAACCTGTTCTCACAGTGGCCAACCAGATACCAGTGGGAAACCAGGGAGCAGAACATGAGCACAAGAACACTCTCCCCTCCCATGGTTTCCAGCAGCTAGTATTCAGAAGCATTATCGCCTCCAATCACGGAGGTGGAACAGAGCTATCCTGCTCAGCAGCCATTGACAGTAGCTTATCTCCTCCATGAATTCAGCTAATTCTCTTTAAAAGCTATCCAAATTAGTGGCCATCACTGCCCTGGGGCAAAACACGAGCATAGGAAGAGCTTGCAGGATCAGGCTAGCGGCCAACTCAGTCCAGTCCCCTGTCCTCACAGTAGGCAACCTCAAATGCCGCAAAGGGAAACCCGCAAGCAGGATCCGAGCACAAGGGCTGCAGTCTTCCCTCCTATTGTTCCAGTGTGTGGGGAGGTTATCTAGCGCAGCCTCCGTCCTCACAGCCCCCAACCAGATGCAACCAGATGCTTATTCTAGGAAGCCCAGAAGCAGCGCTGCTGCAGCGGCACAAGAGCAGCTCTCACGTCCACATCAAGCGCGCTGTCAAAACAACCACCACCCTCAAGCCCCACTCCGTGACCTCCACGTCCCCACTCCCTCCTTTTAGCCCAACCACGCCTCTCAACCTCCAGCTGCATTTACGGAGCGGCGGACCGCTGTCATGAATGCGGAGGGCGATGGTGGGCTGGGCTCCGCCTCGTAACGCCCCCCCCACCCCCACCGGCAATCGGAGCGCTCCTGAGGTGGGACAACCTCCGCCAGGTCTAGTGGCCGCGAGTTCCACCAGCCAACGGCTGGGACGGGACCAAGCGGGGAAGATCACCGGCCCCGCCACAGCCCCCCAGTCTCACCCCACCTCCTCTCCGCCTCCCCCAGGCGGCGCAGCCACGGGGCTGGCCCGAGGGGCGCGGGAAGGACCGCGCGGACAGCGGAGCTCCTCCGCCGCCACCTCCTCCTCCTCCTCCTCCTCCGCCACCGGAAGCTTGAATCCCCGCAACGCCCCCCCCCGCAGCCCCACTTCCGGCGCCGCTTCTTTTCCGAGAGGAGAGGGATAGAAGGGTTGCTAAGGAAGAGGACGGGGGGGGCGGGCCCGGAAGCCCTGGGAGCCGGAAGTGGCCGGGCGCCCGTCTTCCGGCCGAGCCCCGGTCACGTGACGGCGGAAGGCGGGGAAGGAGGCGGAGGCGGGGGGCGGGATCGAGGTTGCGAGGCGGCCCGACTGAGGCCCGGCGGTGGCGGCGGCGGCGGCGGCTGCGCTGCTGCTGCTGCTCCTCCTCCTCTTCCCGCTGCCCGGGGAGGCAGACGGAGGCCTTCGAGAGGGTAAGCCGGGCGCCGCCCAGCCCGTACCTGAGCCGGGTTGTGGGGCGGGAGGGCGCTGGCCGCCCCTGAGAGGATCCGGGGCTGGGCCGGCCGGGGGGGCGGCGGCAGGGAGGGAGGGAGGGAGGGAGGGAGGGAGAAGCAGCCGCCGCCCTCGCCCGCCTCACCCTCGGGAGGGTCGGCGCTCCTCTGTGTGGAAGCAGCGGTTGGCCGGGCGCTTAGCGCTCCCTGGTCTCAGGGATCGAGGGGTGGGTGGGGCTGGGGGCCGGCTCTCCATTATTTATTATTATGGGTAGCTATGACATGTATGTACCGTCCTACATCCGTTAATCCCAGGGCGGCTCACAGCATGAAAATGAAAGGTTAAAGCACAAAATGCGTAATGACAAGAACAAAACAGACCAGTAAACCTACCCCCCCCCCGCCCCGATTCCCACAAACCCCTTTCCAAGGATATATATAGGATGTCAGTAAGCTCAAGGCCTGGTTGAAGAGGGGTTGCCACCCGCCCCCCCCCCCCGCTCAGGTACGGTCCCTGATGCTGCCAGGGAGTTTATGGGAGAGCATCCCATAAACGGGGAGCCACCACAGAAAAGGACCGTTCTGGTGTTGCCACCACCTTCCGGACCTCTCACAGCGGAGGCATAAGAAGAAGGGCCTCAGGTGGCGATTGCAGGGTTTTGGTTGGTTCATTTGGCCCATGCATAACGCTTACAAACGTTTGTCATGTCACCCCTTGGTCACTAAATGCTTTCAGGTTCTGCAATCCTTTCTTTCTTGACTACATCCCCTATGTGGATTCCTGCTGCTGGAGTGTAACAAAATCTTCCTTATATTACTTATTTTAACAGTAATTCCTCTTTGTACAGTTGCTTTTTTATGGATCTTCTCAGTAGATGCCCGTATAAATGTAGGCATTCATATTATTATTTTGCACCCCCTCGGCTCACCTTCCTATGCGGCCGAACCACCCGCTCCTAAATCCTTTGCTGGTAACTCCTATCATTCTTGATCACATTGCTGGGTGGGGCTGATGGGAGTTGGTGAACAGCAATTTACGGAGGACACCAGGTTCTGCATTCCTAACATAAAAGCTACTGCTGTTGTCATGATAATGCTCTCTTGGAGCGGGCACACAAAGAAGGGCCTCATAATTTGGTATACAAATGATGTTAAATAAAAATAAATTATTTGCAGTTGAATTGGGATGCTCCTGTTGCTCCTGCTAACACCTGGTGTCGCTTTGGTGTTGCATATCCTCTGTGCTGTCTCACCATTCCCGAAGACTCCAGTGTGATGGAGAGTATTGCACGAGAAGTGGTGAGGCGCAAGTTCAAATCCCCTTTCAGTCATAAAACACAGTGGGCAACCTTGGGCCAGTCGTTCTCTTTCTCAGCCTGACCTACTTCACAGGATTGTTGTGAGCATAAAAGCAGGGGGAGGGGAGTAGGCCCGCCCTGCCTGCTGCCTTGAGCTCCTCAGAGGAAAGGTGAAAGTTAAATTTACTGAATAAACTGGGTTGTTTTTGTTGTTATTGATGATATTTAAAATAATAATCATGACACAGTATTATTAGCAGTGATGACAATATAGTGGCTGTTTGTGTTGTGTTTCCACTAAAAAGTACCTGAGACAAGTGCAGTAAAATTTCTGTAGCTGCCTTTCTTTGTCTCAGGCAATATTTTGGTGTCCATGCTATGAGCCTTCACATGTTTTGGGTTAATAGTCCACAGAACAGCCCTGTAAGTTATGCTGGTTTGAGTAGCTCTGCAGTGTAAGTATGTGTTTTGTGGGAAAGACTGAGAGAAAAGTAGCGTTCATAAAGGTAGCCAGTGATGCTGCAGCTGAGGTTTTAATTGGGGGCCTCTTTCAGTACAGTGGAACCTCGAGTTGCGGACGTAATCTGTCCTGGAGGCACATCCGCAACTCGAAGCGTTCATATCCAGAAGTGCCACGTCTACGCAAAGGGTGATTTAGTGCTTCTGCGCATGTGCAAAGTGCGATTTAGCACTTCTGCACATGCATGAGCAGCAAAACCCAGAAGTAACCATTCTGGAACGCAACTTGAAAAGACGTAACCTGAAGTGGACGCAACATGAGGTATGACTGTACAGTAACATCTCTGTATGTGTCATGTGCATAAAAAGCCCTGAGATGTAGGCTGGTACTGACTACTCATGTAATGGTGAGTTGATAGCTTGAGCTCTTAACTCATGGATCTTCTCAGCTCAGCCCCTCATTCTGTACCTTGATTGAGGGGAACCATGGAAGTTAGAAGATTTGGGCTGCTGACCTAGTGTTGTCCCAAATGGAGGAGGATTGCAGAGCTTTGCCAGATCCTTAGGAAAGGCTGGCTGAAAAAATATTTATCTTGGATTTTTTATTTATTTATGTAATAAAATTTACACACCGCTTGATTTTAAAACACTTCAAAGTGGTTTACAAAAGATAAAACAGTACACTCGTACCTTGCTTCTCGAATGGCTTAGTTGCTGAACAAATTGGCTCCCGAATGCTGCAAACCCGGAAGTAAGTATTCTGGTTGGCGGACGTTTTTCGGAAGCCGAATGTCTGATGCAGCTTCCGCTTGAGTGCAGGAAGCTCCTGCAGCCAATCGGAAGCTGTGCCTTGGTTTTTTAATGGTTTCGGGAGTCAAACGGAATCCTGGAATGGATTAAGTTCGAAAACCAAAGTACCACTGTAAAATCAAGAAAAATTTACAACCCCACTTCAAAACATACAAAAGTTAGAATCCTAAAGCAAATTAAAATCATCTCAACTTTCTAGGCATCTGGGTGGGCTTTTCTAAACAGGAATGTTTTTAGTAGATGCCAGAAAGAGTACAGTGAAGATGTCTGCTATATCTCAGTACGCAGGGAGTTTCAAAGTGTAGGGTGCCATGTTTTTCTTTTGTAGGTGAAGACAGGTGAATAGGGAGGTCCTTGAGATGGTTTTCCTTCGTGGTGGTTTGATGTCAACATCTATGGTATTGTTTGCCAACCTGGTATCCTCCACATGTTTTGGATTGCAATTCCCATCAGCCCCAGTCATTGTGGCCATGCTGGCTGGGACTGAAGCGAGTTACAGCCCAAAACATCTGGAGGGCAGCAGGTTGACAAAGACTGGCCCGTGTAGTCTGGTTTCATGCCCCACTCTCTCTGTTTCTTGGCCCTTCTCCTTTCAGCTACATGGGAGTCCATAAAATTTATCTGAAGGTGTTTTAGAGCTGATCTGCTTCAAATGAAACAACACCATGATGGTAGCCAGATCTGTGGGATGAAGCACTCATGCTTGCTTCTATAGTTTCTGTAGTGTGTTTGTTTACAAAGCTAGGATGGGGTGGAGAGGTGTGTGTGTGTGTTGCTGGGCTGTTGACAATCTGATTGCTGTAGGAGAGAGAAGTGAAGCCGCAAGGGTGTGTGCACCCCAGAAGTGCCTAGGTTGTGTTAGGAATACAAGTGTTAGAAATACAAAGGCTTTATCCATGCAAGTGTGTGTGAGGGGATAAACTTAGCCAGCACAAGATTAGTACTGGTTTGGCAACAATATTGTGTGGTTGGGGAAAGAACGAGGTTTTTCTGACTTTTACAAGAGGGAGTGGTAAAAAACAGTAAACTTGTTGTCTTTTATTCCTGTATATATCTGATTTGGCATTTGGTGTTGGTTTTAGAAGAAGTTTTAAGAGAGGAACTGAACCGGAATTAGAACAGTGCACATACACAAGACGCACACTGCAAAGGCGTGGGGGAGGGAGGGAGAATGAAAATCAGTTGACACCACAGCCATCTGCCTGCCACTGCCCCACCCCCTGAGGCATTTGCTATGCTGGCTTAGTTGGATGAGCATGTTATGCTTAGAATTACCTGATTGCAGGCTGTAACTCCTTTGATAAAGGACAGGGAGTGTTTGTGTAGCTTGAGCACCAGCTTCTTGGTCCCACAATACAGTGTACATAACTAAGAGTGCTACAGCATAATACTGGAAACAAATTGGTTGTGATGGCAGGGAGAGGCAGAACTCATGGACCACAATCCAGGCAAACCCAAGCATTTTAGACTTGCATTTTTTTTCAGTGGAGGAGTTAAGCACAATGACCAGTCTGTCCCCAGTGAGATCAAGGGGACATAAAAAGTGCTCAACTTTGGCCTTGTTATATGCCTGCCTGCCTGCTTGCTTGCTTGCTCACCCCCATTGCAAAATCTGTTAAAAAGGGTGTGTTTAATGTGGTTTTCAAAGGTTAACAAAAGAACAGGGAAATTCTAGAATATTTGACATTTCACAATGGTTCAAGAAATTGCAAAAAACTAAAAACAGACTGTGCAACTAAAGAAGAATAACAGGGAGGTTGGATATTTGGTCTTGTTGGTAGATGAAGTACGATAGCAAATGTGTATACTGATGTGTCTCAGGAGCTCTATGTCTGTTGGTATGCATTGAAACTATTTGCTTTTTGAAGTTCATACAAAAGAAGGCTTTGACAATTTTCAGCATAGTCTGATGATCACTAATTCCTTAGACCACAGTTCCCCAAATTTGGGTTTCCAGCTGTTTTTGGACCACAACTCCCACCATCACTAGCTAGCAGGACCAACGGTCAGGGATGATGGGAACTGTAGTCCAAAAAGTCTGGGGACTGAAGTTTGGGAAGTCCTGCCTTAGATTATTGAAAGCTTCAACTGTGACCCAGAGTTTCTGAGAAGCAATTGGCATCCAGAGAATACTTGTATCCTGTTTTATAGCCTTGAGTGAAGGTTATAAAAAACAAATAAATGTAGTGTAATGTTGCTTTCTCTTGATTTATGTCCCAGACAGTCTTCAGCAGTGTGTGTCAATGAAATTCTTGTATCACTGTTTTGAAGTGGCCTGCCCTGGGAAATACTTTTAGTTTGAAACACCAACCAGAGAGTCCAAAGAGTTGTCAATTTTTTTTAGGTCCGTCTCTGGAGCGGAGCCTGTAGTTCATCATCATCAGTTTATTTGTATGCAGTTTTTCCACAGTGAACCTCAAAGTGGCTCACAACATACCAAATGAACAATAATTATCATAACTCCAAAAAAACCCAAAAACCATTAAGAACAATTAGGGACAACTGTAATATTAATGAACACAAAAAATCAAGCCATACAGAAGTGCTGTAAGTAACCTAACCTAATTTAGCATCTTAAAACTAAACGAGAAAGAACTTCAAGCTTTTCCTGCCAGGTGTTGTTGGGCTATAACTCCCACCTTCCCTGGTTAGCATACCTGTGGGGGTTGCAGTCCAAAATCATCTGGAGTCCACCAGGTTTGGAAAGGGTGCCATATATAGTGTGCATATATAGTTATATATATTGCTATGTATTGAGTTATGTAGTGCTACAACCCTTTAGGACGTTGCAGTTCTCATTCCCTGCTGAAACCAAATGGAAGCTTAGTAGTTGAACAGAATTGCAAGGTCTTCAGGACAGGGACCTATAATCTTTGTTGCACTCAAGCAGAGGTAGCCAGTTTGTTCCCTCCAGAAGTTGGTGGACTACATTTCTAATAATCCACGACTATTGGACATGCTGATAAGAGTTGTGGTCCACAAAATCTGGAAGGTACCACATTGGTTAGCCCTGCTATGCACGTATGTGGAAATGTATAAATAAATGGCAACAATGATGATCACACACCCCTCTCCCAGAAAACTTGCTCGTTTTATTGTCATATATGTAGGTTATATCCAAATATTGTCTCCCATGTATTTTCTGCTTCTCAACATGAGGCTTAGAATACACATTAAGAAGAGAGTGTCAGATTCTCTGGGATCTTTGACTGCCACCATATTTGTCACTGGCCACTATCTTCTGTTGCCCATGACACTGTTGTGGCCATGTAGTGACCCCCCCAACAAAAAAAGTTGGAAGAGAGCCTAATAGTAGCACTTGGACTACATATTAATCCTCAAGATTTTAAGATTAAAGTCTAATTGGTCTGGATGCCTGTATTTGTGCTTAGTTTCCCATTGAGTCAGCCTTGTATTTATAAGCTCCCTTTGAGACAGCACAGAGCTTTATACAGGTGGGTAAGTGGACTAGCAGAGGAAAGATGAGATGTTAAGCCCCTCTTTACATCTAGCATGGCAAGCAAGAAGGCAAGAAGCCTCCATTCTCCACATCCAGCAGAGAAATGCAAGAGGGATGTTCTCCCTTCTTGGGCAGTCTCTAGCCAGCTAGTAAATTAAGTAAATACCTTTCCTATTATGAAGAGTATTTCAAGGTAGCTTACAGTAGAATCCATTGAAAATACAAAGATAAAATAATAAATCCAGCAGTGTTTCAAGACTCCGTTTAACTAGAATAGTTCTGACAAGTGGCTGGTATACTTGATAGCAAAAGCCTCAGTAAGCAGGTAAGTTTTCAGCATGTGCCAAAAACTGCGTGATCACTTATTGTTGTTGTTTACTTACAAGACTGGATAGGGAAATCTGAATTTCTCTCCTGGGTGGCTGAAGCATGCCATTTCCCCTTTCAAAATGACTTGCAAAGGTTCTGGGGAGCTGAATTCTTAGCACAGAATCTTTGTGTGTTTGTGGCTTCTCAGATTGAGTGGTGGATCCTCTTTCTTGTTCACCAAGAAATGTTTATTCTCCAGCTGAAGGGTGATTGGGCAATGTGAAAAGCAAACTTTTATTTTTATTTTTTATTTAATAAAAAAAAGATGCTTTACTGCTTCTTTGGTGCGTCACTTTTCTCGGATAAAAATGAACGAAACTATTGTGCTGATTACTCACATTGAAGGATGGCTGCAACTGTGCTGGGTCAGACTTTACTGCTGGGTTGAAGAGGCATTATATTTCTATGGTATATGCAAAAAATGTTAGGCCTACCTTTGAAGCTGAAATTTATTGGTATTGGCACAGAGGATGACCTGTCCCAAAGATGGTGTAACTACCTGTGGAAACAAAGACCTGTCTTGCCAGCTGTTGAGAAAATAAACTTGTTGAGGGAGAGAGCCTTGGTGGGCCAAATGCTGTCTGTCCTTTTGTATTCTCCCTTTAAAGGAGGACTCCGAAAAATATTTGATTCAAGATCTCTGGCCTGGATTTTAATAGATGGAATGCTATTGTTGGATATTATGCCTTCTGACAGATTGCTGGTCCTGCCAATGTGGTACATCTCAAATTGTCAAGGAACCAGTTTTTATTCCTCCTTTACCCAGCTGCTGAAATCAGAAAATCTGCCTGGGGAGAGGAATTAAAAACCTCAAAAGCAGGAACCTTTGGAGAAGGCAGCGTTCCATCATCTTATCTGGCTGGCTGCTTCTGGCTGCTTGCTTCTTTTGTGGTCTGCAGAGAGCTTGGGAGAAATCCCAAGCTTCAAGGAGTATAAAAATAATTTGGTATCACCAGCTTCTTCTTGCTGAAGCAGTGCTATGAAATCTAGACCTCTGTGTTTGTTATTTATTGGAAGGGGCATAGGAAGGGTGTTTTTCTTGAGAAGCCCTCCTTTCTGTGGGGTGCAGCTATCTGAGGGTGCAAGATCGTGTGGGTGGATGTTTGCCCTAGTTTTGAACTTGTGCCAGCCTCCAGAAATTATTCTAAGGAACAACTGCTGTATTTGGTTCAGCTCTCTTGGTTTGGATTAGCTGCAAGTCTGTTATCAGTAAGGTAGCTGGAGTGTTGAGTACAGTGGTACCTCGGGATGCGAACGGGATCCGTTCCGGAGTCCCGTTCTCATCCTGAAGCGAACATAACAAGTGACGGTGCGTCTGTGTGCGTGGGTCGCATTTTGCCGCTTCCACGCATGTGCATGACGTCATTTTGAGCGTCTGCGCGAGCGGCGAAACCCGGAAGTAATGTGCTTTGTTACTTCCAGGTTGCCACGGAGCGCAACTCGAACGCGCGCAACCTGAGGTATGACTGTACAGTAGTACCTCTGGTCACGTACTTAGTTTGTTCCGGAGGTCCGTTCTTAACCTGAAACTGTTCTTAACCTGAGGTACCACTTTAGCTAATGGGGCCTCCCGCTGCTGCTGCGCCACCTCATCCTGAGGTAAAGTTCTTAACCGAACATACTATTTCTGGGTTAGCGGAGTCTGTAACCTGAAGCGTCTGTAACCCGAGGTACTACCGTACTCCTGGCCCCTCCCTGTCGCAGGCAGGAGCAAAATGAAAAGGCGGATACATTTAGCTTGCTGAATTGGACTATTCTTGGGGCAAGGTTTGTATATGAATGTGTGCCTTATATATGTATGCACACACATGGAAATGAAGCTTTTATTCGGCCAGCAACGAGGCCTGTCCCTGGCTACTTCTGGAGCCCATCCCCTCCCTTTCCCATTTGATTCCTGTATGTGAATAAAGGACAAGCGGATTTTCTCTGTCCAAGGAGGAAAATGTAGTTAAATGTTAAAACATCTGAAAACTGGACTGCCTCCCAACCCTTAGCTCTCTGAGTGATCTGGAAATACCATAACTTGTTTAGATCTTAGGAAGAGACATGGCAATTGTCTCTTGCAAGTTTTTTTTCCTTACTAAATTTGTCTTGGTCTGCATCTGTGATTGTGCCAAACTCCACTTTTCTGGGAGGTCTGAAGTTATCTTAATTATTTGGCGTATACTCTTGTAGTCCTGCTTAAAATCTCATTTTCACATTCCTCTGGGAGTCAGAGTGCCTTGGACTACATGAGCAGCAGACCTCAGCTTTTTAAGTGTTGCAGAAATACTGTGATGATTTTTAATACATATGCATGGGATGCAAAGTGTGCTGAGCCGTGGAAGTTAGCTGCAGTGAAAAATCCTGCCCATTTCTCAGTTCCTAGATAATGAAACCAGAGGTTTGTGAAGTGGTTCCCAGGTGAGGCCACAGCAGGAAGAAGTTCTTTGAAAAGAGAGAGCCTAGTGCCTGGATCTGGGCCTTCCTACTTGAAGGGAGCAATGGAGACCCCCTCCCCCAAACTAAGGAAGCCTTTCCCCCTCCCCACATGCCAGCTTAGTTTGCCCAATTCTCTGTAATTACTCCCTTCCCTCCTTTTTTGAATTTTTGCCTAAATATGGAAGACGGCCAAATCTGAAAGAGGCAGGAAGGAGCCGGTTGTGCCAGCTCAATTTTGTATTGGTTTTTTGAAGCTTTGCCTGCCTTATAATGTGTCCGGCAATTGATGCATCAATACACAGTGTATTGTCTGCATTGAACTGCAGCAGCAATTTCAAGCAGTGGATATTCCAGACCCTACCTGGAGGTGCTGGGGTGTGTGGTTAGGCCATTTGGCCTGTGGTGAAGGTGGAATGCTCAGGAGAGCTTTTCACAACTCATTTCTTCCCTAGCTGCTACAGAGTGGCCCTGCAGCTGGACCTTCCGACCCAGTGGTTGCTGTCACCACCAGCCCCAAAAGCAAAGGAGGGAAACTGGGAACTGCCAATTAATTGTTAAATCCTGGGATGCTGGACCAGTGCAATTTGCACAGAGCACAAGGCCCACTCTCCAGCCCTCTGCTTCTCCCTGAGAATAGGGTAAATTCCACTCTAGTCTTAGATTTCCAGTAGTGTGGAACCCAATGCAGTCTAGATGCATTTTGGATTCCCAAACCCTGAGGGCGGCAATCACTCATCCAATTGTGAACTTTATATCTCTTATTAGAAATAACAGATAACGGAAAAGCAAGCAACAGGTCAAGCAGAATAATACACAATAAACTGTAGCCTATTCACTGCAACATGGTATTGCTAGTCCATTTAGCTGAGGATGGTGAAGCTTCCTGTTGGCATGGAAGACCTGGACTGGATTCCCAGCAGCGAGATTAGGAACAAAATGCAATGGCAGCTCAGCCTTTAAAGGCTCCCCTGCGGCTGGAGGCCATGTCTTCTGGCTCATTCTGATCAGTGAAAGCCAGAGTCAATCAGGTAGATGACATCTCCCAAGCAGCCCTTCTGAGCACCCTTCTCCCTTTGATAAAGCTGGAGGGAGACACATGATAACTAGGGCTGGGCGATGTAGCAATACATTGTCCAAAATTGGTTTGAAGTCCACATTGTGATAAGAGTTTCATAATACCTCGTGTTGCGTTTGCTTCAGGTTGAGCGTTTTCAGGTTGCGTCCTGCGGCGACCCGGAAGTACCGGAAAGGGTTACTTCTGGGTTTCACCACTTGCGCATGCGCAGATGTGCAAAATGACATCACGTGCATGCGCAGAAGCAGCGAATCGCCAGACATGCAGATGCAGGTTGCGTTCTGCTCATGTTGCGAATGGGCCTCCGGAACGGATCCTGTTTGCAACCAGAGGTACCACTGTATTCAACTTGGAGATGTATGGGGGGGGGAAGAGTAAAAAATTGTGATGTGGGATAAAGGGTGAAGCTGGTCATCACTCCTCTCATTATTCCTGCCTCCTCTGTTGCTCTGTACTATAACAAAACTGTTGTAGAAACATGTTAAAGGTATCGGTTTTGCATCCCTATGTAGTAGCAGTTGTCAGGACATTACCCTGTTTGCTTCTACCTAGTTCCATCCTTATTTCAGACATTGTGCTATATTGGTATATCACAATGCTTAGCTGCTGATGTATCACAATGTTGACCACCAGGCACCGTTCAGCCCTAGTGATAGCCCAGCTTAGAGAAGTGGTGGGGCAGGGGACCAGGGTCCTGCGTCACATGGCCCACCTAGCTCAGTGCTGTTTACTTTCCAGGGCCTTGGGTGGAGTGCCATTCCAGTGCCATGTTATTGGGTCATTCAGCTTGGGGGTGGGAAGCATTTTTCAGCTTGAGGACCTTATTTCCTCATTGGAGAAACTTCTGAACAAGCCACGCCAGTGGTGGCCAGTGGCCAGAGGCAAATATTTGGTGTATCAATAGATGCAAATCCTAACCTTGTATTATTATCATTATTAAAATTTGTATACTGCCCAATATCCATAGATCTCAGGGTGGTTCACAACATAAAATTACATTATAAAAAACACAAAAGCCAGAAATCCTCCTCCTCCTCATCATACCCCGCCCATCTGGCTGGGTTTTCTGAGCCACTCTGGACGGCTTCAAGCAAAATACAGTGGTACCTTGATTTTAGAACAGCTTAGTTTATGAACAACTTGGAAATAGAAAACTGCAAACCCGGAAGTAGATGTTCCGGTTTGTGAACTTCGCCTTGGAAGCTGAACATGTACAGCTTCCTGTTGAGTGTGTTCCATTTGTAAATTGAGTCTCCTGCTGCTAACCAGAGGCTTCCTGTTGAGTCTGTTGGCTGCTGAGTCCGGTGCACCCAGGCAACACAGAGGTGATATTTGGACCTTTTGTTTTTGCTATTTTGTTGCGTTTTTGTTTGTGTGGCTTTTTTGTTTTTGTGACTGTGACTTGTTCTTCGTTTTATGGGACTGACTTGTGACTGTGGCTTGTGACTTCGTTTTTGTGACTGTGCGGAACCCAGTTCAGCTACTGATTGATTGTATGACTGCAGAAATGGATAAAAGCCCGTCTTATTTATTTTATAGTACAGTACTTTGATTATTGCTTTTATTTTATGGATCAGTGGTCTCATTAGATAGTAAAATTTATGTTAAATTGCTGTTTTAGGGGTGGTTTTTAAAAGTCTAGAATGGATTAATCCATTTTGCATTACTTTCTATGGGAAAGCATGGTTTTAGAGCACTTTGGTTTTGGAACAGAATTCCGGAACGGATTAAGTTTGGGAACCAAGGTACCACTGTATAAAAACATAATAAAACATCAAACATTAAAAACTTCCTGATACAAGGCTGTCTTCAAATGTCTTCTAAAAGTTTTGTTGTTGTTTATCTGTTTGACATCTGAAGGGAGGGTGACCCACAGGGAGGGGGTCCACTGCCGAGAAGGCCCTCTGCCTGGTTCCCTGTAACTCTCGCAGTGAGGGATAAATAAATAAAAATAAGAACAAAAACAAACCAAAAATCCTCCCTCCCGCAACACATTTAAAAGGGCATTGAATGTCAATCAGCCAAAGGCCTTATTAAAGAGGAATGTTTTTGTCTGGTGCTTAAAGGTGTATAATGAATCCTCCAGCCAAACCTGGAGAGCATTTCATAAATGGGGAGCCACTGCAGAAAAGGCCCATTCTTGTGTTGCTTGCCCACCCAGCCTTGTGGCTATGTTTTCAATCAAACAAAAGCCAGCAGTTTCTGCACACGCCCTGAGCTCCTCTTCTCACCCACCATCCACGCAAGCAAGAGGTTGCGTTCTAGCCAAGGAAAAGGGAGGAGGGCATGGAGCTGGGCCAGTGAGAGGTGTGGCCTGCAGCAAGTCCCGAGGGCTACTTTGGGCTTATTGGTCTGAAGGTCCTCTGATATAGATGAAGATGCCAGTAATCTAACCTGGGACTTTTTGCATGGAGTGCATTATTCCAGGGAGCTGCATTCCATCTCTAGCATGAGGATGAATGGTGCCATTTCTCTTTTAGCAACCAGAATGGCGGGGGCAACTTGGAAATGTGCTTTATTAAAAACCTTTGTGGAGGTTGGGAAAGTGAAGTGGGTGACATCAGCTCTGTCTTGGTTTTAGCACTGTAACTGAAGATAAGGAAAGGCCTTGTGGGTTGCCTTGCTCTCCCCTCCCTGCCCCCTTGGAAGATCTGTGCCAGTGCCTTGGGCTGAAATGATGAAGTGTGCCAACCTCTGCCCCAGTTCCTGCTTCAGTGGCCATTTCTTAAGGTTTAGGGCAGTAGTGGGGAAGTTGTGGGCCCTTCAGATGTTCACCAGCCCCACTCAGCATGGCCCAGTGGGAAGGGATGATGGGAGTGGTGAGCCAACAACATCTGGAGGGTCATCGGTTTTCCACCCCTGGTTTGTGGCATTTTGCTGTATTTTTAAACCACATAAAATAATAGAAAATATCTGAACAGTTTACAGTAAAAATACGCCAGCAATAACAAGGAAATAGTATTTAATGTAATTATTTTAACTTGGATAAAAACATGATTTTTGCTGCTTTGGGGGCCTTTTTGGCTGAAAAAGTGGTGTATAAATAAACTGTAGCGATAAGTGGTAACTTGGCTCAACAGCAGCTTGAGGTGTGCGGGTTCTTAACACTGTGCAGCTGTGCAGCTGTGAATTTAAGAATCTCAAGGCATGACTTTCTAGGAGCAGCTTAGTAATAAACAAACTTATTTTATTTGTTTTTCAGGTACTTGTAATACAAGCCCATCCATGAGTCAAGCTTCCTTTTTTTAAAGTCATGGATGACAAGGCCTCTGTTGGAAAAATCAGTGTGTCTTCAGACTCGGTATCCACTCTTAACAGCGAAGATTTTGTCTTGATTTCCAGGCAAGGGGATGAAACACCATCCACCAATAATGGTAGTGATGATGAAAAGACAGGCCTGAAGGTAAGAGCCTGTAGTTCAAGTCTGATCAGACAGAGATGGGAGTTCAGTATTGGGGGAATGGGGGAAGAAGGGAAGGTATATCCGCATAGCACGGTCACTCTGTTCCATTTGTCAGCAGTTATTTGCTGGAACTGGCTTCTGCAATCCCAAATTAAATCGTTTTTTAATCTGAAGCATTTTTACACTGCTCTTCAACTGAAAAGGGCTCCCAGGGTGGCTTGCAAAGATCAGTGATAAGACAAGTCTTTGCCTTCAGACTTGCATGATACAAAAGGCATGATACAAAATGAAAAACATTTAGGAAGGAGAAGGAGGAAAGCAAACCTGGGCGATAGGTGGGTGCTAAGTACTTTGTAACTAAGACCTATTGCCAGGCCGGATAACTTTTCAGTCAAAGTGCTGCATTCCCTTGTGGGCATGGTGGTGATGGGCAGAACAAAAACCAGACACTGCCAGAGGTCAGTATGTTATATTCCATCCATTCAGAAACCAGAGGTTTGTGTGCGCGCACGTACCCTCTCACACCATATCACTCCGTCTAGGCAAGCAAGAGAGATTATCACAGCTGAAGCACACATTCCAGCCAGATGAAAGCATTTGAGGAAGGCCACTGAGTAGTAGTGCAGCCTGGGAATGAAGTATGGCCTGCTCACATGAATCAGTTCCTCTTTTAGGTATCGGTACCTGCAGTGGCTCTCTCTAGAGCACTGCTTCTGCCCTCTCCCCAGTTTAAATTACATGGCTTGGCTGCTGCTTCTGACCATATTCTTTGACTGTGCACTGAACCAAACCAGGGAAGGGGTGCTGAGTGGTTGGGGAGTGTTGTCCCAGTGCCGCAGATCATGAGTGTCCAGAATTCTTCTGTGTTGTTGTTCCAGTATTTGAACTGTGATTATTAAATGTTTGGTTGATTACGTGGTGTGGCTGATAAAGCCAAGCTTGCAGCCCACCTGATTTAGTGCAGACTGTTTCAATGTGATGTGGTTTGTTGGGAACCCTGGCAACCTTGAGCTTGGTGCAAGACACTGAATGATTTCCTCCAGCCCAGTGCGTGGATGCTTCCTGTTTCTCCAGTTAGTTTACATCTGCTCCAGAGTCTAAAGAATAGGCTTCTTCCCAAAGGTATTGTGTTCCCTGTTTAAAAAGTAGGGGCCTGGCCCAGCTCTGCTCTTGAGCAGGCTTTTGAAAAACAATTCGAGGTCACAGTAATTACCAAACGGAATTATCTAATCTGGAACTCCACACTGTGTTACATTAGAGTGTTTATCACAGGCCAAGGTTAGATACAGTGCTTAATGACTTGGATGGCTTTGAACCTTATCTTGCTTCTTGTCTTGGCTGTGGTATTTGAGTGAGTTTGTTGTGTTTGAGTGATTGCTGTCTGGATGCTTAAGGGAAGCAGGGCAGCCTCAGATGAGTCCTGGGGGAAGCCCAAGCCACATGGAGCCTGTTAGGTTTCCTCTCATAGTTTTGGCCTCTCTTACTTCACTGAAGAAGTGCATAACTGTGCATGGAAAGAAGGCTCTCCATGCTGGGCAGAGAGAAAACATGTCCTGGAATACAGAGTGTGAGTGTTGAAAAATAGTGATGTGGGTTTTCTGGGGCGGGGGTTGGATTGTATGCAGGGGGAGGGGGAATCTGTGCAAATTAGGTTAATTTGCATTGGAAAATTGCCAACTTGCCTTGGAAGACTTTCTGATGCCCTACAGTGATGTAGTTTAGCATATTTATTTCACTTGTATTTAGCAAATGAGTATCCTGTGGTATTTTTTGTCCCAATACACCATAAATATTTGACCTGAAATGCTTTGAAACTTCTAAGCATGCCTAATACAGTGGTGCCTCGGGTTAAGTACTTAATTCGTTCCGGAGGTACGTACTTAACCTGAAACTGTTCTTAACCTGAAGCACCGCTTTAGCTAATGGGGTCGCCTGCTGCTGCCGCGTCACCGGAGCACTATTTCTGTTCTCATCCTAAAGCAAAGTTCTTAACCCGAGGTACTATTTCTGGGTTAGTGGAGTCTGTAACCTGAAGCGTATGTAACCTGAAGTGTATGTAACCTGAGGTACCACTGTATTGGGTTTTCAGTTGGCATCCATTCATTCTTCTCAATGAACTTATGAAATATAAAATTTACCAGTGGCTTTTTTGGTGTGTGTGTAAACACATTTACTGCCGTATCACCATTGGGAATGCTGTTGAACAAGGCTTGAGCTCTGATCATAAATGCTAGCACTGCTTTGAATGCCGCTCTTGACACTCACTTCCTATTGCCATGCCTCTTCCAAGGGAGTAATTATTACATGGTGAGATTGTTTTTTCTTTTTTACCTTCTTAAAGTTGTAGAGCCTGGAAAGAGCTTGCAATGCTCAAGCACAGCTAGAAATTCTAGGGCACATCCATGGCATGAGCTTACGCTGGTTCCATGGTTGTGGCTGCTGACTGGGAGGATGAGGAAGTTGCATTGCTGGAATGGGAGAAGTGATGGGCTACCACAGAGGAAGGATGAGACCTGTGGTAAACAGTGGTCAAAACTGTGAATATCAATTATTGACCACTATTGCAGGGGCTGAGCCCCATTTATGTTTGTGGTGCCCAGTTAAGAATTGCTATTAAAAATGTTATATTAACAAGGTCTCACTGATGTGAACTATATATTTGTTCATGTGTTTAGAAAAAATAAATGGAAAGGGCGACTGAATTATGTTGTGGCGTCTGTAACCTAGATTTCAGGAGCCATCTGGTGAATATCTTATGTACCTGAGTTTCTAACACTGACAGCAGCTCTCCCCACATGTGATTCCTGGCAGCCAGTATTCAGAATCACACGGCCTCCTCCTTTAGTTTACTTGAGTGTGTGTTTGCATATGTTGGGGGCTGGGGGACCATTGCCCAGTCCCTGACAGCATCTCTGGTTAGAAGGGTTAGGACCTGCCTCGGACCCTTGAGAGACCCTGCCTCTCACAATACTTTCCTGGTGATCAGGTAGTTGGTCTCTGTATACTGCAGCTTCCTACATTATGTGAGCAGTGATCGGGCTGGGAGGTGTCTGATTGAGCGCACACATCTTTTAACATGCGTTGTTCTGGGGGAGTCACTTCTGTGCTTGCTTTTGCCCTTCGTTTGCCTACACATTTGGAGGGGGGGTGCTAATCAGAGGTTGAAGTGAGTTGAAAGACTTGACAGCACCCGGCAAAATAAGGGCCTCTTGCCAACATGCTTTGATCCTGGCACCAGTTGCTGGAAACCACAGGAGGGAAGAGTGCTTTTGTGCTTGCTTGTGGGTTTCCCACAATCATCTGGTTGGCTACTGTGAGAACAGGATCCTGGACTAAAGGGGTCATTGTCCTGTTCCAGCAGGCCTCTTATGCTCTTGCGCTACCAGCAATCCAGCTTTTCATACCAAAGTGGGTTTCAAGAGTACTTCAACCCTGAACTCACAGGCTGCACACAGCCAGGCATCATGTGAGTTTTGCAACTGGAGCAGGTCCATTAGCGACCACATGGAGATCTTTGGATGCCAGGTTGGCAACTGATATCTCCATCTGGCTAGCCTCTCCAGCTTTCTTAAGCAGGTAAGCAGAAGGGCTTATTTATTGCATTTATATCCCACCATATTCTGCAAGGAGTACATGGTTCACCCCCTTGTCGGTTAATTCGTACAACAACCCTGTGAGGTGGGTTTAGAGGCTGTGACTAGCCCAAGGTCACGACTTGAGTGGGGAGTTGATCTCCCAGGTCCTGGTCTGACACTCGATAACCACTACACCTTGGTGGCTTACTAGAGTACTTCTGCTAAGGGGCAGCTATATAGATTAAGTAGGTAAATAACTATGGAGAAAACAAAATGTCACTTAGAGAAGGATCCAGGGTGGATAAAAATCAATGATTTTCTAAAGAAAAATAAATCAGATTTTTTTATTTAAATCAGATTTTTAAAATAAAATGCTTTTGGAGGAAAAATATTTTTAAAGATAGTTTTCTATTTAAGTTGCATTATAGTCCAAAGGCTATTCATCAGGAAATAAGGATTTGTTTAAGTTTCTCATGTGTGCTGAAACTAAATTTTTTTAATTAAAATTTTTTGTTTAACCACATCAGTTAACAAAGATGGATACGTATGCTTTAATGTTACAGTATTGTCTTAGTTAAATAAATGGTTTAAATTGTTATTAAGGAAATGATTATTTTTCTCATTCCAATAAAGTACAGTGGAAAGGATGTCCAAATGCAAACAGTTAACTTATTAAACCTCACTATAATTTCATAATTAATGGTCTATGTATTTCTAATAGTATAACCAAATCAGTAATTTTTGATATAACTGTAAAAACTACTCTGATTTTTTTTTATTCCAAAAATGAAACCTTCATCTGGTTGTAAATATTAAGATCATACTAGCAAGAATGAGTCTTTCTGTAAAAAAATGATTTAAATCAAGTCTTACTGACTAGTGATTTAAATCGTGATTTAAAGAAATTTAATTTAAATCGAATCCACCCTGGAAGGATCCAAAATATTTTCCTTGAAGCTTGAATTTGTTTTATACCAGATTGTTTTATTTGATGTTTTAATATGTTGTAAACCACTTTGAGATTTTTTCTTTAAAATATTAAGTGGTGTATAAATGAAATGAATAATAATAATAACAATAACAATAAATTTCACAGTTTAAAAAAGGTACCTAGACATTCTGCTGTGATGACCGTAACTTAGGTTCAAGGTGCAATTTGACAATTACTGTATTTTTCGCTCTATAGGACGTACCGGATGATAAGATGCACCTAGTTTGGGGGGGAGGAAACAAGAAGAAAAAAATTCTGAACCCCGGAAGCCAGAACAGCCAGAGGGGTCTGGCTTCTGGGATAGCCTCTTGCTGTTTTGGCTTCAGGGACAGCCTTTGAAGCCTCCGCAGGGCAGCGGGGTGAAGGCACCCCACTGCCCTGCGGAAGCTTTGCGCAGCTAACCCCAAGCTAGAACAGCGAAATGGAGCACTGCGCAGCACTCCGTCTCTCTGTTCTGGCTTTGGGCTTAGCTGCGTAGCCTGCATTCGCTCCATAACACACACACACATTTTCCCTTACTTTTTAGAAGGGAAAAAGTGTGTCCTATAGAGCAAAAAATACGGTAGCTTATATATCTGAGTTTCTAACTCTGGCTGCATATTGCCTTGTTGCATGTGGGGCTGGGGCAGAGGAAGCGAAGCCACCCCACCAACCCTTGTGCTGCCTTCCTAAAGCTGGATAAGCAAGGCTCTGGGCTTTGGGAAAGATGCATTAGGCTCTGGCAGGGTCCTAGAGCTCTCCCATCTTCTTCCCAAAGCTGGGAAAGCACTAACTTTGCTTTGGAAAGGAGACGGGAGGACTTTAAGACCCTGCCAGAGGTCTTCTCTCACACCTCACACCTTCTCAAAGCCCAGTGACTTGCTTGGATGTGAGGGTCACATGTTGCTTAGGGCCACCCAAAAGGTCCAGAGTTAGAGGGAAGCAAGTTTGTTACCTATGGTGGGCCAAATTCCGCTTCATCATTGGCAGCCAAAGACCCGAGAACGGGGCTGCAGTCACCTACAGTGTACATAGCAATGACTAACAACCTGGTTCCTGTAATGTTAATGGGTGATGTCAGGAAACTGCCATCAGTGCCAGAGAGAGAGAGCAAAATCCAGAGGGATTCCAGAGAGCGTCCCGGGATTGGGAGAGGCAGCCCATCTTCTGGGGAAGAGAATCAGCGTAGCACCAGTGGAGAAGGGGGGCAGATGGGGGAAGCGGCGAGGCGGTCCCATGACTCCTTGCCGGGGACCAGCGGGGAGAGTAGAGGTCCTCCGCTGCCTACACCCTCCTTGCGCAGAAGGCTTTCGCGCAGAGAGAGTAGGAAAAGACTAGGCGTCAAAGAGCTTCTTTGCTGGAAGAAGTTTAAGAAACGCCCACTGACGGATTCTGCCAGCGATTGAGACAGCCACGGGTGAGTGGCTGTCCGGACAGAAAAGGTTCACTCAGGCAACCCAGCCAGGTGTTTGCACCGGCTTACGCACGAGCAACCCCTAGAATCACTACAGGTGATGATGAACCCGCTGGCTGGCATGCTGACGCACTCCTTGCTGCCCAATGTCTACTTGTATCCCTTCATATATTATGCTGGGATGGGGAACCTCCAGCCTTCCCGCTGTTGCTGGACAGAACTCCCAACATCCTTGACTATTGGCCATGCTGGCTGGGGTTGAAGGCCCAATAATATCTGGGCAGCCCCAGGTTTCTTACACCTGCATTATAACATATCAATTAAGTCCTACTGTATTTGTTTCTCTTGTTCTGGAAACCAGCAAGTCTCTCCAGTTGAAATGCCCCCTTTGCACATGGTCTTTTATGCAGTTAAATATCCTCAAAGATCTCCTCTCCCTCCTTTTGGATTTAGACTTTTTAAGGGCAGATTATTTGTGGATGCCTCTTCATTCTGTCTGCTGGAGTCTTCTCTGTGCACAGAAACCTAGGCAATAGCCTTCTACTACACTTAAAAGAAATGTCAAACTGCCTCAGACTGAGTCAGACCCTGGGCGTTGGTCAGCATTGTCTACTCAAGGGGTGGGGAACCTTAGGCCCAGGGCAGAATCCAGTCCTGTGTTTCCAGCTGCCAGGACCATCTTCACAGTTTCCACAGACCATGCCCCTTACTAGCCTTGCTCTGTATCCTCCTTGGGCTCCTTTGCCTGGCTGGAATTGGCCTTCGAACTGTGATGAAGCCTCTAGCTTGCCTGGATGGAGAGGTGTGTGCAAATCCCTAGCTGCTGCTGCTGCTGCTGCTGCTGCTGCATGGTTGGAATGTAGCCTACATCTCAAAGGCAAGAGTCACATGCATTGCTCTGCCTACGTTTGATTCTGGCTCCCAGAAGGTTCCCTGTAAATGAAATGCAGCCCTTGGGTTAAAAAAGATTCTGTGCTCCACAGTTTCCAGGATCTTGGGCAAAGGTCTATCCTCTCCACCTGCTTTCTGATTATTTTAACTGGTGATGCCAGGGACTCACAATGAGACCCTCTTTGGTACACAAGGTGACTGCTCTGCCTCTGAGCCTACAGCTTTTCTCCAAAGGCTCGTTCTCTTCTGATGCAAATTACAGGGCAAAGCTACCTGCTGTCTAATTTAGCTCAACAGGCTTAACCAGATTTCAGGCCATCTTGGTCTGTCCTTGTACCGATTCATGAAAGACTTCCTTCCAAGTGGAGACAGTAATGTTCCATGTGGCTATGGCCTCGGTCGCACTGAATCTGTGAGCCAGGATTGGCCAGCTTTGTGGCTCTGGAGGTTGCCTCCTGTCCTGGAGATGGAAGTGAATGTGACTAGGTGGCATCTCCACACCTACCATTCCAGTAGTTTACTCCCACGTTGACAGGGCAGGAAAACTCCTGTTTTGTGTACTGTTTGCACTTCCACTTCACTGGAGGCTTAAGTGACTGGTGTTCTTTGCTGGAAGGAAGCAGCCATCAGGTAAGTGAGGTGGAGAGTAGATGGAGGGGGATGTTTTTAAAAGGTGGCCAGTTATTTCTCCTGGGGAAGCTGGGAGTGCTTGCATTCTGAATCATTTCCTTCAACTTCTCATTTGAACATCTTGGAGGAAGCAGCCATAAGATGCGTCTGACCACAAACTACCTCTGGCCAAGTGTCAGCTCTGTGAGTCTGGAAGGTGGCCAAGGCACGCAGAGGGAGGGGGATGTTTGTGGCCAGGCAGTGGTGGAGAACCATGGCACAGGATGGGAGGGAGAAGTGGGGGCTCAGAGGCAGGGTGGTTTTGGCAGGGTAGTGTAGTGGCTAGAGTGTCAGGCTAGAAGCTTGGAGACCAGATTTGAATCCCAAGTCAGTCATGAAACTCACTGGGTGACCTTGGGCCTGTCAGTGCTTCTCAGCCTAAGCTATTTTACTGTGAGCAATAAATGAGGCGAGGGAGAACCATGTGAGCCACCTTGAGCTCCATGGAGGAAATGCTGGGGTTATAAGTGCAGTCAGGAGTGCCAAGGGAGCTACATGGTCCCTGTCTGTGAGGGGGAAGCAGGAGCAAGGAGCCGCATACCATACGCCTTTGGCTTTAGTGCTTAATAGTAATCAACATTTTTATCCCAGTCTTCCTCCAATGGAATCAGTAACATGGTGCCTCTTTTTGCCCTCACAACTACCCTGTGATGCAAGTCAGACTTGAGAGGCATTGACTAGCTGAAGGTCACCCAGCACGTTTGACCAGAGGCTTGGGCCCTGCCTCTTTAGCATCTGAAAGGCTAAACACTAGCACTGCTGCCTTATGCAGCAGGCTGTGGGAAGACTTCTGAGTGGGCGCCTCTTTGCATTCTTTCTCCTTAGTAAATACTATATTATTCCTTTGTTTTGACACAAATGTGTTTGGGATGGCCAGATGTTATTTGATCTAGGTGTAACTTCACAGGCTTGTCAGCAGGCAGGCATTTTAGTTAAATTGGTAAATGTGGAAGGATTAGGTGGGGAATAGAAAGCCATGGTAGAAATAGGTATGGTGCTGACCACAAGGGCAGCCCTGGCAGCTTGGGTGCCTGGGAGAAGTTGCCTTCATCTATGAGTTGTGAAGGTGCTGCAGCCTCTTCCCAGTCTGCTTTAACCACTCTGGAATGCTCAGCCACGCTATTCCCAGCTCCTTGCTGTCATTAATGCCCATCGGAATTCCACTAGTTGTTGCTCTTGAGTCTGTGTCTCTACTGTGCAGTTTACACATTCAGAAGTCTGTAAGGCTGCTTTTGTGCTGGAGAGAGCAGTGCAGCATTTTCTTGGCCAAACCTGTTGCATCTCCAGAAGGCCGAGATCTTAGTATGCTTATGTATTGTTTTCATGAACATTGCAGATACCCAATGAAACCTTCTAGTGATATCAGTGTCTCTTGAGAGAGTTGAGAAAATGCAATGTTATTTGAACTACTTTTAACCTCTGTTTAGCCTCCTGTAGTGAATGTGTGTCTGGTCTCAGTCAAGCCCCCATCTCTCCTCTTTTGGCTCACCCTTTGCCACTTGCTTTCACAGATTATAGGGAATGGGAGTGAGCAGCAACTGCAGAAAGAGCTTGAAGACGTCCTAATGGATCCCCCCATCGAAGACCAATCAAATGACCGAGAACACGAGGAGGAGGACAGCCATCATGATGGAGGAGAGGGAGATGAGCCAGTCCTCCTCGAGGCTTCTGCATCCTCCACAATTAACCCTGTGTCTGTGGCGGGACCCCAGAAACCTGATATGAGCTTGCCAGTGAAGCCAGCGCAGGGAGGTGAGAGAAATTTGGGGCAGGTGGGTGGGAAATGAGAGGGCACAACCGGGTCATGAGAAGCCTCTGAAAGAAAGAGAAGGAAGCACAGATGCAGAGCAAATTTGGGGTGAGTTTCTGAAAGTCATTCCTTAAAACACTCATATTGTGCCTTCCTGTCAAAATGACACTCAAGGCAGCTAACGAACAATTAACTTGGGCAATAATGGAGAAAGCCAGCAGAAACACTCAAGGCAGCTGACAAATGGCAAGGGACAGCAGCTGGTCAACTAACTTTATGCAAAGGCCTTCTCTTTTGTATCTATCCTCTGAGGTTCAGAGGGTGAAGGCAGGGGACATGGGGGACTTTTCAGTGGCATCCACAATATAGAATTCCCTGCTCTGTAAGAGACCTGACCACTTCATAGGGAGTGTTTTACAAGGCAGGTCAAAATGGCCTTGTCCAAGCCTGTCTTTTATGAAACTGGGACCGGTGACTCTTCCTGGTCCTCCCTGGTGTTGTTCATTACTTAGTTCTGATATTTTGGTTAGATATTTTGGTTGGGAGCTGCCCTAGGGGGTAGGCTTAAAGGATGGAAAGTGCAGAATATAAATGTGTTACTAAGTCTTAACCTGCACAGCAGTAATGCCTAGGAACTTGACAATCTTGTTGAGGTTGAACCCTGCCAGATACAGCCTTTTGCACTTCTGTGGTGCTTTCTTGGAGAGGAGCAGAATACGCACAGCCTTTGTGTATCCTGAGCAGATACTGGCCAGCGGGCTTCATTGTCCTTCCTAGTTGTTCTCTTCAGAACTGGTTTTTCCAATCATGGCTGGTCTTTCACAACCATTCCCTAAAGGGTGGGTTGCTTTTTAAGGGGGAAGGGGCCAATTTCAATCATTTATATCACTAAAGCTTCCCATTGGCACCCCTGCTTAATGGTGCAGATCCAAAGTCTGCAAATCAAATAGGGTGCAAATAGTCATATATGAGAGTCAGATTGGTTACACAGGAGAGACTCATTTTAACTTAATGTGAGTGGTAGAGGATACTGATCCAATTTAGCAATTTGATACACAAATTAACGGACTCCGCTTTTCTGCTGTTTTGTAGATTCCGAGGAGTCGAGTCCTTTTACTCCAGTTGCTGATGAGGACAGCGTTGTCTTCAGCAAGCTCACTTACTTGGGCTGTGCCTCAGTCAATGCTCCCAGGAGCGAGGTGGAGGCCCTGAGGATGATGTCCATCTTGCGAAGCCAGTGTGAGATTTCCGTGGACGTGACTCTTTCGGTTCCTAATGTGTCGGAAGGAACTGTGAGGTACTTTCCCACCTGTGGTGTGGCATTGGGGGAGGCTCTGTAGGTCCACCTGTCGTTGGCAGTGGTGTTTTTTAGGACCTGCTTTGTATACTGTGGCAATAGTTTCTAAGTTGCCTCATGGTTACTATGGGGCAACACCAAGACAATCTTCTGAAAAGTGTCTTCTTTGATAAACTGGTTGTAAATTGTGGCTGTTTGTTTTCTTTTTTTTTAAGTTTCATTTATTTGTATGCTGTTTGTCCACAGTGCTAAAGCAGTTTATCAAAGTACAAAACATTGGGGGTGGGGGGTGGGGGACACAACTTGCTATGGAACATGTCAGGGCATTCAAATAAGACAAAAAAACATTTCAGGAAGCATAGGATAAATGCCAGTACAGCAAGCCCACAACTTACGCAGGGGTTACATTCTTGACATTATGCCTAAAGCCAAAATCACGTATAGTCAAAAAACACTTCAAGGTGTAATGGTGGGTGGGATTGCAAACGTCTTTTTCCCCAGTACCCACCCCCTTTTTAATTTTTATAAATTATTTTCTGAAGCTTGTAAAGCTGAATGTACACAAGTTAAATGTGCGAACGTTGTGGGCTTACTGTATTGCAAAGAAATGAATCTAGATACAAGTACAGTGCAAAATCTTAAGTTAATGGGCAAAATAAATAAATAAAGCCAACCCGTACTGTAAGTAAGTGTGTGGTCTTGCTTCACTCCACGGTGACTGCAGCAGCCTGACTTAGATGCAGTTCAGTTGGGCTAGGGATCTTCTCACCAGGCTAGATGGTTCACCGCCAACTCTCTGGTTTCTTGTCCAAAGGCATTTGCCAGCAGCAGAAAGGCAGGTGGGGGTGGGGAAGTCAGTGAAGGGAAGTTCACTCCCCCAGCCTCCCAGGTGTTCTGGTGGCTAGTGCTGGCTTTTCTGTGCTAGCACTGATTTTATTATTTTTCAGATAACAGGTGTTAAACTCAAACAAGAAATCTATAAATGGGAGAATGGAGGCATAATTATTGTCTAGTCTGCTCCTGCAACTTCTGATTTATGTGGACGGAAGATTTTAATAACAGCAAAAGAACAGAACTCTTTTTAAAATTATCTGTAATGTCCAGTGGAAGGAATTCAGTGTAGCACTATGGCAGTTATTCCAACAGAGCAAGCAATTCAGCTTATCCCATGCTGTTCTGAGGGTTCTCCTACCCCCGAAGCCAATTGGGGGTGGGAGGAGAGATAGGGAAAGTCATGTTGCCTTAGTGGAAGTCTTTGCTAGTGGGAGTGAGGGCCTAATGATGTCCTCTCTGCCCTCCAATCAGTGAACCTGGCATTTACAAATATAATACTCTTGGGATGGTACAGAGTGATTCAAGAGAGTCAGGAATAAATTCATATTTTCAAAGCCATCCCATAGATCATGATGGGCGTCATGTATGAACAGTCCTCCATCAGGGAAACATGTGTCTTTGAAAACCACATTTGCTTCCTTTAAGGAGAGCTGTAAAAGCATTCAGTAAGAAAGAAAGCAGAAACACAGAAGGTGCACTTCTGAATATGAGCTAAGTTGCTCAATTTAGATCCATTTTTAGCCTATTAGAAAAGATTTTGCTCACTTAAATTGACCAGTTAATTAGTTAAAGATTGGATCCAGCATTAAACTACTTGCAGCTTGTCTGTCTTCAAGGTGAAGCATTTGCAGCTCACACCTTCATTTCCCCCTTTTGCTCTGCAGGCTGCTAGAACCCCCAACGAACAGCGAAATAGCCAACTATCCCATTTACAAGATCCTGTTCTGTGTGCGGGGACACGACGGGACTCCAGAAAGCGACTGCTTCGCTTTCACTGAAAGCCATTACAACTCAGAGCTCTTCAGAATTCATGTCTTCCGGTGTGAAATCCAAGAAGCTGTAAGTTCAGCATCTGCTTTGCCTTTGTTGATGCTCCTGCCTTGCATGTGGAAGATCCCAGGTTTTGTCCCTGGCATCTCCAGAGAGATCCTGTATAGAAACCCTGGAGAGTCGCTGCCAATCAGTGTGGACAATACTGAGCTGGAAGGATCAGTGGTCTGACTCAGTATTAAGGAAGCTAGGTGTATTTCATTTATTAATTAAATTTATGTCCTCCTCTTCCTGCCAAAGAAGGAATCTCCTTCGTATAATGTCAGTACCTTCTTAGTGATACTTGGTAACCCTGATGATACAGATCTTCTGCTTCCAGCCATTTATTTGTGCTGACAGTTTAGCATCATACTATGCTTCATAGTGGGTAAAACCTCAGCGCCTAGGACTTGCCGATCGCATGGTCGGCGGTTCGAATCCCCGCGGCGGGGTGCGCTCCCGTCGTTCGGTCCCAGCGCCTGCCAACCTAGCAGTTCGAAAGCACCCCTGGGTGCAAGTAGATAAATAGGGACCGCTTACCAGTGGGAAGGTAAACGGCGTTTCCGTGTGCTGCGCTGGCTCGCCAGATGCAGCTTCGTCACGCTGGCCACGTGACCCGGAAGTGTCTTCGGATGGTGCCGGCTCCCGGCCTCTAGAGTGAGATGAGCGCACAACCCTAGAGTCTGTCAAGACTGGCCCGTACAGGCAGGGGTACCTTTACCTTTACCTTTTATGCTTCAGTTATTCTGTGCTGGGCTCATTAAACTCTGACTGTGATCAGGTCTTTCTTCTCTGCGTTGATAACGAGCAGTGTTGCTGAGAAGGATTTCAAGATATGCACTTGCAAGATGGAATAATTTGTTAGATTTTGGCACAAATTTCTGATTTGTCTCATAGTCACAGACTTGGGCTGCAGCCTTGTGTACACTTAACACAGTAGGACTTCCTACTGAAAGGCCATGCATAGAATTGCACTGTTGAAGGAAGCCATGGTAGAGGTCTTCCATTCAGGCACCAAATTCAAAGAGTGAGGCTGAGCAACTGACGGGAGTTTGGAGAATCCTAATGAAAGCGGAAAAGCATATCCTATCAAAACAAACAGAGTGGGTGTAATGTAGCAGTTAAAAGAGCCGCCTTCAACCTGGTGTGCTCCAGAGGTTCTGGACTACAATTTCTGCCATGCCTGGCCATTAATCTCTGCTAGGTGGAGCTGGTGGAGTTGTGGTCCAAAGCCTCTGGAAGGCACTAGGTTGGGGGAAACTACATTAGAGTGTCTCACCAGCCCTGTGTTGAAACCCTCATTAACTTCAAAAGTGCACTGGATAGCTGCTAAGCCAGTCACGAACTCACTCCACCCTCAGAAATAACAAAAGAGCTGTTTCCCTAACTCTGCTCCCCACTAGGAATCCCAGCTGCTGACTTTCTTTCTCTCTGGCTCTTCGTGTCCACAGGTGAGTCGGATCCTGTACAGTTTTGCCACCGCCTTCCGCCGCTCTGCCAAACAAACCCCGCTTGCTGCTCCCTCTGCCCCGCAGACACCAGACAGTGACATATTTACTTTCTCCGTTTCTCTGGAAATAAAAGAAGATGATGGGAAAGGATATTTCAGGTGTGCTTTCCCCTCTTCATTTGATGCTTCTCTCCAGAACCCATTTCAACATGAAATATGGTCCAAGTTATTTTTTAGCTGGGTTTTAAAATGCTTTTTAAAGAATTGTTTTATGTTGCTTGAAATGGTCTTTATGTGGATGTAGTCTGATTTTATTGTGTTAACCTTTTAAAAATGGTATATTTTATTTTTTATGAATGATGCAGGGGGTGTGGTTAATGAGGGGTCAGTAAACGGGAAGCTAAAATGGGTGATAGCTGACTAAGTTATTCCCAGAGTAGACCCATTGAAATAAATATGGACTTCGTTGGCTACCATCCAATAAAAATGAAGCACATTGTCTGAAATCAGGTATGGGAATTTTATGTGCTGTTTTCTTCTGGCTTGGACTTTGTTCAGTGGTGGCCCTTTTTGTTAAGAAGGGAAGAGCCACCATGCAGCTGGATCAGGGGGGCTGGATCCTGGCCCTGACAGGGCAACACTGTGGGGCAGACGTTCAGGACCCCTCCCAGCAGAAGGAGCAGGAAGGCCCCACAAAGGCACCAGGGCTGGCCAACCATATTTTTAAAGTGAAGTAATATACCTTACTGCCTAAAGAGGAGGGCCTCCTAAGACCACAACGGGGAACTGTGCCCCTCCAGGTCTCCCTTGAGACCATAAGAAGAGCCTTGTTGGAAGGGGAAATATAAAAATAAGAGAGAAGGTAAAAAAGTGCTTATAGAAATGCTAAGATTAAAGTAAATATATATGGAAGTCAGGAAGAGGGGCGGGAGGAGGTTGATGCTCTGGTAAGAGTGAGGTTTGAGTTTATTGACGTATGTATGGATATTGTGATTACAAAAATAGAAAATGTAATATTATTATTTTTTTAAAAAAAGCAGAAGAGCCTTGTTGTATCGGGCCAGTGGCCCATCTTGTCCAGCCTCCTTCCCTCAAAGCGTTTTTTTCCCCATTGGATACATGCTGGAGATACTGGTCTCTTGACCTTGTTGCATTTGAGCGCCCATTGCCAAGCCCAGAAAACTTAAGACCTGTATCCTTAGCTTGCTCTATCTAGTGACCACCCTTTTTTTCTTCTGATGTGCACTGCCTTTGGAGTCATAGAGCTGTGAGGCCACCTGCTGTTCATTCTTGTCATAGCAGCTCTACATGTGTCAAACAGACTGGTGGCTGAGCAAAAAGAAATTGCCTTTTTAAAATCTTGGTGCCTCTTTTAAAAGAGAGTGCTGTGCGTATTGTTGATAGGAAGCAACATTTAGTACATCTTAGGTTTTTTGTTTTTTAAAAAAACCCAGTCTTCAATTACCACCTCAGCTAAATCTTAGATCTTCTCACCCCATTCTTGGGCTTCCAGTTCCTTATGTGTTCATTCCTCTACACTTTACTGTTTGTTCTCCAATATTGGTTGGAACACTTATTTCCTACCATCCTTCCATACCCTGCTGCAATCAGACTCTAAAAAGCCTTTTCAAGCCTAATTGGTGTTGTGGTATGAGTGTGTGTGTCCTGGAGATTAATTCTTGCCTCCCTAGCTGCTGTTTTCCATTAAGACTACCCACCACCCTCAATATGCTTGAAAGAAACTATAAACACTGATTCCCCTCCCCCCAGCTTTATTTCAGGTGTGGGATGGAGAGCAAGAGAGAGGTGTGTGAGATTTCAAATATTGGTGATTCCTGTTTTAGGGCATGCTGTTGTCCTTGTCGAATCACCAACTCTCTTAGATTTCTGGACTCACCCAGGCTGTGAAAACTCTCACTTGCCTACTGATTCTGTTCTCAAATTTGTGACTACAAATAAGAGGACCGTGTGAATATTTCCCTTTTTGACCACAGTGCTGTGCCCAAAGACAAGGACCGGCAGTGCTTTAAACTGCGCCAAGGCATCGACAAGAAGATCGTCATTTACGTACAACAGACAACCAACAAAGAACTGGCAATTGAAAGGTAACTTTGTGTCTATTTCCTCTGAAGAGCTTTGGTGGGCATGCAGGAAGGGGCATCTTTGGTGGTGGCCCCACACCCAAGTAAGATCAGACAGGCCCCCTCCCTGCTGCCCCCATCATTCAGCCCACACACTGAGGTTCCCTCACTGCAAGAAGTTACAGGGAACCAGGCAGAAGGCCTTCTTGGTAGTGGTGCTCTCCCTGTGGAATGCCCTCCCATCAGATGTCAAGGAGATAAAGAACTACACAACTTTTAGAAGACATCTGAAGGCAGCTCTGTATAAGGAAGTTTTTAAACGTTTGATATTTTATTGCGTTTTTATGTCTGTTGGAAGCCACCCAGAGTGGCTGGGGCAACCCAGTCAGATAGGTGGGGTACAAATAATAAAGTTGCTGTTATGTGGAATGCTGAAATGCTGCTAACATTTATTCTTACTGTGCTTGGTGGATTGTAGGGGGTTTTGTGTGTGCTGGCATTTTTAAGGTTTGGAGTTGTGTTGAATTTTGAATGGTGTCTTTTGTATTGTGTTCACCGCTTTGTGATGAGACTGTCTTGAAAAGCATGATAAAATCTATAAAATAAGTACCGTATTTTTCGTTCTATAGGGCGCACCGGCCCATAGGACGCACCTTGTTTTTTTTGGGGGGGGGAATGAATAAAAAAAATTATTCCCCCCCCCCGCCGCGGCTGCCGCCCCAAGCCTTGTGCACACCTGCAAGAAGCACGGGGCACCCTCCAGAGGGCTCCGCGTGCTTCGGGCGACAGGCTGCCGCCCCAAGCCTCGCGCGCTCAGCGGGACCTCCTGCTGGGCGCGCAAGGCTTGCAGACACTCGCCCGAAGCACGGGGAGCCCTCCGGAGGGCTCCCCGTGCTTCGGGCGACAAGCTGCCGCCCCAAGCCTTGCGCGCTCGGCGGGACCTCCTGCCTGCAACTCCCACCGGGCTTGCAAGGCTTGCGGATAGCTTCGCTGAAGCCTGGAGAGCGAGAGGCATCGGTGCGCACCGACCCCTCTCGCTCTCCAGGCTTCAGCGAAAGCCTGCATTCGCCCCATAGGACACACACACATTTCCCCATCATTTTTGGAGGGGAAAAAATGCGTCCTATGGAGCGAAAAATACGGTACAATGTATGTTCTGACTTGTAAAGTACTATTGAGCTGAAAATCTCCTCTAACCCTGCTGCCCAGTTCCTCATTTCAATTCTTCTCTAAGAGCTGATGGGGCAGTTGTTAAACAGTTTAGTACATACTGTGGTTTTTCTCCACTAAAGTACCCCATAAAATCTGACTACCTTTTTCAGAACTACCTGTTCCGCATGGAAATGGTTGCTAGAGGTTGGCTTTTTTTCTTTTTAAATCACAGGTGTTTTGGCCTCCTCCTTAGCCCTGGGAAGGATGTGCAGAGTGGCAATATGCACCTGTTGGATCTGGTAAGGTGCCCTTCAGTTTCCAGAGATTTCCCCCTCAAATAGCCCCGCTAAATGACATGTTGCTTGTGTGTTTCCAGGTGATTTCAAGTGTGTTTTGTGATGTGATCTAGCAGAGCCTATGGGCTTTGTTTTAACTCACCCTGTTCTGTGGTTTTAGGAGTCTATGGGCAAAAGTTCTGATGGGAAGTCCTATGTCATCACTGGGAGCTGGAACACAAAGTCTCCACACTTCCATAAACTGAATGAAGAAACACCGAAAGGTTTGTGATCAGTGACTTTTCTGTTTGGGTCAGATTGCTTGAGATGTGTAAGTTGTTTCCTGTATATTTTCCTAGATACGTGTGCAATGATCAGTGGCCAATCCCAGATAGTCGAATGTAGGGAATCTTTTTCCTATCGAGGACCTCATTCCGTCTGGGGTCGTCTGTTCAGAGCCACATACTGACAGTGGGTGGAGCCGGAGACTTAAGTTTTCTGGATAAACTAACCTTGAAATAAGACTGCCTTTTATCAGTTTTCACCATGGCTGTTTCACATTAGAATTGCTAGTCCCCTGCAGGTCTAGGTGGGTGTAAGCTCCACTGAGTTAGATTGGAGTATACTCAAAGAAGCATACAGAGGATTTCTTGTTAGTACTATAGTGGACTGATACAATTACTGTTCTGCGATGCAAGTGAAATTAATTCCTTTCTGACTTTAGTTAAAGCCTACTTGTTTGTTGTCATGCTTTTATAAAATCAGGAAGAATAGGAAGGAAGGAACTTGGATGGGATGGAAGAATGGGGTAACTTCAGAAGCGTTTGAGGGCCACAAAAAAGTGAAATCCAGGAGTGCACCTGGTCCCAAGTCAGCAAGTTGCCAACCTGTTTTGTCAAGAATGTTTTGTCAAGCTGAGATGGCGTTGAGTCAGGGTGCATGTGTGTGTGTGGCATGGAGACGTAATTGATGTCTCTGTGTTCTAACCCTTCAAGCCAGACTCTGGAAGACAGTTCAGGTGGGAGCAATGGCAGGAGGATAGCACCAAAACGATGGGACAGCCCACATAAAATGTGAAGCAGATGCTGGGAAATGTAATTCCCCTTGCTGGGAGATGACTTTGTTTCTGGACTCCATTTAAAATACTGGCTGTGAGCTACAACATTGCCTGGTTTATGGAGTGTACCAGGTTCTCTGTCATGGGCTAGTTAAGGTGGGGGTGAGGAACCTCCAGGCCGCAAGCCAATCTTGGCCCACCAAGATGAGGTTTGGCCTGCAAGACCTTTTCCTAAAAACCACACCTACCTGTCCCTCAGCTGAAATGAAGGTGGGGTTCAATTCTGCTTTGGCTGTGCAGACAGGGACTTGCAGCCCAAAGTAGGATCTAGCCCTCCTACTCCTAGTCAGCTGAAGAGCAGGGGCTAAATCCTACTCAGTTTTGGCTGCTCATGCTGGTTCTCTGCTGGGAACAGGCACACACAGTCAAGGCACTTTGATATTTTTTAATGAATATCAATTTTAAAATATTTTTTTATCAATAGATAAATAAGGCAAGCAAAAAGAAAGAAGCAGAAACAGTGCTGGAAAAATCCCCTCCATTGCCTTTGCCAAATGCTTTGCAAACTTCGCTCCCCGCCCCACTTTCAAGATTGAAGTGAGATAGGGGAGAGGCCTGAAAAAGCCTTTGCAAATTGTCTCCCTCTTCCCTTTTAAATTCCCAATCTCAGGGACTTTAAAGGGAAGAGAGAGGATGCTTACAGAAACCTTTAAAAGTCTCTTTCTATCCACTCCCCTTTCCTTGCAATCTCTGTCTGATATTAAATGGGATGGGGAGACGTGCAAATGTTTTGAGATCACAGTAAAAGTGATTTTAACAGGTGGGGAAAATGTGAGGTATTTTATATGTAATAATAATAATAATAATAAATAATAATAACTTACTACAACAACAACTTTCAGCTACAGTGCTGTTCACCCTTAACCTGGGAATAACCCCGCTTGGTCACCATGGTATGGATGTACCTGGGGTTTGGCTACCTGTGTCTAGGACACACTGGCATGGTCGATTTGGGCCACAGGCACAGGGCAAGGGCTGTGTTGAATGGCCTAAGGGGAAACACCAGCTTCCCTGCTTCCTCTCCTTAGACAAAGTGCTGTTCCTGACCACGGCTGTCGACTTGGTGATCACTGAGGTGCAGGAGCCTGTGCGGTTCCTCCTGGAGACCAAAGTCCGTGTGTGCCCTGCCAGCGAGAGGCTCTTCTGGCCTTTCAGCAAGCGGAGCTCCACAGAGAACTTCTTCCTGAAGCTGAAGCAGGTAACGCTTGTGGGTCCCATCCTTAGTGGTGTGGATATTGTGGGGCGGGCCCTTTCGTTCCTTCCCTAACTCTGTGGTCCTTTGAGTTATGTTCGTCTGGGACTCTGGTCTCGCATAGAGGAGAAAGCTAAACTTTTGGACCTGGTGCCGTTTGCGGGCTTGAGCCCAGCTCTTGCGCAGGCAGTACTTCCCACCTATCGCTGGGAGGGTTGGGAGAGGCTGTGTTTAAGCATCTTTTCCCTTCTTACACAGCCCAGGGATGGGCAGAGTTGCTTCCTTCCTTGGAATGCTAAGTGGGGCTGCAACCTTCTCTGAGCTTCTTGGGTTGGTGGGTGTCCTGGTGTGTCAGTTAAAAGTTCAGAGTTCAAGTGATGGGAAATGACTTTCTGGAGATACTTGGCTAGCCAGTGTGCAGTGTCCATTGGAGCCTCAGTCTCTCTCTGCCCCTCTCCTCCTTCCCTCCCTCATAAACCCCAAGGATGACAGTGATCCCAGACAATAACCTACCTAACCTACCTCACAGGATTGCTTTGAGGATGAAATGGGGAGAAAGAGCATCATGTACGCCACCTTGAGCTCATTGGGGGGAAAGGGGAGATGTGAATCAAATAAATAGTACGGGTGGCATCTGATTGACACACAACCCCTGACACACACATCCTTTTCAGCCCTGGAAAGGAGTGCGGAATGGGCTTACACACGACTGCTGACGCGCATAGTGACCCAGGATACAACCCCACACAAATGGGGAGTTGCTTGTAAATCAAAGGACGATGATTGCAGCACATTTGAGGTTCCACTGGAGAAGTGGAACTTCATGCCTTGGCACGTTGGGCAGGGGTGTGTGGGAAGTCTTTGAGGTTATGTTCTCCTCTCTTGAAGGTGAAATGTGGAGAAGTTTGAACAATTGCTTCTCTTGGCTATAAATATTTCTCGGCCCTAAAAGCATAAGCCTTGTTAATTTAAGGAAGTTTATCTTACTGAGCTAATTCTGTTGGCTCTTGTCTCGCTCCACCCACTCTCATTGTGAGGCTTGTTATCTCATTTGGTCTTGGCTTGTTCTCAGCCCCAATCTGACTCTTTACAAGGACCAGGCTCATCTTGGGTGTTGTGGGCGGAGGGGCACTGCTTTGTTTTGGGGTATTTCTTTTGAAGAGGTGCTAAAGAGATTTTGCCTGATAAACCTCCAAAGAGAACCTGATTCTTACAGACATCTGAGCAGCCATGCTGCAAGTGGTTAAGGGTGTATGCTTATCTTTATTTACCAGTGGTGTTGGAATTTTACCAGTGGCGGCAGCCTGGTGAAAAGAATAACTCACTTTTTCCAGAAAAAAATGAAGCCTGAGCTTAATTTTTGGAAATGGTTTCTGTTGGGGGTGGGGGGAACCATCTTGGACCTGGTTGTAAGGCAGGAACTCTGAACAGTGAATCAGAGGTTGAAATGAAAATATTTTAATTTTATTTATTTATTATTACCTTTTTATCCCACCAAGGAGTTCAAAGGGGCATATATGGTTCTCTGCCTCCTCATTTATCCTCACATCCAACCCTATAAGGTAGGTTAGGCTGAAAGACCTGGCTGGCTGAAGGTCACTCGCTGAGCTCTGTAGCTGAGTGAGGACTTGCACCCTCATCTCCCAGGTCCTAGTCCCAACACTTGAACCACAAAAAGCATCTCAGCCTCCCCCAGAAGGTCCATAGGTCTTGTCTTGCTGCCTTATAGAAGGCAGTTGGAATCCCCCCTCCCCAAGCATTAAGGAGCTAGAACATAGCGGAATCTGTATCCGGGGCAGTTGTCTGAATTCCACATACCTCCCTCTTCTCCCCCTCCCCCATTCCTGCCCTCTTGCTCCTATGCATCAAGGCTTTCTGAGAGGAAGAGCAAAGCGCTTTAACATAAAGTTTTGCCATTTTGGCCACAGAGCAAAGGACCTTTGGCAGATGTCTCTCTGGAATCCGGAAAGACTAACCAAAATTATTTTCTTTATCCCTCCTCTGTGGTTGTTGAATAGGAATAATTTCTTCCTCCTGTGCCTTCTCACAGATATATACAGAAAGTTGCTTGCGAGTCTGTCTAGGCATTTCTTGTCAAGCTCTTCCACAGTGCTGAAACCTAATCTGCCCTGTATCCTTCAGATAAAGCAGAAGGACCGGAAGAACAGCACAGACACACTCTATGAAGTCATATGCCTGGAGAGTGAGTCAGAAAGGGAGAGGAGAAAAACCACCGCGAGCCCAGTGCTCCGCCTGCCACAGTCCGGATCTCAGGGCTCCATGATCCCATCCCCACCAGAGGATGATGAAGAGGAAGGTAAGAAGGGACTAGCTGTGTCCCTCCGAAGCAGAGCAAGCAGATGGCTTTGTCAAGACTGCCTCTTGCTGTGAATCAGCTAAAGGTTTGCTGCAGAGAAGGTTACAAACGCGTTATGTGTTTGGGCTTGGACGATGTATTGATATATCACCCAGGACTGATTTGAGGGCCAGATCGCAATGGCGTCTTCACCTGGCAGTACATCATGGGTGGGGCTGGCTGGCTGGCACCTAACCTTCATTCTCCAGCTGCCTCCTTCCTCCCTGCGCCAGGTGCTAGTGGCAGCTGTTTCATCCCAGCACCTTGCAGGTCTGGGGTCGATGCTCCTTCCTATCAGCATGGTGATGTATCACTATATCACGATGTTTAGCTGGTGATACAGTGTGATGTTGAAAACCTGATATTGCACAGCCCTATACAGTCATACCTCAGGTTGAATGTGCTTCAGGATGAGCGCTTTTGGATTGCGCTCCGCGGCGACCCGGAAGTAACGGAGTGCGTTACTTCCGGGTTTCGCCGCTCGCGCATGCGCAGATGCTCAAAATGACGTCACACGCATGCACGGAAGCGGCAAAACGTGACCCGCGCATGCGCAGACGCACCGTCGCATCTTACGTTCCATTCAGGATGTGAACGGGGCTCTGGAACGGATCCCGTTCGCATCCCGAGGTGCCGCTGTATGTGTTTTCACTGAAGGCTTCAAAGCTGAAGGTAACTGCAGATACTACTACTGTTCTTCTACAGCAGCTTAGCACAACCTGGGTGCCTTCCCTAGGCTTGGGGCTACTGCAACTTCAGTCTAAAACATCTGGAGGGCACCAGGTTGGGCAAGGCTGCATTCGGTTGACTTAATCTGCTTTTCCTTTTCCTCTACCATACTAGCATTCCCAATGCTTTCATGAAGCCAAAAGTCGTATTTGGCAGATACCTATCTAGCTGTGATCCCTTCACTGCAGGGGGTTGGACTAGAGGACCTTTGAGGACCTTTCCAACTCTATACGTAATTCTATGATTTTATGCCGCATTTAGCTGTTGGCCATGGTGGAGGATGAAGTACCAGGCCCTTGCTCACCATCCTAAGTGATCTGCTAAGAGCTCTTACTGGTGCTTTCAGCGCAGGCCTTTGTTCTGGGCTGGCAAGTGCTGGTGGGGCTAGGAGGGGCATAGGCAGTGTGTGCGTGCACGTGTATGGTCAGGGTGGTGGTCAGTTTCTGCTCTCTAGTTTGTGTGGTTAATTGACCACGACTGTAGAGCATGAGTGGGGAACCTCAGGCCTGGTGGCTGAATTGAACCCTCCAGGTCTCTGTCCAGCCCTCAGGGCTCCCCACAGGCTGCGTCCTGCTCAGGTGCTTTTCCCACTTGCTTCCAGGGATAGAGGTTTGTGTGAGCCTGTTTTGATGAGTGTGTAGAAACCTCTGACTTTTGCATGGCTGGAATGCAGCATACAGTACAAAAGAAGAGCCAAATATGTTGCTGCACCCACTCTGTTTCTGGCTCGCAGACCTAGAAGGCTACGCATGAGAGAAAGAGAGCTGCCTTCTGCCTGGAAAGGGCTCCCCATGCCCAGCATCTTTTCCTGCTCCGCGGCATAAAATAGGGATGTGTTGTTTCCCCCCCTCTTCTGGCTTGGGCTGAACCACCCTGCTGTCTGTGCCATGTTTGCACTGGTTAAGCCTGATCCAACAGGTGCAGCGCATCCTAGTATTTCCTTCTAAATGGAGGTCAGAAATGGTGCTTCTTGCTCTCATGTCCCCTTCCTCTGCGTGGGTTTTGTGTCTTACAGATAACGATGAGCCTCTCCTGAGTGGTTCTGGAGACGTTTCCAAAGAGTGTGCAGAGAAAATCCTTGAGACATGGGGAGACCTCTTGTCCAAATGGTAAGCAGGTTCACCCCTCTATTGTGAACCAATCTCTTTGAAGAAGCTTATGGTTGAGAGTAAGGCAGGCAAGACAATGACAAAGAGGCAGGCAGGTAAGGGCACTGGAGGCTGCCACACACTGGATCCATTCTGTCCTAGCCAGCTTGTGCTTCTTGCTACCTGATATGCCCCTTGAAGGCTGCTGGGCAAGAGAGGCCAACTTCCAGCCACTGCCACTTCCCACACATGGTAGACAAGCCAGCTAAGAGTGAAAGGCTTACCTGGGCTGCTGCAGACTCCTCTTGCCAGCATCCTTGCCTGGAAGTCCCCTGCCGCCATGAGCCCTGCCAGCCAGTCCTCATTCATCAGCCTCTGTTGAATGGTTGTTCTGTGCCCGTTTGCATGCCTTGGAACTGCTCCCCTCAATTTATGAGCATGGGGCACTTGGATGTTGATGCCTTCCAAACTGCCTCAGAAGGTGGTGGACTCTCCTTCATTGGAAGTTTTTAAGGGGAGGTTGTATGGCTGTGTGTCATGGAGGCTTTAGCTGAAATTCAGAGGGTTGCAATAGATGATCCTCAGGGTCCCTTCCAACTCTTCAGATCTGTGATTCTACTTACATGCACACTGTTTTTTTTCTGTGAACCTACCTGCCAAATATGTTCCAATGTGGGCCTGGTCCCCCTCCCACCTTTCTGAATACATGAATGTGCTTCCTCCACATTTCTAAAATGATAGATCTGTCATCCTTTTTAAAAAGAGCATGGATTTGTTTAATTATTTTTTAAAAAAAACATTTATATACAAAAATATGTTACAGTGGTTTGTAACAATAAAAAACATAAAACCAGTCAATAACATCTTGAAAAGTTAAAAAGAATTTAAAAGCAAAAAGAAACTAGAAACAAATACCAGCAGATCTTATTTGCCTGCATAGGTCTTGTAGAACAGAAAAGTTTTCGGCAGGCCTTTAAAAGTTGGCACAGAAGGCTCCTGCAGAATCAACAGTCGCAGGGTGTTCCTCATGACAGGGCTGATGGCACTAAAGGCTCAATTTCTTCTTGTTGTGAAATGAGCCTCACCAACTCAGGGAATGGCCAAAGATGCTCCTGCAGCTGATCTCAGTGACTGAGCTGGGATAGAAGGGTTCAGGTGATTCCTGAGCTATGCTGGACCCTAGTTGTTCAGGACTTTGCAAATCAATTCAAGTACCTTGAACCTGGGTCAGTAACAGATGGGCAGCCAGTGCAGCCATTAACCATGGTGTCACATGTTCTTGAGGAGAGGCTCCCATCAGCAATCTGGCTGCAGCATTCTGCACTAGCTGGAGCTGCTGAACCAGACCCAAGGGCAGCCCCACATATAGAGCACATTACAGTCATCTAGTCCCGAGGTTACCAGTGCCTGGACTGCAGTGGTCAGACTATCTCTGTCCCAGAACAGGTGTAGTTGGCGAACCAGATGAAGCTGGTAAAAGGCACTCCTAGCCACAGAGGACACCTAGGTCCCAGTGATAAAGGTGTATCCAGGAGTACCCTCAAACTATGCACTTTCTCCATCAGAGGGGATGCAACCCCATTCAGGACAAGTAACTTGCCAATTTCCGGAATGTGGGAACCACCCACTCAAATAACCTTTGTTTTCCCAGAATTCAACTGCTCTATCTGGACACTGGTCCAAAGTGTTCACAGCCTCCCTGGTTCAGATGTTGCAGAGAAGTAGAGCTGCATATCTTCAGAATACTGGTGACACCTTGCCCCCAAACTCCTAATGGCAGCTTCCAAGAGCTTCACGTAGATATTAAATAGCACAGATTCAGTGCTACTTCTCTGGACATGAATTTGATGTGAATGGAACCACTGTAAAACAGTACCTCCGAAGCCCATCTCACTAAGTCTGTCCAGGAGGATACAGTAGTCAATGATATCAAAAGCCACAGAGATCAAGCCACCCAGAGTGGCCGGGGCAATCCAGCCGGATAGGCAGTATATAAATGATAAATTATTATTATTTTATTAATTAATTAATTATCAGAAGTAACAGGGTCACACTCCCATGTCCCTGTCATGATAAAGGTCCTCCATCAGGGCAACCAAGACTGATTCAGTTCCGAAACCAAGTCTGAACTCAGATGGTAGTGGATTTAGATAATCGTTCTATTCCAGGAATGCCTGTAGTTGCTCTCCATCACCCTGTAGTTGTTATACTCTGTTGGGTCTAGGGTTGGCTTTTTGAGGAGTAGATACACGGCTGCCTCTTTTAGGGCAGTGGGCACCACTCTTAACACACAAGGATGCACTTATCACACCTTTGACCCATCCAGTCACCCCAGCCCAGCTAGTTTTAATAAGCCAGGATGGACAAGGATCACTTCATGTGTCCTGTCCATATTCCCAGACCGCATCAATTGGAAATGATCTCACAACACTGAGCTCGATGTTGCATTGAACACCTGGTCAGGTACTTTCACAGTAGCAGCATCTAAATCACTGTAGAGCTGAGCAACTTTATCCTTGAAGTGTTTCGCTTGAAGTGGATACAGCTAGTTGCTGTGTGCTCCAGAGATCCACTTCCTGGTCAGGAGTAAGCAACCTCCAGACCACATAGAACAGCTCTGCTGGGCGACTTCCCAAGGATGCAATGGAGGCAGTGAAATAGGATCTCTTTGCTGCCCTCACTGCCACATGGTAGGCCTGATTATGATCTTGAACAAATGCTCAGTTAGCTCCTAAGTGAGATTGTGCCTCTTATGCTCCAACCCTCTTCCAGTCTGCCTCATTGACCTCAACTCCTCCATGTACCAAGCTGTGAAACAGACCCCACAGGGCCAGAGAGCGTGCTCAGAAGTGATCATGTCAAAGGCCCTATGAGTCTCACCATTCCACAGTGGAACTAAGACCTCAACAGGAACACCCCCTCTGTCCACAGGGAAATTCCCCAGAGAAGTCAAGAATCCACCCAATTCCATCTGTTTCTGGTGGCAGACCATCCTAACTGGTCTGCCACCCTTGTAAGGGGGGACAGACATAGCAAGTCCAAACCTCACCAGGAAGTCATCTGACTATGACAATGGGGTGATAATCAAACACACACCATTTCCAGACCACCCCCTCCCCACGTGGATCAAAGGCTACTTCTGTGCATTGGACCAATAACTGTGAGACAGATTCAGGTAGGTTGCTGTGTTGGTCTGACGCAGTCAAAATATATAAAAAAATTGTCCAGTAGCACCTTAGAGACCAACTAAGTTTGTTCTTGGTATAAGCTTTTGTGTGCATGCACACTTCTTCAGATACTGAGACAGGCCCATGGCTGCATCATGGACCTGAGGCATCATCAGTGTGGATGTTGGAGTCGCCCAAAACCATTCAGTCCATGGTCTGTACCCTGCACACCCCTTGTCTTATGTCTGGACTCCTTCCTCTCTTCCAGGCACTTGAATCTGAGTGTGCGACCAAAAACCTTGTCCACGCTGGTGAGAAGCGGAGTCCCTGAAGCTCTCCGGGGGGAGGTTTGGCAGCTGCTTGCTGGATGTCACAACAACGACCACCTGGTGGAGAAGTACCGGATCCTCATCACAAAGGTAGACCAATGGAACTGTCTGTGTGTGGGGGGGGGAGAGAATGGTTTAGTCCGATAGATTTCTCTGCCTGACACGTTCATCTTTTTGGCACTGATGGCTTTCAGTCTGTTTCTGTGGAATCCTGGAGCCATCTCTGAAGGTTATTGGGGGCTCCTCAGTAAGATCACCAGTAACGGTGGATGCTTCCTTGAGAGGGCACTGGCTCACTGCTGCTGCTCCCCTGTTAATGTGCAGCTGTGGCAGAGCTGTGAATGCATTCGAAGGCAGCAGCGGGGTTTGTTTATGTCATAACATTTATAGACTGCTTGACTGTAAAGGAAAAATGTTAAAGCGGCCCACAAAAGAATAAAACAGTTATCAGTAAAAACAGTTAAAAACAGCTATTTAAATCTTTCAAATAATAACTGAAATAACAAGTTAAAGGACTTGTCAGCATTCTGTGTATCTGGATAGGCTTGCCTGAACAGAAATGTTTTCAGCAGGCACTAAAAAGCGTATAAGCGGTTCCACCTGGCTGATGTTAATAGTCAGGGAGCTTCAAGTGTGGAAACTGCCTTACCAAAAGACTCTCATAAGTGCAGAACGTGTATTATGTGGGACATGTAACAGTTCCGATTCCACAGATGGAAGAGGGGTTGGGACCAGGGGCACTGTTATGCAGTGGGTCCACTCCTTCCTCCTGGGCTGTGTCTAGAAAGTAGTGTTGAGGCAGGAGTGTTCAGACCCCTGGGCACTCACTTGGGCTCTGTCCTCTCCCCCATGCCTTTTAACATCTATATGAAGCTGCTGGGCAAGATCATCAGGGGGGTTGGGCTGGGTGTTCATCAGTATGCGGATGATATCTAGTTCTACCTCTCTTTTAAATCAGAACCAGTGAAGGCGGTGAAAGTCCCATGTGAATGTCTGGAGGTGGGTGGAGGATGGTTAACGGATTGAGGTTGAATCTTGACAAGACAGAAGTACTATTTGGGGGGGATGGGGGAGGGCAGGTGTGGGGGACTCCCTGGTGCTGAATGGCATAACTGAGCCCATATAAGACCAGGTGCACAGCCTAGGAGTCATTTTGGACTCACAGCTGTCCATGGAGGTGCAGGTCAATTCTATGTCCAGGGCTGGCTGAGACCCTACCTACCTGTGCACTGTCTCGCCATAGTGGTACATGCTCTGGTTATCTCCTGGTTGGACTACAGCAACATGCTCTACGCGGGGCTACCTTTGATGGTGACTTGGAAACTACAACTAATCCAGAATGCAGCAGCTAGACTGGTGACTGGGAATGGCTGCCAGGAGCATATAACACCAGTCCTGAAAGACCTACATTGGCTCCCAGTATGTTTCCAAGCACAATTCAAAGTGTTAGTGCTGACCTTTAAAGCCCTAATTGACCTTGGCCCTGTATCCGTGAAGAAGCATCTCCACCCTCATCATTCAGCCCAGACACTCAGGTCCAGACACCTCCTAGGGTCTTCTGGCGGTTCCCTCACTGCAAGAAGTGAAGTTACAGTTGGCTGTGGTGCCCTCCCTGTGGAATGCCCTTCCATCAGATGTCAATGAGATAAAGAACTATACCACTTTTAGGGTATAGGTGGGTTTTTTAGGGATAGGTTTTTTAGGGAGGTGGGTGGTCATCTCAGTCTAAACCACTGAGCTCCTTGTGCTTGTCAATCAGAAGGTCAGTGGTTCGAATCCCCACGACGGGGTGAGCTCCCATTGCTCTGTCCAGCTTCTGCCAACCTAGCAGTTCAAAAGCATGTCAGTACAAGTAGATAAATAGGTACCGCTGCGGCAGGAAGGTAAACACGTTTCCGTGTGCTCTGGGTTCCCTCACGATATCCCATTGCACCAGAAGCGGTTTAGTCATGCTGGCTACATGACCCAGAAAGCTGTCTGCAGAGAAACGCCAGCTCCCTTGGCTTGAAGCGAAATGAGCGCTGCACCCCATGGTAGCCTTTGACATGACTTAAACGTCCGGGGTTCCTTTACCACTTTTAGAAGACATCTGAAGGCAGCTCTGTATTGGGAGGTTTTTAATGTTTGACATTTTATTATGTTTTTATACGTGCTGGAAGCCCCAGAGTGGCTGGGGCAACCTAGTCAGATGGGTGGGGTATAAATAATATAATAAATCAATTAAGTGGTTAAGTGGGCATATATGTGGTAAAGTGAACTACAACCCTCATCAATCCCAGCCAGCATGTACCAGGGTTGGCAAAGGTTGGTCTGCAATCAGACACATTTGTGGAAAATGGCTTTATTGGAAGTTGAGTGGAGCCTGCATTTTCAGAGGCAGAATATGCATGGAGTAGCAGATGCTGTGGGCAAAAGGCTGTTGCTTGTAAGTATCCCTGAAGCTTCCTGCAGCCCACCATAGGAAGCAGGATGTTGACTAGGTGCACCATTTGGTCTGCTGCGTCCTATGCTTTGTTCATGCCTAGCAGCCTCCTCCAACCTGGGCGATGCTAGTTGAGACTGAGGGGAGTTGTAGTCCAAAACATCTGGTTGGGGAAGGCTGCTGCCTAAGGTCATAATCTTGTGGTGAGGGGCTTGGGTGCATGGAAAAACTGTAGGTCACCACTCATTATGGTGCCAACCTTTGTAGAAACACAAATATGGCGTTACCATTTAAAAAAATTGTTTCCTCCTTTCTTTTGTTGTTTAAACAACAGCCTCTGTTGCTTCTTTTTTACTGCCACTTGCTTGGATGTGCTCGCTGAAAGTGTCAGTCAGCAAAATTAGCTCAGTGGGTTTTTAAAATGCAGCTTGTTTGTATTTATTTATAATGCATTGCGTATATTATATTGCGTTAACTTCTGGCAGTGCTCTTTTCATCTTTGTTGTTCCTTATGAAAACATTTAGCCAAAGCCAATAAAAGTACAGTTGAATTGGGTCCTAGGTCTGTGACTTAATCCTTGGGGAAGAGTATTTGGGCAGATAGATGGTGGCCTGGTTTTGTGGAGGGCATCAAATTAGTATAATGGATGATGGATGCTATTATCTACCAGGTTGGGAACTGGGTGGGCAGAAATCTGGGTTTGCTCAGCAGAAGTAATTAAATCTGTTTGAAAAACTGCTGAGAAGATGGTGGTAATCTCACTGTTCTTTCCGTATTAAAACTGGTGCTAATCCATTTTCTTTATGTCTTACTACAGCCTTGCATTTAACAACTAACCTGGTAGCCTTAGATGCCCAGGAATTTCATGCAGGCGAGTGAGTGGGCTAGAAGAGGAACAGACTCTTCCATCCCTCATCCACCAGCCTACTTGGTGTCCATGCTGGGAGTGTAAAAACTGTGATGCATTTGTCAGCGTAGCACTGTGGCAATGAGTTTTAATGTCAACAGACATTTGCAAGATGTATTCTGAGTCTAAATTTGTGGCAGTTGTGTGCCTTAAAGCCACCCACACTTCACGCTGGGGCTCTTGCCAGCTGTGCAGCACAGAAACCTGTCAAATGAATGTGGTATTTGAGGTGGAATGAAAGAAGGAGACAGGTGCACGCAACCCCCCCCCCTTTTTGTGGTAACTAGCATGGTAAAGGGTACCGAAGAAGCAGGAAATATAGGAAAGCTCTCCAGTTGGCGGCATTAGCCGCTTCTGCTAGGTTGCTTGGAAGAAGGTTGTGATGCAGCTTTGAAAGAAGAGCATGATTGTTTGGAAGGAGAAACAGTAATTGCATTCGGGTCCCAGGGAATCTGCCTGGCCTGCTCAAAACCAGACGGAGACAGTGTTACTCATCCACATGCTTGCATCATGGTATTAATGTGTGGGGTCTGCATAGGAGATTCACTTAATCTTCCTGTACCTGTTGATCCCACCTGTAAATCATGCTCTCCCCACCCCACAAGCACACATACTAGTGGAATGCCACAAACACAGAGTTTCGAACACCTAGTTTTCTTTGCAAGGCACTGCTCCTTGCTTGCTGCTGGAGCTTATATGTTCTGTGCCAGACCTACATCTCCTTCCAGTTTCCTCAGGCCAAGTCCTGCCGTTGCTGTCTGCCTTTTGAGACTGGTGCAGTGGGACTTGCTGTCTGAATTGGCTCACAGTATTGATTTAGCTGCCTCCTAGAGCAGGCATAGGCAAACTCCGCTCTCCAGCTGTTTTTGGCCTACAACTCCCATGATCCCTAGCTAACAGGATCAGTGGTCAGGGATGATGGGAATTGCAGTCCCAAAACATCTGGAGGGCTGAGTTTGCCTATGCCTGTCCTAGATCTTCTTGATTGGGCCACCTGTTACGCTACCCACCAGCCTCTCCTCCCCTTTCTCCCAATAGCCACCATCAGTTTTCCAGATAATGTCATCTCCCAGGCAGGTGCTGGCCTCCAATCAGAATTCTGTCAAAAATGCCAGTTTTGATGGATTGGAGTTTGCTAGGCAGACAAGCAAGCAAGAAGTCTGGTTGCTGTGGTTCTGTTCTCTCCTGCCCAAAAGTAGATGATGCTCTCACATGCCTACTTTTTTTGCTATCCGAAAACAGCACCTCTCCACTCTTCTCCACCATCCTGACTGTGCTTGATTTGCAGGAGATTTCTCTTTCTCTCCATGCTGTTGCTCTCCTGGTCTTGGTGGGGGACGGGACATCAGGAGGAGAACTGATTTTCTGCAGCTCATTTGCATTTTGAGTAACAATGCTCTCAGAATTTTGGGTGAGCTTGGTGTAGAATTTGCATTCACTTGGGAAACAGTGAATGCAGCCTGGGAAGGAAAAGAAATGCCACTGGCTTTCTGGATGCCAGCTTCCAATTCTTAGGAAGTTAAATAGCAACTTAAATAGCCCCTTTCAAAATCTTCAGGTTCCTGTCCCCCCAAATTTCGTGGCTTTAAAAACATAGGAAGAAGCTTCCTTTATAGTGTGTCAGACCAGGTTCTGCCTCCACAGGAGGCAGCGATGCTTCAGTTGCTGGAAACCACAGGAGGAGAGAGGGCTCTTGTGCTCAAATCTTGCTTGCAGGATCTTGCTTCCAGCCATCTGGCTGGCCACTGTGAAAACAGAATGCTGAACTAGATGAGCCATTGTCCTGATCCACCAGGTTATTCTTATGTTCTTTATTTCAGTCTATCTCCATGTTGTTTATGCTGACTGGCAGTGACTCTCCAGGGTTCCAGACACGGTTCTTTCCCAACTCTATCTGGTGATGCCTGGAATTGAACCTGCGACCATCTGCTTGCAAGCCAGATGCTTTGCCACTGAGCTATAGACCTTTTCCATCTTCTCTTGCCCCTGCTTTTAAAGGCTATATGCCTAGAAACCCAGAAGGATGTTGTAGAAGCCAAGATATGCACTTTCTAGCCTAGCTTGGTCCTCTGGGTCTCTCCCTTCTTTGAGAGGGTGGGGGCAAAGGACCAGGGTCTGATTTTTCTCCCTGGGAATTTTGATCTCTTGCTTTACTTTGATAGCCAGACCAGCATCCATCCTTCTGTCACTGTACATTTTTATTTTTAAACAGGCTGGATTTTGTGTGTTGTTTCTTTTTAGAGGCTGCACTGAGCCACAAATGGCTGTTTGGCTTCTCCTTCCGCATGAGTAGCTGCTCCACTGACCCAGCAAGCTGCTGCTTCAGCTTGTGCTGGCTCAGCAAAAGGGGAGCAACAAATGAGGAGATCCATAATGCAACCCTGATGGACTCGCCTAGTTTCCCTGGCAGGTTAATGAACTGCTGTCAGGCTTGGAGTCGAGAGGAGTCCTTTGGGCACATAAGAGGAGCCTGCAAAAGCAGACCAGTGGCCCATACAGCACAACCTCCCGTTTTCACAGTGGCCAGCCAGGTGTCTCTGGGAAACCAACAAGCAGGATTTGAGCACAGGAGCAATCCCTCTTCCTGTAGCTTCCGGTTGAGCTCTACAGAACAAAATAGAAACACTGAATGCATCAAATGTGGGAAGCCTCTTTCTGGTAGCAGTCTGGCTATTTTCACTGGAGATGCTGAGTAAATGCAACTCCAAAAGGAGCTGGTGGAGTGTCTGAAAGGCCTGTCGGTTGGGATATCTCTGAAAACCAACTCCCTTTCTCAGCTAGGACTCAAAACCTTTGTTTCAGAACTTCGCCCTTTATGACTTTTGCCCCTCTGTCCTCACTGGTGGGTCTATGCCCCACATGGCAGAAGGCCCTTACGTTAACACATCCATTTGTGTTGGCAGCAGCTGCTGCTGCTCTGGAGCCATTTCCCCAGCAGATGTCTCCGGAGCGAATAGAACTGGATGAAGTGAGAGCTGCTGCAGTAAATCTTCTGGCCCTTTTGCCTTTCCATTCAACTAGTTAGAAAGTTTTTCAGGAGAATACATATCCAGGCATGTGTCAAATAAATCTGGCTGTCATCTCACAACAGCAGAGATTGGGATTGGCACTTCGTCCCCCAACAGGCAGGTGGGTATTGTCCCAATAGCAGTGCTGACACCCATTTACAGAACTCTTTGTGAATAAAATCATTTGAGTTCTGGCTTCCATTCCTCTCCCAGTACAGTTTAAACAACTGGTTATAGAATACAGTCGTACATCGGAAGTTGAACACCTTGCAAGTTGAACATTTTGGTTCCTGAACGCTGCAAACTCAGAAGTGATTGTTCCGGTTTGCGAACATTCTTTGGAACCCAAACATCTGACACAGGTTCCACGGCTTCCGATTGACTGCAGGAGTTTCCTGCGGCCAATTGGAAGCCATGCTTTGCTTTCCGAATGTTTTGGAAGTCAAACGGATTTCTGAAACGGATTCCATTTGACTTCTGAGGTATGACTGTAGTAGAATTGTAGAGTTGGGAGGAACCCTGAGGGTCACCTAGTCCAAGCCCCTGGAATGCAGTAATCGCCACTAAAGAATCCCTGACAAGTGGCCATCCAGCCTCCCTTTTAAAACCTCCAGGGGAGGAAAGTCCACAGCCTTCCAAGACAGTCTGTTTCACTGTTGAACCATCAAAAAGTTCTTCCTAATGTTTAGTCACAATATGCTTTCCTGTCATTTGAATCCATTGATTTGGGTCCTGTCCCTTGGAGCAGAAGAAAACAGGCTTGCTCCATCTTATGTGACAGCCCTTTAGATATTTGAAGATGGCTATCATATTTCCTCTCACTCTCCTGTTTTCCTAAACACACCCCACTCCCTCAACCCTTCCTCATAAGCAGGGCTGTCTTTCCCAGGGGTGCAGGGCACCCAGGCATTGAATTCTGGGGAGGCCCTACCGCTGAAGCCGCCTAAGCTCTTAACTATCTACCTGTTACGAAAAAATAAGTAAATTTGATCAAGCTGACATTCAAAGCTGGCCTCCCCCCGACCGCTTTCTCCTCCCCAGAGTCCCGCCCTGCGTGGAAAGGCGTTGCTCTCTCGCCCACCATCAGCATGGCTGCTGCGTCCCTCTTCTTCTCCTTCCTCCTCCTGGGGAGCTTTTAAAAGCGCATGGATGTAAAGCTGCGTGCCTTTGCGGAGCTCGGGCACCTGGTTCTTGAGGGGCGACAGCAGCAAGACTTGCAAGGGCAGGCCGCCGCCATGGCCTTGCCTGCAACCACGGAGAAGTATATCTTGGGTGTAGACGTGGGCAGTCTAAATTTGGGGGCACTGGTCGGATCTTTGCACCCCGGCGGCGCATATGCTAAAGACATCCCTGCTCATAAGGCTTGTTTTCCAGGACCTTTATTACCTATTTGTTTTTGTGTGTGAACCTGCTAGCCTCAATTTCGGCTGTTGTATGTGTCACTGAAGCAAGGTTGTGGCTTCTATGAGAAACATTTAAAGTTGTCTTTGTGTCCTGGCCTGTTCGGGATCCACAAGCCATAGTTTCCCCATTTGGACATAACAGGAAACCATGGCTTAACTGTGGCTTCCTGGCTGGTTTATTCATTTGCACAAAGGAGTGAGCCTAAAGTGCCTAAATGCAGGTGCTTGAAGCTTATTTATATGGTGGCTTATTAAGCTAAGATTTGATCAAGGGATTGCAGCCAGTGTTTGCTTCTATATAGGCTTTGATGCTAGCCTCTGAGGGAAGCTCTTGCATAGTTCCTAATTATTGTAAGACAGATATTTTTCAGTTGTGTCTGCCCCATAATGTCCAGATCACTATCTTTTAGTGGCGATTTTGTATAGGACCTGTTAAGAGCATGGCAGAGCATAATTGCCAAGCTTAAACATCTCAGTGGGCGTGGGAGTGTGCCAGCTGGGTTGGGTTCAGATGGTTTAAACCACGTGCAGAGTGTGTCTTGGGAGAGAGAGCATGCACTTTGGGATGTGTGCCGCATGCCGTCTGCCCCGCCCCCTCGCAGCCCACTCCCATGTGTCTAACTCAGAAGGGCATATTAGGATTTTTGCTGCACATCTTGGGTGAAGAAGGACAGCTTTGGGGGGGAAACAACAACTTAATGCCTTGGTGATCAGCCAAGGAAAGACGCGTTGCAAACCTGTAAGGGAACTGGACCTCTGAGCACATGATTACTCTTCGCACCTCCGAGAGCCCCTTCAGAAGAACGAAGCGGGTGGGCTTGGCTCCTGGCAGACTCAGCCGCGGCCCCTCTTTGCTAAAGGGCGGGGCGCTCCTCTTTGGAGATGAGGGGGCGCACCGGCGATCGAGCCGGGAAACGAGGGCGCGCGCGCCTTTGCTGCGGCTATCCGGGCGCGGAAGGGAGGCTCTTGGCTGCGGCTCCCCCCCCCCCCCCCATCGCCGCCGCCGCCGCCGCCTGGATCGTCTTCCTTTGTCCGCCCCCTCCCTCGCACCTGGGTCCCTCCCCCTGCGCCGCGCAGGCTTTTCTACGGCCGGCAGCTGCTCTGCCTGGCTGGGCGCATCAAAAGCAGCCTCTGCCGCGTCCCTCTGCGTCTGCTCCCGGCGCTTGCTTCGCCTTTGTCCCTCTCGGCTGCAGGTAGGCAGGAGGGCAGCTCAGCCTAGCCCAGCCGTGGGGGAGGGGGAGGGACCCGCAGGCCGGACCCTCTCTTCCTCCTCCCCTTTCCTCACTCCTGCATCGACGGAGAGGTGCGGGATCCGGCGCGGCGGCGGCGCCCATTCTCCAGCCGGCTGCGGAGAGGCTAGCCGAAGTCCTGCAGCGTTGTGGGTGAGGAGGCCGGCTTGTACGCGTCCTGAAGCTATGGGAGGGGGGATGCTGTAAAGGCACCCCTCCCTCCTTTCCTTTTCATCTAGCACCCGCCCTCGCGTGGCTATTGCTGGATCTCCTCTCCCCCCCCCCATTGCACAAGCAAGCGAGCTTCCCTCCATCCCTTTTCTCTATCGCCCCCCCCCTTTCCACGCATCTGTGCGTGGTGTGTTGCTGAGCTGCCAGCAGAGAGAGAGAGAGGAGGAGGAGGAGGAGGAGGGGGCGGTGGCTGTGGAGGCTGCAGCCCAAAGAGCTGGTGTTTCCAGGAGGGAGCCACTGCGGACAATGCCCAGCAGCTCCAGGGAGCATCTGCATCCCTCTCCATCTCCTGTTTGGGCTTTGACAGGGTGGCACGTGTGGCAGCCGCAATGACAGCAGAAGCAGCCAGGCAGCATCCACCATCAGTGGCGGCAGAGTGAGGGGGTTTCTGCCACCGACGCAAGATGAATGCCTCCCTCGATGGTAGCAACCACAGCAGCAGCAGGCCCTTCTGCCTCCTGGCTGCCGGCTATCCGGAGGCCTTGGACATCTGCCTGCTGGAGCTGATTGTCATTGTCTTCCTCACCGTCCTCATAATCTCGGGCAACATTGTGGTCATCTTCGTCTTCCACTGTGCGCCACTGCTGAACCACCACACGACAAGCTACTTCATCCAGACCATGGCCTACGCTGACCTCCTGGTGGGTGTGAGCTGCCTGGTGCCTTCACTCTCCTTGCTGCACTACCGGGTCACCTTCTTGCCGGAGTCTGTGATCTGCAAAGCCTTTGGCTACGTGGTCTCCGTGCTCAAGAGCGTCTCCATGACCTCCCTGGCCTGCATCAGCGTGGACAGGTACATTGCCATCACCAAGCCGCTGTCCTACAACACCCTGGTCACCCCCTGCCGCCTCCGGGTTTGCATCCTGTTCATCTGGCTGTACTCGGGCGCCGTGTTCCTCCCGGCTTTCTTTGACTGGGGAAAGCCCGGCTATCATGGGGATGTTTTCCAGTGGTGTGCTGACTCCTGGGACACCTGGGCCATCTTCACCCTCTTCATCATCATCATGCTGTACGCGCCGGCAGCCTTCGTGGTCTGCTTCACCTATTTCAGCATCTTCCGCATTTGCCAGCAGCACACAAAAGAGATCAATGAGAGGCGCGTGCGGTTCAGCTCCCAAGAAGGGGAAGCGGCTGATTCCCAGCCATGCCCAGACAAGCGCTATGCCATGGTTCTCCTGCGCATCACCAGCGTCTTCTACATCCTCTGGCTCCCCTACATAATCTACTTCCTCCTGGAGAGCTCTTCCGTCTACCGCAACCGAGCAGCCTCCTTTCTGACCACCTGGCTTGCCATCAGCAACAGCTTCTGCAACTGTGTCATCTACAGCCTGTCCAACAGCGTCTTTCAGAAAGGCTTGAAGCGCCTCTCTGGCGCTGTTTGTGTCTCTTGCGCCAGGCACCGGGCGCCAAAGGAGTCCTCCGCCTCGAGGAGCAAAAGACCTTCGAATGGGTGTCATGCGTAAGATACAGATTGCTCCGGCAAAAAACAACAACAACAGAAAATAGATTAAAGATATTGCCAGGTTTGCAAAAATAACTAAAAAACTGACAAGAACACACAATTTTTCTCTGAGAAATGCTGCTGAAGAACTGGAGATTTCCACAAGCATGTCTGTTTTAGTGTTTCACTTTACAAATGTCCTTGTGTGAGGACCTGGCACCTGTGTTTCCAAAACTGAGCGCTCCTCCTCCTCCTCCCCTTTCTCTCCTGTCTGGGAGTGCCTGCCAGTGCTGGGCATGCAAGACCTCTAGCAAAAGAGACATTTGTGTTCTTCCTTTAAAGCTTGGGCATTTTCGGAGAGCTTTGATCTTGCGTGTCAATGTGGGAATGTGTAAATGGTCTGATGGTATACTCCCTGATTATTTGCTTTTGTTTTTCTGTGCAAATGCCAAAGTATATTTCAGAATTCTTAACATAAGGGGCCAAATTATAGTCTCCCTGACTTACCCCCAACCCCATTTCCCCCATAGTCCTATAAACAAATAATGTAAACACTTGAACATTTGATTTTGTCGTGTGATACAGCCACACCACATGTGATTAATCAGTATTCTGACCTCCCCACCTCCCCTGATGCTTTTTCCAAAAACTTCTCATCCTGAGTGCCCTGTTAGAATGCTCATATGTGATTTACAGTACAGTGTTTGCATTTTTATTTTTAAGAAAATGTTTGTGTAGTAATTGGGATGACTTTGAAGCAGACAAAATTTAGCAGTTGAATAAAGTATTTTCTTTTTCTAAGTAAGTGGAGACAATATTTTGACCATATTTATTGCTCTGGAGATGTAGGCGGCAGCTTGAGAATGGAACAAAGGCATTCTCATTAGAAACCAGTGTGTGCTCAATTTTTGTTGTTGTTTTGAGGGAATTTCTTTTTAAAAAACTTTATTTTTAAATATTGAATTCCTCTAATACTTTACATACAGCTTTAGTAGCACAAGAGTGAAGCATCAAGAAAGGTGCAATATTTTGGATTTCCAGTTGGGAAACTGGGGACTCCTTCCTCCTGTTAGGGTAGGTGGGCTTGATATCTGTTCAAAACCCCCAGGAGCCAACTGCATTTCTGGTTTAACAAATGGAAAGAGGAGTTGGGCTCAGTGAACTTGCCTGGGGTGTCCTGTATGTCCCCATTTGAGGAAAGCAGAGCAATCTCTAAGCAGATCAGTGTTCTGGGTACAACACTCCCTGTTGTCCCTATCACACCCCTGGCGCTGCCTTGGCATGATAAGTTTCTTTTGAGGGAGAAATATACAGAAAGCACACTGCAAGTCATGATGGCTATAAAGTACATTTCTGATCACAATTCAAAGTGTTGGTGCTGACTTTTAAAGCCCTAAACGGCCTCGGCCCAGTATACCTGAAGGAGTGTCTCCATTCCCGTTGTTCAGCCCGGACACTGAGGTCCAGCGCTGAGGGCCTTCTGGTTGTTCCCTCCCTGCGAGAAGTGAGGTTACAGGGAACCAGGCAGAGGTCTTTCTTGGTGGTGGCACCTGCCCTGTGGAATGCCCTCCCATCAGATGTCAAGGAAATAAACAACCACCGTGGTACCTCTGGTTACGAACTTAATTTGTTCTGGAGGTCCATTCTTAACCTGAAACCGTTGTTAAGCTGAGGTACCGCTTTAGCTAATGGGGCCTCCCGCTGCCGCCGCTGCGTCATTTCTATTCTCATCCTGAGGTAAAGTTCTTAACCTGAGGAACTACCGGGTTAGCGGAGTCTGTAACCCATAGTGTTTGTAACCCGAGGTACCACTGTATCTGACTTTTATAAGACAACTGAAGGCAGCCCTGTTTTGGGAAGTTTTTTATGTTTGATTGTTTATCGTGTTTTCAATATTCTGTTGGGAGCCACCCAGAGTGGCTGGGGAAACCCAGCCAGATGGGCAAGGTAGTAATAATAATAATAATAATAATAATAATAATAGTTATTGTTATTGTTATGAATCTCCCAGTTCAAAGCCAGTTGACCTTTGAATACCAGTTATCAGAGGGGAGCAACAGAGCAGGAGGGCTGTTTTCATGCCTGCCTTGTGGGCTTCCTAAGAGGGCATTCCTTTGTCCACTGTTGGAAATGGCAATGTGGTGCTTTGGGTTGATTAATCAAGGCTCTCCTATTAATTTCTTTTCCTTGTCTAGTGGAGGGACAAGTAGGCATGCAGAACCTGAATTCTCACTCTCTGGCTGCAGGTGACCTGCTCTCTTCCCCTCACTGGGATTACTGGTTATGCTCCCCACTTTTTCAAGCTTATCTTCTCCGGTCATATTTTGGTGAGTTTTAAAACAGAGACAGTGAACCTGTGGCCCAAGAAGCTGTTGGACTCCCATCAGCCTCACCCAGAGTGATCAGTGGTCAGGATGAGAGGGGTTTGTAGTCCAGCAGGATCTGAAAGGCCCCCTTTTTAAAAAAAAACTTCTGAGAGAGCTGCCACTGGGACTTAGACCAGCTCCTATTGTCTGGAGCTAGTGGCTTTTTTGTTTGCATGCCTGATAGAGAACTTGTTTTTGTAGGTGCCTCCCCTGCAGCTGGGTCCAGACCAGTATTTCATATATTTTAGCCAGTGTGCTGTTTTTTTAGAGCTAGATGTAAATGCTGAAGCTGCTGCATGATGATATCTTCTGAAGAAGACGAGAACAGCTGTCTCGAAGTGAGTGTTCATCATGTTTGTGGGCTCTTTGCAGTCTGCTTCTTGATACAGACTTTCAATGAAGGCCTGCTTTTCCAGATGCCTAAGAGCAAGCTGCGGGAGGTACGGGAGGCGGTGGAGGACAGGGGTGCCTGGCATCCTCTGGTCCATGGGGTCACGAAGAGTCGGACACACCTGAACGACTAAACAACAACAACAAGAGCAGCAGCGGCCAGCCTGCACCCTCCAGACACTCCCATCATCCCTGACCATTGGCAGTGCTGTGTGGGGCTGGTTGGGAACTGTAGTCCAAACCCTGGTGAGTCCCACATTTGCTACCCCTGTTCTAAAGAGTGATCTTTGGATCAACTTTTTGGCTTCTTGGAGACATGCCTTTCTCTTGCATGCTGTGTGCACCCATCCACCCATTCTGTAGCTCTCTTTATTTCAGGAATGTGGAGAGGCTTTAAAGAACAGCAGGGGGTGGGTAGCAATTTCCATTAAAAAGAAACCGCTTTAACCTCCTCAAACTAAGGGCACTGGTGTTGCCCATCAGCTGATGGGTGATGGGGGTGTGCCCTTCTCCAGCAGTGGAACCACTGGGAGCCCTCTGTAAGCTCCTGCTCCATCCTTTAAAGCCCTACCTTTACCTGCCCAATACCTTATGTCAGTTATGATGGCAGCTGTATTTGTGAGTTCACCAGAATGATCTGGCTAGCCAAATGGGAAGGCTCTGGCAGCTCCGTTTCATCTGTGGGCCAGAAGTTCCTCTTGCTGGATTAAGCTGTGGCCAGACATAAGATCCTGTGTCTCTGACCTTCTGTCCCCAAATGAACTCGCCCATCTTTACTGTACTATAATGCTGTGGGTTATGATAAATAGAAACTGTTGTTGTATCATAACTCTTTTGCCACTGATCTAAGCTCCTGTGATGCCACAGAATGTTCACAAGTGTTTTGCAGTTTATTAAAGAGAGGGCCAGCTCATAAAAAGTGTCTTTTTGATGGGAGGTAGACTTCAGCCAAACTGAAGAGGGGGCGGGGAGCCTTAAATAGCGTATTTAAGAAAGGCAGGAAGGCAGATCAGGAAGTGGCTGGAATGAGTAGTCTTGAGATGTGAGGTCACCCTAGGTAGCATAGAAGTAATTGGGACAACCTCATGACTGGTCCATTGGGCAAGACTGGATCTAGACACATCAGAGAAGCGTTTCAGTTAAACTCATTGTAAACTTTGTATGACAAATCGGGTTGGCAAAAACCGAACTTCACAGTGCCATCTGGTGTCACAGTGTTATAATGCATATACAACACATATAAAGTGCTTTTTCTTTGCTAATGTAGCTGAGTCCCCAAAGGTTGACCTGCTTCTGTGGAATCTTCAACATGTTACTCTTGTTTTGTCCACTGCTGCTGCTGCTGCTCCTACTACTACACATACTCTTCTTTTAGTTTGACCACCCCCCCCCTTGGAAAGTGTACTTTGCTTTTCTGCATTTGCTGTTTGATAGATTACACATCTCTAGCATCACTTCTCTTACTCTATTTATTTATTTCCTGAAATAATAATTATAATTATTATCAACATTTATTTATATAGCATCATCAATGCATATGGCTCCATACACAATTATAGTGAGAAATTCTGCTTTGAAGTGTGTACAGTCTAAAATCTCACATGCTGCTTGACTGAGCGGGGATGAGGAGAACAACCCTCAAAGTACACTTGGTAGTGTTTTATATCAGCCTCCCCCAACCTGGTGTCTTCCTGATGTTTTAAACTGCAACTCCCATCAGCTCCAGCCAGTTTTTGTTCAGGTTACTCTGTTTTCAAAGCAACAGAATCCCCCCAACCTCTTCTGAATTACTTGAAAACTGTGAGCATGTTCCTTTCCCCTTCCATCAGCTTTCGTCAGTGCCAAGGGCCTCCCTGTAGAACATGCGGTCTGTTTTTTATTATCCTGTTCTGAAACCCATTTTTTTCAGGGCTGCTTGAACTCTACAATAAAATAACTTTAAAATCCTCTGCTCCAGGTGACCCAGATTCTGCACCAAGGAAAGCCAGATATTTTTGCTCGTGCAGAGTTGCTTGTTTTTATTTTGTGTAACTGATTCTGCAGTATTTGCTGTTTTGAATAACTCTGGGGCAGGAAGAAGGAGCCATGGAGGGTGCACAGTACTCAGGCCCCCTCGTCTTACTTAGCCCTCCCCCCAAAACTATTGCCCAAACACTCTCGTCTGCCTTAGCAGTTAGGAAGGAGGGCAGTTCTTTCCCTCTGACCCAGTTTGCATGTAGTACTAAACATAAGCATGGTTCAGTGCAGACAAGCACACATGAGAGTTCCCAGAGAGAGTATGACAGCCCTCAAGCTGTTGCTTGACTGAAGAAATCTAACAGTTTTTAAAATGTGTGCATAGTTGCACACCCTTGAAATAACTGAGGACATGGCTGCTTTCAGGGCTGCCTCCTCCCATCCTATCCTGCCTTTCTGCTTTGTTCAACTAGGATGGTCCTTTTTTGAGGTGTGACTGGCAGGAATGTGTGAAAAGGCTTTTTCTCTTGCAGTGATTAAGCTGTGGAAATCCTTGCCCTGAGATGGGCATCCACCTGGCTTCCTCTCTGATGGCCTCCTGATTCCTTTGGCCTGGCCATTTGCTGAAAGGTCTTACACCTTCTCTCCTCTCCTCTCCTCTCTTCTTGTTGAACTGTTTTACTTTCAAGTGTCTTTTGAGAATTGTTTTATAAGTTAGTGGGGTTTAAAAGTTTTCGTTGTTGTTGTTAGTCACCTTGGGTGCTCCAGCTTGAAAGGCAAAGGTGAGATATAAATGGATTTTAATGAATAAATCATGTGGAGGAAAAACCTAGTTCTGGAGAGCATCCCTTAGTTTTTGATGGTGCTCACCTGTATTGTCAGAGGCATTTTCAAAGAAGAACCCCATAGAAGTGGGGTTATTATTCTACGATGGCGCTTGCCATCTTGCCATTTTCACAAGCTGACAGTATTTTAAAATAATTTAAAACATTTAAAAGAGATGCTTCTGACTAGTTCGAATTGGGGGTGGGGCACCTTTTTAGTTGGCAAAATGGTTTCTTTAATCGACAAAATATGACAGAACTTGAGTAGGGTTGTCTTGTGGTACATGCAGGATAAATTACATGCAGAATGAATGTAGATGGAAAAGGTAAACAGCGTTTCCGTGTGCTCTGGTTTCCGTCACGGGATTCCGTTGCACCAGAAGCGGCTTAGTCATGCTGGCCACATGACCCGGAAAGCTGTCTGTGGACAAACGCCGGCTCCCTCGGCCTGAAAGCGAGATGAACGTCGCAACCCCATAGTGGCCTCGACTGGACTTAACCATCCAGGGGTTCTTTACCTTTTTACCTTTACCTAGATGGAAAATCCATGGGGTCACAAAGAGTCGAAACAACTAAACAACAAGATGGAAAATGAAAATCCTTCAGTTGCTCTCACTTGCTATGTCTTTTTAAGTGGAAGAGGTCAGTTGGCTTGGGGGAAGCCACTCCCTTCATGACTGTTGAACTCTTCTGGAGGGAGGTGTTTTTGCAGAATCGACCAATTGGCAGGAAGTGGTCTGGGGACCTTTTATTTGGGGGGGGAGGCCCCACCTCTTTCCGGAAGAGCCCAGTAGATATACTTACTGCCTCGGAGGGTGGGGCCTCTCCCAGGCTATCTGGCCAACTCCCCCTTGAGAGAAGGGGAGCCTTCCTGTTCTGGCTTGGATTGCTTTTGCCTCCTCAGGGCTGGATCTGGTGAATGACACAACCTTAATATGGCATTGGCCTTTTGTGCCATATCTAATTTAATTGCTTTGTTTTGGACATGTGGCTTTTGCAGACATATAAATGTGTTCTCAGATTGCTCTGCAGCCTGGGGGCTCACATTCCGCAGTGGGAGGCTTTTTAATATGCCAGTTATTAACTGTTCCTTGGCAGGCCTTCGAGAAGGAACATGCAGTGGCTGTGAAGGGTTCAGATGCAGTGAACTAGGACTCCCTAGAATAATTTTGATTCTGTCTGCTGACACTGAAGGAGTGAGCCAGACATGAGTTCAGATTCCCCACTTCGCCATAGAGCTCAGTGCAGACGCTGGGTCTCTCTATATGACTCCAACCAGGGCTGGGGAACCTGCTACCTTCTGTTGTTGCTGGACTCTGGTTCCCATCAGCCCCATTCTCAGGGATGATGGATGCTGTTGCCCAGCAACACTTGCAGCTTCCCCACCCTCCACCCAAGTCAAACGGCCTGTGGGTGGGGAGTGTTTATACCACAGCACTAGTGCTCATGGCACTTTTGGAGGCACTATATGTAGGCAAGATTCCTGCTGTAATGAAAGAACTTGAGTCTATAGGAAATTTCCTCATGCTGAGTCATCCGGCCATTGGTTCATTTTGTCTTCACTGGCTGGCAACAGCTCTCCTGGGTTTCAGACTAGAATCTTTTCCCAATCTGAAGATGCCAGGGGTTTCACCTGGGACCTCTTCTGCATGCAGGCCATGTGCTCTGCCACTGAACAACGGCCCCTTCTGCAAGCATACTCCCATAAGCTCTTCAAAAGAAATATGTGATGCAAATAAAACAAATGCTTAAAAGTTAAGGCTGCAGCAATGAGTTTAATCAGTGGTTCCAGATTTTCTGATCTAGGTCAGTTCCCATATTTTCCTTTTGTGGACCACTTGTAATTCACTGTGGGTCTCAGCAAACCTCCCTCATACCAGCACCTTTGTGAAAACCAGTTTTAGTATGTTATGAAAATCACAAGCCTTAGGCTAGGCCATTGACAAAAGAGTTGTTTTAGCTTGTTAATTCCTAGAGCAAAAATAGCACACAGCACCACTGCCATACTACTAAAATCTCAGGTCTTGCACCAGGGCCTCCTTGGTCCATTTAGCAAATTGTTTTCATCTGTGTTGTCAGGGGCACAGAATCAATTATTGACTCTTCTGCAGCTGTTCCTTGGGCTGCCTGAATGGAGGTTGTGAACCGCAGTATGAGAACCCCTGACCTAGATTAACTTAAAATCCATTTTTAAAAAGAGATCTCTTTGTTAATCTGGCAGCAGATAAACATACAATGGAAGTATTTTTTTAAGCTGCAAAGGCCACCACCAGAGGTTCTCCACACGCCCAATTTTGCCTTTTCATTCTAAGGTGTTACTGCTTCCTGGAACCTGTGGCCTTCCAGAAATTGCTATAGATCCAGTCTCCCACCATCTCCGCCCATTGAACATGCCAGCTATAGCCGATGGCAGGTGGGATTCTAGCAACACCTGGGAGTGGGCACGGGTTCCCCAGCCCTGCTCTGCGTCATGTGCAGGCATCACCACTTTTGGTGGCCAGGAGCTGCTTTGTAAAGGAGAACTGTGGAGGCTTGTAAGATTCTGCAGCAAGTGGTGGGATTGTGTTGCTGGAAAACTGGTTGGCTCAGGAATGGAGGCATCTTCAGATTTGGTGCTTGAGAGATCTGCTGGAGATCAGTGGGTTGTTTCTGAGGGAGCATCCTTATACCAGGGAACCTCTTCCATAAGGTGAGCCTAGGAGAGGAGCCAAGGCATGGATTCTTTGTTCTTCTTGGATTACATCGGGGATTCTGCAGATCTGAGTGCTGAACGCCACAGCTTTGAGCCTCCATGTTGATGCCTTGTGCTGTAAGCAGAGTCAGTCCCCTCAAAACGTCGGGGGAGAATCAGAATTGCAGCCTAGTTAAATAAAACGAGGGTTTAGTCATGTAAAGGAATGACAAATGCGAGCAGATAATGTATTTCTCTTTGTTCTCAGTTTTGTACATGTCATAAGTAATGACAGCTTGACAGAAACCAGCATTTTCATTTATGAGCTTATTTATTTTAGGGAAAATGGAAAGCGGAGGAGGGGTAGTGGAGAGGAGAATCAGGAGGTCCGGAATAAACCCTGGAACTAAGGAAGGCCAAAATTTCCAAAAGGAAGAGCTGCCTCAGTGTGTCGGCAGGAGCATTAAGGCAGTAAAAACAAACTTCTTTCAGTATATTTATAGTGCCAGTAGTTTTTCTGTGCTTAATCTTTTAGTGTTTGACAATAATTGTATGCCTTTGATCTTTCACTGTCCCTCGGTGCCCAGTTACTAAAAAGCAGGTGAGGGCTTCAACATTTCTGAACAATTTTTGTTATTTTGTTGGTTTTTTTGTCTCCAGCAGGAAACAACCTGACATGCAAGGGGGCTTGTTTTACAATGGGACCTGTGTTGATTGGCTGGAAAGCAACAGGTACCTTGCCTACAAAAATGCCTGTGTGCTCTATCTAGCGTAAAGGTAAAGGGACCCCTGACCATTAGGTCCAGTCGTGACCAACTCTGGGGTTGCGCGCTCATCTCGCTCTATAGGCCAAGGGAGCCGGCGTTTGTCTGCAGACAGCTTCCGGGTCATGTGGCCAGCATGACTAAGCCGCTTCTGGCGAACCAGAGCACACACGGAAATGACGTTTACCTTCCCGCCGGAGCGGTCCCTATTTATCTACTTGCACTTAGACATGCTTTTGAACTGCTAGGTTGGCAGGAGCAGGGACCGAGCAATGGGAGCTCACCCCGTCGTAGGCATTAGAACCGCCGACCTTCTGATCGGCAAGTCCTAGGCTCTGTGGTTTAACCCACAGCGCCACCCGTGTCCCCTCTATCTAGCATTGGTATAGGCAAACTCGGCCCTCCAGATGTTTTGGGACTACAACTCCATCAATCCCCTGACCACTGGTCCTGTTAGCTAGGGATGATGGGAGTTGTAGTCCCAAAACATCTGGAGGGCTGAGTTTGCCTATGCCTGATCTAGCAGGCTGCTTTGTGGGATTGGCAGTTAAGAACCTAAGAAGAGTTTGCTGCATCGGGCCAAAGGGGCTCCATCTAAATCCAACATCCTGTTTTGACAGTGGCCAACCACTATTAGGAAACCCACCTGAGCACAAGAGCAATATTCTCCCCTCCTGTGGTTTTCAGAAACTGGTACTGAGGAGCACCTGTCCCCCACACTCTGGGGGCGGAACAGAGACATCATGGGTAGCAGCCATTGGTAGCCCCCTCCTCCATGAATGTGTCTAACTGCCTGCACAGCACTTCTGCACCCTTTTAAAAAGCTTCAAGAAGGAAAACTGTGCTCTCCACAAATACATGTGCCTTCTTTTTCCCCCCAATTTTTTTTATTGCTTTTCCAATTTTATAAGAAAAAAAACACTATAAAACACAACAAAAGAAAAAACATTACAGTACAAAAGAAAGACATAAAAAGAGTTATTTCTTCCAATACCCAAATTACCTTACATTGTTAATTGACTTCCTCGAATCCCCCCTAACTGAATTTCATTGTATCACCTTGTAACAGTTCTCCAAAATCGTGTTTCTATTGAAATTGACTCCTTCCATTTACTATCCTCTTCTCTATTATTAGTATTCTAATCCTAATGTTATACAACACATTCTTAATCTAGTCCTAAGTGTATTTATTACTTTCAAGTGACTTCTAATTATCTTATATTACAATATTTAGCTAGATATTCTTTAAATTTCTTCCAATCTTCTTGTGTCTCCTCCTCTTTCTGGTCCCGGATTCTTCCAGTCAGGTCGGCCAGCTCCAAAAAGTCCAACATCTTCACCTGCCATTCATCTATTGTTGGTATTTCCAATTTTTGGCCAATAAAAGTCTTGCCGCTGTGGTGGCATACAAAAACAGCCTAACATCTTTTTTGGGTACTTCTAATCCTATTATTCCAAGGAGAAAGGCTTCTGGTTTCTTGATAAATGTATTTTTCAACATTTTTTTCAATTCATTATAAATTTCCCCCCAGAAGTCTTTCACCTTAGGACACGTCCACCACATATGGTAAAAGGTACCTTCTTTTTCTTTACATTTCCAACATCATTTGTATGATACATCTTTGCTAATTTCACTGGGGTTAAGTACCATCTATACATCGTTTTCATGATGATGATGAGGAGGATGAGGATAATAATAATAATAATAATAATAATAATAATAATAATAATATATTATTTATACCTACCCATGCCCTAACTGTTGGTGGTTCTTAAGGTGCCACAAGATTCTTGTTTGTTTTAGCTGCAACAGGCTAACATGGCTACCTCCCTGGCAACTGCTCATCTCAAAGTGGGAGTGACTTGTTTTGCGGGAACATTGTACGTGTTCTCTCTAACCACAAACAAGCCATGTTTTCCTCCAGTGACTCAAGAGGGTATACGCTGTCAAGTTGCATAACGGCTGAATTATTTTATATGCTAATAGTGACATGCTTGTTCAATCCGCCTCTCAACATATGCTGATGAATTTTTGCATCATTCAGGTGTACTTTATTTTAGATGACAGATTTCTAACATTTAGAAAATAATATTCTCAACCAGCTCTAGCAAAACTGCTGCTGTCGCTTCAGGTTTGGAATTAGGAATAAGTTAGTGCTTGTGAGCTAGATTTCAGGGCCACAGTATGCAAACATTTGTGACAGGGAAGGGCCCTCGCTCGGTCGGTAGAGAACTTGCTCTGCATGCAGAAGACCTCAGGTTCAGTCCCCAGCATCTCCAGGTAGGGCTAGGAATGTCACCTGCTTGAAACTCTGCCTGTCAGTGTATCCAATACTGAGGTAAGTGGACCAAGGGTGTGATTCCGTGTAAAGCTGTGTACTTAGGTGTATATGAGCTGCCTTGGCAGCAGGGAAACTTTGAAGCCAAATTGCATGCAGATGGGTGCAAGTCCCAATAGGAAATATTTGGACATTCTGGGGATTCTTGGCTTCTCACTCACAGGTGATGCTGCTGCAGTATCTTAAGATGACCTCTGAAAAATGTGGCTGAAACAATAGATTTTGGGGGCAAGTGTAAAACAGCCATTAATAAACAGCCAAGAGTAATATGAAGACTTATTGACAGGACTAGGGCAGAATGGAGGCAGTGTAGCCAAAGCAACAAATTAATATTATAAGTACACACGTGCATACAACACGTGTGAAGGTAAAGGGACCCCTGACCATTAAGTCCAGTTGTGACCGACTCTGGGGTTGCGGCGCTCATCTCGCTTTACTGGCCGAGGGAGCCGGCGTACAGCTTCTGGGTCATGTGGCAGCATGACTAAGCCGCTTCTGGTGAACCAGAGCAGCGCACGGAAACGCCGTTTACCTTCCCGCCGGAGCGGTACCTATTTATCTACTTGCACTTTTTGTGCTTTCGAACTGCTAGGTTGGCAGCAGCAGGGACCGAGCAACGGGAGCTCACCCCGTCGCGGGGATTCGAACCGCCAACCTTCTGATCGGCAAGTCCTAGGCTCTGTGGTTTAACCCACAGCGCCACCCACGTCCCTGACAACACATGTACACGTATGTTATGTCATCTATATACACAAAAGCACAGGCTTTGCAGGTCTTTGTCCCAAAGTCCTTACAATCTACGAGCAGATAACAAGTGAAACATCAAAGGAAGTGAAGGGAAAGGGAGGCAGGGGTGAACAGACAGAATATGTGATTCATTCGTTCCTGGGAGCCTGTGGTGCAGTGGGTCAGTGCATCTGGCTGTTAACCAGGAGGCTGGTGCTTTGAGCTCACCCAGGGACTGCTGTGGGCAGGGTTTCTGTATTGCAGGAGGTTGGACTAGATGGGTCCCCCTGGGTCTCTTCCGTTTCTTTGATTCAGATGCACATGCATAGACTTTGTTACAGGAGGGGCAAATGCCCTTTGATGAGAGTTAACACTTGAAACCATTTTCAAACATTAAAATATAGTGAAGCATGCCTGATGATGGCATCTAGTTGTTTTTGTTTATTTTTAAAAATGCAGTTGTTTGCTGTAGCTTTTGTCTTGCTAGAGCAGAGTTTTCCAAACTCTTCATGTTCGTGACACACTTTTTAGGCACACATCTTTTTGTGACACAGTAGTTCAGTTTTACTAGCAAACCTGTGGGCTGCCTGTTCATTTTCCAGCCCCGAGGAGTGTTTGCGTGACACACCTGCACACTGCAGGTGACACACTAACATCGCGACACACAGTTTGGAAAGCCCTTTGCTAGAGTGTAATGAAATCTTGTGCTGGAAGAGAGAAGATGGCACCTTCATCACGGTCTGTTCTGGGTTGTAAAGCACTTAAAAGCTATTGCCCTCTTGTGAGCCTAATATGATCACATGGAGTGAGAGCCATTTTTGCTGGACTCCTCCTGGAGAGGGTAATATGATGCTGTTGTTTAGCACTGAATTGTACAAAGCACTTTATGTGCCTCTTGTTTTTCCTTTTTACAACCACCCAAATGAGGTGGGCTAGCCCGGTGATGGGCAGACATCATACTTGTGGGTCTACTAAGAAATCCACCAACCAGAGCCTGGTTCAAAATGCATTTACCTGGAATCAAATAATAGCAAGCCAGAGATTTCTTTTCAATATCAGAGCATAATTGAGCTCACAGTGCTTTCTCACAAAAGTCCAGTCCTGACTGGCTTCACGTCAGAAGCCTAGTCATTTTGCTGCTATTGTTTAACAGGCAAGAGCCAGGAATTCTTGTTGATCTATTGCAAGTCATCAGGATCTACAGTACTAATAGATTCAGACCTACATTCTGCCCACCCTTGGACAAGGCTTAGCGAGGGTGACTTGGCTTTGATCCTCCTGTGCTGAACCCAGGTTTTCTATTTGCACACACCTGATGAGTTGAGTGACAGTTTCGCCAAAATTTTGTTTACCTGTCCTCTTGGCATCTTGTCCATGCAGCATTTTTAAAGGCATTTTGAAAGCATTCCCATATTAATGGCAAGACATCCAGGGCACAGCCTGTTATGATCCATTGTTTGTTTTGGAGGCATACCACTGCTTCAAAGAAGTGTGGCTAGATGTATTTGTGGAGTCTGAGCAAGTGATGGCTTTGCAAAAAGGGTTCTCAGCATACAGTTTATTCATCCTAGAAGCATGCCGTTCTAGGAAATGGTTGCAATGAATTTTTGTGTCAGCTTTCATTTTTGCATACAGAGACTCTCCTCAGTGTCCCTTTCCCTGTACGTACCCTTGATTTGAAAATGCTGGTTCTCATTTAAAATAAACACACCCTCATATTTCCCCCCTTTTGTGGGGTGCTGACTTTGTGCCTGTTTGCATTGCGGGATAAGCTATTTGGGTGTGTGGGTGTGTATTCATTCTTTTCCCTCACCCCCACCCATTTTCTTTCTCGTATGTTCAGAGAGAAGTTTTTGCCTGCCACGTTTTCCCCTCAGGCACGAAAACAGTGTCTGGGCATTTCTGTCAAAGCTGCACTAGATCCGCATGTGATTGTAGCATACAGCTTTTTAAATATATATATATATATATTTACCAAGTGCCTATTTATGATTTTCCTGTGGGAAACTTGATCCCTAAAAGGAAATGAGTGCAGCTGGGGATCACTTGGGGGATTCACTCTTATTTTTAGAATCAGATTTATTGCCATATTTGGCCTGAAACGATGTCACACTGGAAGCTTATTGTAGTCTGGCCGGTCAGTCATTCTCACCTGATCTCAATTGGACTTGGGCTCAAGGTAATCAGTGGAACCTGGACAAAAGGATGAGTAATAACAAATGTTTGTTGGCTCAGGAATCCTGAATTTCTCATAAACAATTTCTGGTGATGAGAGAGATTGAGCTTTGCAGGATGAGAACCTTTTTAAAAAAAAATAAAAAAAAATCCCAGGTGTAGTTCTCAGTGCAGCTGCTCACTCCAAGACAGAATGAAGAGATAGACATTTGATTGATTCAGTTTCCCCTCCCCTCCCCAAGGGGATAACAGCAATTCAGAAGGAGAAATATACAGTGATGCCCCAACAGATCCCACAACCAAAGCACTCCCCATTTAGTGCTTGACATGGAAGCCAGCAGAATTTTAATTTTTTTCCCATTTATTTGTTTTTATTAAAGATTTTCTTGGGTTACAAAAGTACATACCTTGTCTCTATTTTCAGATCATAAAGTCCTTTTTACATATCAGTTATGTTTGATGTGAGACTTCAATGTTGTATACAGCACAAAATTTTGAAGCCTTCCAACACCAGCAGAGGAGAGAAGGTTCTCTTGAGCATGCTCCATTCGTGGTAGTGCTTTTGAGCCACTCTCATTTTCACTAGGATTGTGTGCAGGACGAGTTCCCAGGAAGCGTTTCCCCCACCCCAAACCCAGTCTGTCTTTAAGACTCTCCACTGAATTTAGTTTTAAGGTCGGAGCAGCCATAATAAATCCCCCCCCCCATTGGCACACGGATGGTCAACCCAGTCATTAAGGTTTGGCATGACTACAGTATCAGGGTTGGGGCACCTGTGGTGGCCCCTCCAGGTGTTGCTGGACTCCATCTCCCATCATCTTCATCTTCCTTCATCCTTGACCATTGGCCGTGCTGGCTGCTGCCAGCAGGACAACATAACCTGAAGGGCCACAGGTTTCTCTGCTGTTGGGCAAAAAACAGAATTGGATTACTCAGTGGATCCGACCAAGGTCTCTCTAATCCTCTCTAATGGCAAAGAATAGATGGAGGTAGCCCTTCTCTGTTGTTTATTCCTCTGCTCAAGCATATGGTAGCCAGTGATATGTTACCACTTTAACATATAGGTTCCATTTAGCCATCATTGCTTAGATATTAGCAAGCCCACCTGCATTCGCCATGGATTTATTTTAAATAAATTTATCAGATGTCAAGGAAATAAACAACTATCTGACTTTTAGAAGGCAGCTGAAGCCAGCCCTGTTTAGGGAAGTTTTTAATGTTTGGTGTTTTATTGTATTTTTAATATTTTGTTGGAAGCCGCCCAGTGTGGCTGCGGAAACCCAGCCAGATGGGCGGGGTATAAATAAATTATTATTATTATTATTCCTTTCCAAAATTAAAAAGCAGTTTAAGACAGGGGTAGGCAATGTGGTGCCCTCCAAAGGATGCGGCTCAGTTATCATCTGGAAAATTCCACGTTGGCTGCTTATGATCGAAGCCAATACCCATGACCACCACACTGTGTTGCAGTGACTTCTGTAAGTTGGCTTTGGATGAATGCACATTCTCCTCTGTCAAGCCAGTCTTGCTCTGATCTCTGGGTGGCTGCTGTTCCAAGAAGGAATGGGGATCCTTACAAAGCTGTCCTCCTCAAAGGTTTAAGGGGCCCAAGTATTCTCCTGTGTAGTGAAGAACCCAGTTCTGCTCTGTGCTGCTTCCCACCCGTTAATCCCATGAACTTTCCTTGCCCTCCCTCCTCCCCATAAGACATATTTAAGACTTCATTAACCATTCATTTATTTGATTTATACCCTGCCTCTCCTCTGAGTGCAGGGTGGCACCCCACTCCACACGTTATTAACCCTCACAACAACCCTGTGAGGTGGGTTAGACTGAGAGTGCATGACTAGCCCAGGGTCACACCTTCATGCCTGAGTGTGGGGATTTGAACTCTGGTTGCCCAGGTCACAGTCTGGCGCTCTAGCCACAGCGCCACACAGGCTCTCAATACTTTAGGCCCCCAGTTTCTGTCACGAAGCCCACAGAGTGATTGCAAGCTAGTCAGGCTCTCTCAATTTTGCCTTCCATACAGGTGGCCTGTTCTGAGGGTGGGTCGTATCCCCATTAAGGTGATGAGGGTACTGTCAGCGTGCCCTCAGCCAGCACTGGGGGCCCTGCCTACTTGCCTTCTTACAAGCAGCCCAGGGGGTACAGCCAGCTGTGTGGGACTCAGCAGGGGAGAGGGTGGGCATAAAACTGGAATTAGTTGGCCATTGGTTTTGGCTCCAGCTACTTACTTTTGCCCTCTCTTCTCTGCATTCTTGTTATCCCACTTTCTGCTCTTAAAGTCCCAAGGCTACAATGATTGAAACACAATATTAAAAAGTCCTTTAAAGATAAAGGTAAAGGGACCCCTGACCATTAGGTCCAGTCGCGGGCGACTCTGGGGCTGAGGCGCTCATCTCGCTTTATTGGCCAAGGGAGCCGGCGTACAGCTTCCGGGTCATGTGGCCATCATGACTAAGCCGCTTCTGGCGAACCAGAGCAGCGCATGGAAACTCTGTTTACCTTCCTGCTGGAGCGGTACCTATTTATCTACTTGCACTTGGACGTGCTTTCGAACTGCTAGATTGGCAGGAGCAGGGACCGAGCAACGGGAGCTCACCCCGTTGCGGGGATTCGAACTGCCGACCTTCTGATCAGCAAGCCCTAGGCTCAGTGGTTTAGACCACAGCGCCACCCGCGTCCCAAAAAGTCCTTTAAGAGATCCTAAAAGCACAGAAATAAGGTGGGGCCTAAAAAATACACCAGGCTGAATGAGCACCAGCACCAATGGGATCTGGGGACCAGAGGGTGGGATGCAATCCAGCCTACCTGCCATTTTGAGCCCCTTGGAAGAAATACATCATCCTTTACTTTGCCATACTCCAGGCGTCAGCAAACTTTTTCAGCAGGGAGCCGGTCCACAGTCCCTGTGACCTTGTGGGGGGCTGGACTATATTTTGAAAAAAATAATAATGAATGAACTCCTATGCCCCAAAATAACCCAGAGACGCATTTTAAATAAAAGCACACATTCTACTCATGTGAAAACACCAGGCAAGCCCCACAAATAACCTGGAGATGCATTTTTAAATAAAAGGACACATTCTACTCATGTAAAAACACCAGACAGGCCCCACAAATAACCTAGAGATGCATTTTAAATAAAAGCACACATTCTACTCATGTAAAAACACGCTGATTGCCAGACCATCCGTGGGCCGGATCTGGCCCCTGGGCCTTAGTTTGCCTACCCATGCCATAGCCAAAGAACAGGAACTGTTGGAGAAAACATGTGTTGAGAATGATTTTTGTTTGAAGATTTTCCTCTTTTATTTGAATGCACGTGCAGTCAGTTTCAGATAATTTGGCATTATAACATGCATCTTACTTAAGCCCTCCCTCTTCTTTTAGCCTCTCGCCCCCCCCCCCCCCAAATATACGGTACCTTTCTGAGCCTGGCTGTGCCTGGAAAAGTGCTGAGATGGCTCCAGTGCCAGCCGCCCTCCATTCTCACAGCGGAGAATGCTCTGCTCTCCCACCTATGCCATTCCTGCCCTCTTCCTGCCATTTATCGCCATCTGTTTTCAATCCCAGGGTGTGCAAGCACACTTCCAAGCGCTTCCCTTTGCCTTGCCCCCACTCCTACACCAGAAGCCTGAGAAATGACCCAGACATCCATTCTTCACAAAAAGGTATAAAAATAGGAGCTGGAGAAGGGGCTCACACAATAGCTGTGACTGCATTCTGTTTGCACCACCAAAACACACATTTCAAAATGTTATCATTTCCGTACATTTCCCACCCCCCTTCCTTTCACTCCCTAAACAGAATGTTCCAGCAAAAGGGTAGTGGTTCCAAAAGCCTTCGGCCAAGTCTTGGTGCCACTACACGTTTAGGAGAGAGAAGCATGTCGCTCTTGCATCTAACACCCACGGCCCAATGTTGTGTAGTGGTTGCAGTGGCAGACCAGGACCTGGGAGACCAGCGTTCAAGCTCCACGCTCAGCCATGAAGCTCGCTGGGTGACCTTGGGGGTGGTCACTGCCTCTTTCAGCCTAAACTATTTCACAGGGTTGCGGGGGGGGGGGATAAATGGAGAGGGGGAGAACTGTGTACGCCACTTTGTGCTCCATGGAGGAAAAAATGGGAGATAAATGCAATAAATAAATGAATCGCAGCAACCCAGTCATCTCAAACTCATCCCCCTGAACAGGTTGGTGTCTCACTTAATAGTATCGCACCTTTTTTCTAGAGGGGTTTTCCGTGCCCCCGCCCGCCAGTACCATTCGAAAGCTACCACAATTCGCTTCTGCTTAAAGTAACACATTGGGGATAGGAGATTGTAGGCAGTAACTGTGGTTGTCCTTTTGCAAGCTTTGCTTACTTGGTTCTGTGCTTCAAGCAAACTCCACCTTAAAGACTCAGATACACAGTAATTGCATTGTTAGGGTGTTAATTGAGAGCAGAGTATCGGAAAGTCCACAAATATTGTTTGGTTTTTAATTTGGCAAGGCCAGGGAGGCATAATGCTGGGGGGGGGGGCGGGTTTCCACCATGTTCAAATTTCCCATCAAGCAGGACACTTGTAAGCACACTTAAATAAATAAGTTCAGGACCAGATTGGCAGGTCTGCACAGATTTTTTTTGCAGAATTCATTTTTCTTCTTATAGTGGGGTTTTTTTTTGGGGGGAGGGGGGAGTTCTGAAGAGCAGTGCAAGTGCAAACATCCCTGATTCAGCTGCCTGCATTTCCAGCTAAAGGGGTCAGGTAATAAGTGATGGGGAATTATCTTGCTGCCTGGAGAGCTATTGCCAGTCAAGATTAAACAGGACTAGTCTAGAGGGGCAAACAGTTTAGCCAGGTATAAGCTTCCTATGCTGGCACGACCCATCAGCAAAAATCCTGCTCGCTTCCCTACTGGTCTGTTATTTTACCAAACGTTGCCTATGTTATTTCTGCAACCTTGAAGACTAGAAGCTTCATTTGAACAAAAAGTAAGTAGGGAGTTTTCCTGGTCAGAATTCTGCAATTGTGGCTCTTGTAGCTATGGCCAGTGCAGTATTGAGTTCAATGAAATGGCCACGACTCTGCCTGCAAGTGCCAGCTGAGCCCATTGGAGAAGGAGGACAGGCGGCTTGTGCAAAGTAGTCACCACCCATCACCTGTCAGGCTCAGAACTTGGAGAATAATGCTGTGCTTTGGGCTTTGAGAGTCTGCAGTGAAACTAGAGCCTCCGTGTGAATCCGTGCAGAGCTGATGATGGAAGCTGCTCACCGTGCAGACATAACAGGTTGTTGGATGGTATAAAATGTACAAGGTGTGTGAACCACTCGTGAGATCTACAAATGAAGGGCAGTATACAAATCTAATAAATAGTGATAATAATTACTGGTGGGATGCTCACTGGGGAGTGGGAGGGAGGTGAGAGAATAGCTCAGTGGTAGAGCATCTCCATTGCAATTCCTGACTGAGGGAGACCCCTCCCTGAAACTCTGCAGGGCCATTGCTGCCAGTCAGTACTGAGCCAGATGGATCTATGATCTGACTCCGTGTAAGGCACCCTCCTATGTTGCTACAACTTCCTGGGTGAAAGAGGTAAGAAACTTGGTTAACCTTCCATAAGCTATGCACAGGAAGTGGGAGTCTGTTTTCTTTTATCGATTTAAATGTGGCACTCTTGACTCTGCAAGGGAAGGTGATTCTTTTCTCCCCTTCTCCCACAACTGGTTCCATTGAGTAGTCTGCATAAATCTTGATACTAAGCAGGACCAGGAAACCTCAATAGCTGGTCCTGAGTAGCCTGTGTCTAGAGCTGGAATAGTACCCAGAAAGAGGTGGGGGAATCTGGCACCTTGAGCTTTTATTTTCTCCCCCTTGACTCCTACTAATGCTTAAGGTCACCCTTTGCCTCCTGTAGATTCCTCCTCTGCACTGGATTTTCATGTAGAAATGAAGAATCTTAATGAGAGTGTGAACTGACAGCGCCTTTCTCTTACATGTGCCCTCTCACTTTAAAATTGGAAAATGCTATCTCTGATTCACGCTCCTGCCTCCGTCTCCAGCGTCTTATTGTAGCTGCAACCACACCCATAATTCTGGGGCTTAACAGTCTCCCCCAATTTCTCTCTCCTTGGCTTTGCAGGAGTCTCCCCAGGACAGTGCCATCACACGCGACATCAACCGGACGTTCCCTGCCCATGACTACTTCAAGGACACTGGGGGAGATGGCCAGGACTCCCTGTACAAAATATGCAAGGTACCCTGACCGGGATACTGTCCTGGCTCACTTGTGGACCAGGATGGTGGAGCTTCCTTGTGGGAATAAATGTGCTAGGCCAGCTTAGCCCTGGGTTCTTTGTCTTGAAAGCACCTCCAAGTGTGAGATAGTAGTGTTGATAATAGAATTATGGGGTTGGGACCCCCAAAGGTCCTCTAGCCCAGCCTTCTGCATTACAAGTATCACAGCTAAATACCAGCAGGTGACCTTCCAATCTCTGGTTATCAACCTCCATCGAGGGAGAATCTGTCACTGAGGTAGCCTATTCCATGTCAAACACCTCTTACCATCAGAAAGTTCTTCCTATCATTTGGTTGGGATTTTATTTCTTGTCATTAGAATTCATTGTCTTGGGTCCCACCCTCTGGAGCAGCAGAAAACAAGCTTATTCTGTCTTCCATGTGGCAGCCCTTCAGATATTTGAAGATGGATATCCTATCCCCTCTCAGTCTTCTCTTCTCCAGGCTAAACACCCCCAGCAAAAAGGTTGTTGAAACATATTGCCTGTTGTGCCTGCTAATTTAGCCTTACTGGAATTGTAGTCCAGAATTATCCAGAGGGCACAAGGTGGGTAAGTTTGTGCTCGTGGATGCCTGGGCAAATCAGCCTTTTGCCTCAAAGGGCATTCCCAGATCTTCTGGGCTCCTTGCATCAACTGGAGCGGCTGCTGTATTTCTTTTCATGTGGCAGAGAGCAAAGGAAGTCTCAGCAAAAGGATCTTTGCTCCTCTCTAACACTCTGGAAAATTATTCAGCTCCTCATTTGCATTATAAGGCAAACCACAAACACATTCAAGCCACTCATTAAAATGCGGGAGGCAATTAGCAGGTTAAAATAAAAAATGTCCGCACTCTGGTTTGATCCCTTTACCTTGCTTGACCGGAGGATCCGGCTCTTTGAACCTGGCATTTAGAAAGCTGCCACTGCTGCCTGCTCCTCCTCCAGAGACTGTTTGGCCTGGGAAAGCAGCTTGGCTTCCTGACCACCTCCTAAGCTCTCTGACAAAGCACACCATTAAAAAGGATGAGCTCTGCGTGGGACGCGGACCAAGGACTGGCGCAAGCAGCTTCCTATCCGCTCCCTGTGTATAATTGATATTCAAATCAAAGACTTAACGGCGCAGCTTGAAAGATTTGTTTTTGTGTTATTATCCCTGCATAAAATACTTCGGGTCTCAAACATGCTCTGGCTTATTTTGGGAGAGTTGGATGTGCGTGCCAGATCCCCACGGTGTGCATTTATGCTTCAGCCCCCTCCCCGCATCCTTGCAGCTCAGTGAACCAAGACCCTAGCCCAGGACTTAGCTTTCCACTCTCTCTCTCTAAAATACAACTGAGTGAAATTATGCCCCTCTTGCTAGGTGTGCTGGGCTCCCTGCCTGCAAAAGGCCAGGGAGCCCAAGGCTTTGGTGGGCAGATCCTCTGCAGACCTTTCACTTTTCTTGTGACTTGTGAAATCCTGGTCAGGATAAGCATCCCCTTGCCCCAAATTGCCTCCTTAGCAGCCTTCACTGACTTGCTCCAAGCTATTCCACGTGCAGACAGATTGTGTGATTGGCACAAGGTTGGTTCTCTTGATGGGTGAGACGGAGGCAGCCCTTGTTTTCAGCCAGAAGGTGGTGACCTTCATAACCTGCCCCCTGCCACAGCAACACTCTTTCTTCGCAACAAGCAGCCTGCGTGCCATAATATACAGATGCACACTGAAGCTGGGGAGCTGTTTTGAATGGAGCAGGGGTGGTTGTGGCCAAGCCAGTGGTGGTGGTCTAGTGGTTATAGTGTCAGACTAGGACCTGGGAGACCAGGGTTCAAATCCCCCCCCCACTCGGCCATGAAGCACCCTAGGTTCCCTTGGGCCAATCACTTCCTCTCAACCTAACCTACCTCACAGGGTTGTTGTGGGGATAAAGTGGGGAGGAGAACTATGAGTTCCTTGGAGGGAATGCAGGCTATAAATGCAAGCAAGCAATCATTCAGGTGGGGCATCTTGTGTTGTTGAAGTCTTGACCGTTTCCTGATTCTTCTTCCAGGCCTATTCTGTCTACGATGAAGAGATTGGCTACTGCCAGGGCCAGTCATTCCTTGCTGCTGTGCTGCTTCTACATGTGAGTTCCTCTTTGCTACCTGAGAGAGGGCCCTGTGCAAGAAGGTTCCAAAGGGTGGGGTGGGAGGTCCTCTGTGGCACTCAGGCACAATCCAGTCTCCCTTTGCAGCACACCTGTTGCTTAGCCTTCCCCTCCTTCCTCCCTGCCCAAGACCTGTTTAATTCATCAGAATCTGTGAGTACTTTGAACCTGGCAGGAGGATGGGCAAATGTGCCCGAGAGTTTAGAAGACCCTGGTATGTGACCCATCCATGTATGTTCTGTGTCTTGTATTGGTTTCCTTGAATGTAATGTCACCCTTCGTTCCCTTTCCCCCTAAATCGCCTTTGATGCTGTTTGCTGAAACATACATTAAAGCCTTCTTATGTGCCCACAAACCAAAGGTTGCAGCAGTTACCTAACCATCAACTAGCAATGACTCACTGCAGGTTTAGTGATTTTTATATCATCAAAACCAGGACAATTATCCTATAGTTTATATGTATATGTAATTAATTGTACGTATAATTTATATGTAAGAACAGACAGAAGAGCTCTGTTGGATCAGGTTGTTAACAAATCCAAACTCTATCCAGGCTGCCTGTTGGTTTCTTGTTGTTCTTTGTCTTATTGAGCAGTAATGCAGGTGGATCTATTGTGAAGATCCCGAAGCTTCCTCACATCCAGAAACAGTTGCTCCATACATGGATGCTGTCTCTTCTAGAGATGTTACAGAACTGAAATTTTTCATTCTTCGTACATGCTAATAGTGAACTTGGGTGCAGAGCTAGGGCAGATTTGCGGCCCAAATTGAGATAGGGAGAATGCTTTCTGGTGGGGAGGAGCAGCCCAAGGTTTGTAGAAGTAGGAAAAGGAAAAGCACACAGTCCAATAAGGACTGAGCATGCTCGTTGGCTGCAGAATCTGGGTGGTAGGTGTCAGGCTCCAGGGAATCCGATCCCCCCACGGTAGGCTACCAGGGATAGATATCAAGGACGGTTCTTACCAAGTCTTTTATTCAAAATTCACAGAGAGAGGCTTAGAAAAGCTGCCTCTTGTAGTAATGGCGTTGCTCCGAGTGAAACCCCACCCCCTCCATCTCTCCCATTATACGCCATCCCTATGTTGGCTGATCTGTGCTTTCTGCCTCTGAGCTTTCTCATCTCCTACTTTCAATGCCCACCGGGTTCGGGGGGGGGGTCTGGAATGCTTTCTAAATACACTGAGTCTTCCGCTGCCTCTCCCCTGGTGCTGCTGCTTCTTCCTGTTCCTCTCCCAATATTTCCCAGCTTCTCCCTTCTGCAGCCTCTGAGCTGTGACCTCCCGCAACCCACTGTTGTAAATCTCTACTGTCTTCCTCTTCTCTGGAAGGTTCAGGCTGAGGGGGCGGTCTCCACTATTCCTCCTCCTCTTCTGCCCAGTCCCTGAAAGTAGGATGGGCAGTCAGGAAATCTGTTGGTGTTTGAATGGAGTATCCTGGCAAAGGGCATGTCTGGCTGGTTGGCACCCTGAGCACAAGCTCTCCACAGTGCAGCATTTTGGTACAGGTCCAAGTTTCATAAATCCTGTGCATTTACCAGGAAGATGGGTGGTATGTTCTTTTCCTGCTTTTGTCAGTCAGGGAGTCAAGTCAGGTTACCAGGCTGCTCAGTTCGAAGTCCACCTGGGACCAGCGTGGGCTCTGGGCCACAGGTTTCTTCTGGTGCCTGGCTGGACAGATTTCCACATCTCACCAGTGGCCTCTGACTAAATGAGCTTTGTAGAAAGGCTTGAAGGGAGGCTACAGTCTGTTGCAGGTGTCAAATAAAAGCTGGTGGGGGCGGTCTTTGTAGTTTAAGATGACCACCCACTCCCAAGGCTGAATGTCTTTTCTTTCCCTCTCTTAACACATCAGAGGTTTTGTGGGCCTTTGAGGGGCTAACCGGTCTGTGCGGAGTCAACCACGGGGAAATCTTGGACAATCAAAAGGAGTTGTCCGGATGACCCCCTTTGGGTACTGGTTGCAAGTTTTCTCTTGCTCCTTGGAAACAGCCAACTCAGAATACCACCAGGGATGCCTGCCCTGTCTCGCTTCATTTCCCTGGCTGTCCACCCCACTCCAGCCGTTGCTTATGCAGCAGTGCAGAGCATTTTTTGCAGTTACTTCTCTCTGACACCCTTAATTCCCTTTCTGCTGCTAAAAGTTATTTTTAAACCACATTCATGTTGTTGGTTCTCTTTCTCTGCTCCCTCCCCGCATCCTCAAACTAGTTATCTCTGCTGTCAGTTACTGAATGACACTCTGCAGAGCTCCCAGGCCCATTTGTTGTTCTGATCCACAGCAGGCTCCTTTTCCTTTTTTAAAAATATCCCCCCCCCCGCCCCCAGCAACCCTTCAGCTTATTTGAATGATGGCTGTACCATCTTGTCATACTAAATATAAAGAGACTTGGTGTGTCTCTGAAAACCAGACTTCCTGTCAGTTTGAGAGGAAAGTTTTTCCCACCCCCCATGACACAAGAAAGTTGTAGAAATTCTGAACACCAGTCATAAGGGCGGTTTTGTTGTAATTGAACAGCAGCTCCCAATATTCACTGTGAAAACTTGAGACCTCGCAGAATAATGAATTTAGCGGTTCTTCGCCTCGCCACAGGCAAAGCAGGCATTAGCTGTGCAATTCATAAGAAATGAAGATGAAATTGCACTTAAATTGGATCTTAGAATTGCTTCTGAGGTTGCTTTTGGAAGATTGTGATGGGTTTTTAAGAGCTTAAATCCCATTCCGGAGATGTAAGCCTTTGTAAGACCTGCTTGTCTTTAGGAGAGGGAAGCCTGCAGAGCAGCAGAAGCTGGAAATGTCATTCAAAATGGGTGGCTTTCCTAGGCCCTCGGATAGAGGTCTTGGACTTCCGTGAGTGCACCTCTCAAATGTTCATGAGGTGTGCATGAGCCTTCCTGGTGCATTCTTCAAAAGCACCACAAACTCCCTCTTTGCAACAGTTTTATTTCCCCCTCAGTAGGGACACGATTGGCACTGTGATCTAAACCACAGAACCTTTGGGCTTGCAGATTGGAAAGTCGGCAGTTCAGATCCGCGTCACTGGGCTTTGTCCCAGTTTCTGCCAACCTAGCAGTTTGAAAGCATGCCAGTGCAAGTAGATGAAATAGGTATCGCTGTGGCAGGAAGGTAAACGGTGTTTCCATGCGCTCTCGCTTCCATCACCGTTTTCCATTGTGCCAGAAGCGGTTTAGTCCTGCTGGCCATATGACCTGGAAAGCTGTCTGTGGACAAACACTGGCTCCCTTGGCCTGAAAGCGAGATGAGCATCGCAACCCCATAGTCGCCTGTGACTGGACTTAACTGTCCAGAGATCCTTTACCTTTTTTAAAAAACCTATTCCCCCCCTCAACTTGTAAAAGGCCCAGTTGACCTGGCCCAGAACATGAACCTTCATTACTGTGGGAAAACAGGAGCTTTATTCCCCGGGTGAGTTTTTGAGCAGGGGAAGATGACAGACTTTTCCTGGGTAAGGATACCCACTTAAGACTGGCATGGTGTGGATAAGGCTACCAGTGGGTTCTAGCCATGATTGCTGTGCCCCACTTTCACTGTTGGAGGCAGGATGGCTCCGAATATCAGATGCAGGGCTCTTCCGTTCCTAAAAGTAGATATGACACCATCAGTTTACTCCTCATTTTCTGCTGAACTGCTGCTAAACCTTCCCTTGCTGTCATATTCTCACACAACCTGTGGTGGTTTACGGTTCATTGGTGGCAGAAAGAATGGGCAATAATCTCCTGCCTTTTCCTTGTGGGAGTAGAGTAGGGCCACATTCACACCATACATTTAAAGCACACCTTTACCACTTTTAAACAGCCATGGCTTCCTCAAAGTAATAACGGAAGCTGTGGTTTGCTAAAGGTGGTGAGAGTTGTTAGGAGACCCTGCATTCCAGAGCTACAATTCTCAGAGTTCCCTGGGAAGAGGGCTTGATTGTTAAACTATTCTGGGAGTCTTAGCCCTGTGAGAAAAATGGGGGTCTTCTAATAGCTCTTGACATCCCCAACAAACTGTAGCTCCCAGAATGGATGTTTAAAGTGGTATAGTTAGGACTGCCATGCATCTGAAATTTCCCAGCAGTGTCTGGGTGGGATAGCTTAAATGTCCAGGAAAATCCAGACTTCCATGTCAGAAGTGTAGATTTTGGAAATTTTCCTTAAAAGTAGCTCAAAAACGTCCTTTTCTTTCTTTTCTTTCTTTTTTGTGATCTGGCAAAAAAAGTTTAGCAACTTTGAAAAAAAAACTAAGCAACTTTTGTGTTTGGATTTTCACTTTTTGAAATATGGCAACCCCTAGGTATAGTGCTTTAAAAATAGGGTGTAAATGTGGCCCACGTTTGGCTGCCAATAAAGTAAGGTGGTTCTCTCAACATACTGGTAGGAAAGACTGAAGGAAGAAGTAAGATTATCATGCTTAGCTCCCCACCCCACACCCCACCCCCTTTTAAAAATGACAGCTGGTTTTGTTCTTTGTCTTTGACAGATGCCTGAAGAACAGGCGTTTAGTGTTCTGGTCAAAATCATGTTTGACTACGGACTCAGGGAGCTTTTCAAACAGAATTTTGAAGATTTGCACTGCAAGTTTTATCAGTTGGAGCGACTCATGCAGGTAAGGGGTGCTGTCTGTCCCTGGAGACCGAGATTTGACAGGGGCGGGGTTTCATCCGAGAGAGTGATGCTCTTTGCAAGGTGAAGTCCAGAGGTGATGCTGACAGTGGTGGCCTGGCTGAGGGGTGGCCACATGGCCTTTAATCATGAGACAAGCTGTGCCCCATTCTTCCCCTGGCCATTTTCTTCTTCCCACGACTATCGTAACGGCGTGTGTAGCACAGTGGCAGGGAGAGTGGGGTGGCTGCTGCAAGCCTCATTGCTGGACTCCAGCTCCCATCATCCCTGCCTACTGACCATGCTGGGAGTTGGAGTGTAGCAACATCTGGAGTGCAGCAGAGCTTTCCCCAGCCCTGGAATAGCATGCCTTTATTCTCTCCCCTTCAATTCCTTTCTTTTTTCTTTTTAAATTGTTGTTCTTCTACCAAGTGTACTTGAAGCATCTTGTGAATTGTTCAGAAGAGCCACACTCTAAATATAGTGTAATATTGAATGAATGAATGAATGAATAACAATAGAGGAGAAGCAGTGGAATTTAATAATAATAATAATAATAATAATAATAATAATAATAATAATAATATTTGATATGACAACCCAAGAATTCATTAAGTGAAAATGCTTAGTCAGATTTGTATTGTCCGTTAGGCAAAGACCATTGCAATACTAGTCACCAAAAACAGTAATAAGAATCCAAGAATAAATTAAAATATAGATTGTCAAAATTTAAGATTGCAAAGTTCAATTCATTTAGGTTTAGGTTTTGTAAAAAAGATCCCCTTGGCAGTTGTTTTTGCGGGGGGGGGGTGTTAATTTTATTTTTTACTAAAGTTACCCTATAGGTAACAGACTTGTCTACATTTTGCCAGCAGCCATCCAATTGACCCCTTAGAAAAAGAATTTATTTGCTCCACATCTGAAAGCTGCTGGAGATGCAGCTGGGGTGGGGAAGCACACGCGGGAGGCTGTTCCACAGTTTTGGTGCCACAGTGGAGTAGCCCCCCCCCCCCACGTGTCCACCTGCCACATCTCCAGCGATGAAGGAATTCGTGGCAGGGCCTCTGATTAGCACTTTACGGTTTGAGCAGGCTCACATGCCCGAATCCCTGTGTTTCTAGAATGCCAGACAAGTGAAAAGTTCCTTGCCAGGTCAATTGCAGTAGCCTTCAGCAGCTGGCTGCCCTTCGGCGTCTTGACATTTCAGCAGGCCATTGGGGTCATTGGGGGGGGGGGGCACTGGGTCTTGCCCCTCCCCTGCTGCCACCATTAATGCACCAGAATGGGTGTTTTTTGAAGCCAGTTGCTGCCCAGGGGCATTGATGTGCAGGAGACCTAAACGTTCTAAATTACGTTAATGCGAAGCTTAAATGTTCTGTGGTGCATTATGAGTCCGTTGTGTGCTTCCATCTTAAACAGCATCTTGCAGATGAGAAGATGGTTGTGTTATTTATTTATTTATTGCTATTTGGGACAAACTTTTGTCTTTTTCTTCTCTTTTAGGAGTACATTCCTGACCTCTACAACCACTTTCTGGACATCAGCCTTGAAGCACACATGTATGCATCCCAATGGTTCCTCACACTGTTCACAGCAAAATTCCCCCTCTATATGGTCTTCCACATCATTGACCTGCTGCTGTGTGAGGTAAGGGCGATCGCCTTTGACAAATTCCAGTAATCCCGGCCCTTCACATGGGTATATTTAGTTGTAAACTAAGCACACGAGAGTTCCTCTTCCTTGTAAGCAAGCAGAAATAAAAGGGTGGAGAGAAGGAAGGTATATATAAACAGTTTCACAATCATGTTCATTTTCATGGATGTTTTTCCACCCTTCTGTAGACATGGCATCATGGCAGCTTCCAGCCAGTGCATTAGATGTTAATCTCCCATTTCTTTGAATCCACCTATTGTGTGCCTGTGTGTGATCTGGACATTGAGTCACTGGCAAAGGAGGTCAGCTTTGTCCCCCTTAATCTCTGAAGGGCTGTGTGCAAGCAGCTGGTGCTGGAGGAAGGAAATGATTCAGCAGCTTCAAGAAAGTTTTGGGCATAAATGACCGGGTTAAGTTATGGGCAGAATGTGGTGCCAAGAAGAGCTTGCTAAAAGCTTGCTTTTATTGTTGCGTATAGTCCTCACGTGGCGCAATGGGTTAGTCATTCTCACTGTTAACCGGAAGGTTGGTGGTTCAAGCCCACCCAGGGATGGCTGTGGGCAGGACTCCTGCATTGCAGGGGGTTGGACTGGATGACCCTCAGGGGTCCCTTCCATCTCTATGATTCTATTACCATCATGGTTGTATCAGCTGCAGAAAAGAATATACATGCTAATACAATATTTAAAGAAACGACATCAACCAAAATATATTGTTACATTAAAATATATAGTAAAAAAAAATGAGGTAAAAAAAATAAATACAAAAGGTTAAAAGGAGCTAATGCATTAAAATCACCTCCATTTCTAAATGCTGCAACACAACAATAAGAGTGCTGAGGACTGCTGTGCTGTCGACAAACATGCTTGATGGTAGAAAAGTCTTTTTATTTTGAGGCAATTTTTCATCTTGCTCTTTAGCCATAAAGAGATCCCAAGGAAACTCACAATTCATATAAAAAAACAGAGCCCTCCCTGCCATTAGGCTTACATTATAAAAGGACACGACACACTATGCTACCACTCAGTGGATTTGTAACTGGCTGACTGACCGAACCCAAAGGGTGCTCATCAATGGTTCCTCTTCATCCTGGAGAAGAGTAACTAGTGGGGTGCCACAGGGTTCTGTCTTGGGCCCGGTCTTATTCAACATCTTTATCAACGACTTGGATGATGGACTCAAGGGCATCCTGATCAAATTTGCAGATGACACCAAACTGGGATGGGTGGCTAACACCCCAGAGGACAGGATCACACTTCAAAACGACCTTGACAGATTAGAGAACTGGGCCAAAACAAACAAGATGAATTTTAACAGGGAGAAATGTAAAGTATTGCACTTGGGCTAAAAAAGAGAGATGCAGAAATACAAGATGGGTGACACCTGGCTGGAGAGCAGTACATGTGAAAAGGATCTAGGAGTCTTGGTTGACCACAAACTTGACATGAGCCAACAGTGTGACGCGGCAGCTAAAAAGCCAATGCAATTCTGGGCTGCATCAATAGGAGTATAGCATCTAGATCAAGGGAAGTAATAGTGCCACTGTATTCTGCTCTGGTCAGACCTCACCTGGAGTACTGTGTCCAGTTCTGGGCACCACAGTTCAAGAAGGACACTGACAAACTGGAACGTGTCCAGAGGAGGGCAACCAAAATGGTCAAAGGCCTGGAAACGATGCCTTATGAGGAACGGCTAAGGGAGCTGGGCATGTTTAGCCTGGAGAAGAGGAGGTTAAGGGGTGATATGATATGTTCAAATATATAAAAGGATGTCACATAGAGGAGGGAGAAAGGTTGTTTTCTGCTGCTCCAGAGAAGCGGACACGGAGCAATGGATCCAAACTACAAGAAAGAAGATTCCACCTAAACATTAGGAAGAACTTCCTGACAGTAAGAGCTGTTCGACAGTGGAATTTGCTGCCAAGGAGTGTGGTGGAGTCTCCTTCTTTGGAGGTCTTTAAGCAGAGGCTTGACAACCATATGTCAGGAGTGCTCTGATGGTGTTTCCTGCTTGGCAGGGGGTTGGACTCGATGGCCCTTGTGGTCTCTTCCAACTCTATGATTCTATGATTCTACAAGGAAGATGCACTGCGAGGGAGGAGGAAATAAGCATGCTTAGGTTAGATGTCTTAGTTACTTGGGAGAAGAGACCCACAGGTGGTGAGGTGCGTTTTCCCTGTGGGACCCATGGACAATTGTTTCGGTAAGGTCTTTCCATGCCACTTTCTAGTACGCGCTGTTCTTGTTTGAGTTCATTGTTGTCATAATGTGCTAGGAATATCCATAAAGCTGGGGTGAGATTGCAGCTCAGTTGCATCTCCAGTTACAGCGATGGGAGAGATCTTTGCTTGAGAGCCACTGCCAGCCTGGGTAGACGATGCCAGTCTATATGTCACGGGAGAGGATGCCTTTGTGGACTGTTTGCCCCCTGCCTGCTGGCCTACAGAGAGAGCAAACCGCTATCCCTGGCTTTGTGCTACTACTACACCCAACCCAGGGACTTTGGCTCATTCCACCCCCAACAAACCACAGCCTGTAAGCCAAGAGCAAACCTTGCCTGCAGATTGTGGTTCCTTAGCAGTGAAACAACACCTAGCCCATGGTTTGGACATAGCGCTGAAGCCAGGGATCATGGTTTGTTTCTGTGGGGGCTGAAGGCTCAGACCTGGAAGGAGAACTTAAAAGTGGAATTCAATGCAGTGCAGTGTTCTTGTTTGAGAGATTTAGAGGGTTCCTCCAAACCTTGCAGCAAAATTGATGAAACATGTCTGAATCACACTTGTGAGGGAGCAGTGAACAGAGCACATTTTAGCCAGGCAGCAGCAGCAGTGGTGGTGGCAATGGCTTCCTGGGAGGCAGTTTTAATAATTTGTTTACTCGCTTGCTAATTAGCAACATTCATTAATTCTCAGTGGACTTTCCCCCTCGGAAAATGGCACAGTTCTGCTCTGCCCCCTTTTACTGAGAGATCGTTCTGTTCCTTTCCCAGCTGGGGTTTGTGCTCCTCGGGGGGGGGGGGGGTGTGAGAGAGAGAGATGGGGCGGAGAGTGGTGCACCCTGCTGAAAATAGCAGCTATCAGCTTTGCTCTGGCCTGTCTCTTCTGAGCTGCCAGAGGAACTGTCTGCCCATTTTCAGCTTTTCGTTTTCAACCATGAAGGATAGGAACCCTTTCCTGAAATCAAAGCAGTTCAGGTGGAGGCTGCATCCCATGATCTAGCTGTGCAAATGTCTAGGCACTCTTCTTTCTCTCTTCTCTGCCCACAATTACAAGAAAAATATATGCAGACTTGCTGGTGGAGCTTCTGTTCTAGGAACCTGTACAGCAGCAATGAGCTGTTGAGTCTTCTGGGTACATTTAGCTTACGTCCTCACCCCCTGCAGTAAGATGACGCTTAGCAGAGGATATCAAGGCTTTGGAGCAGAGAGAAAGACCTGTCTGTTTAACAGACTATAAATCAGGATGGGTTTTGGGGCTGATAGTTCTCGTCCAGAACAGACTTGGAAGAGACTGCTCCGAAGGTTGGTTTTGTCTCTCACTACTTGTTTTTCTTTCTTGTTTTTCCCCCTGCAGGGCATCAGTGTTATATTCAATGTTGCCCTTGGGTTGTTAAAAGTGAGTATCCAGCCCCTCTGTTCCGCTTCACACGATTTGTGCCGAAAGCCCTGCAGTGAACGTCTGCACTGTAGAAATCCTTAAGCCTGCAAAATTATCTTGCAGTTTTTAAAAGCAGGGTCTAAAAGAAAGAACTTGGCAAGAGAATGACTAGTGGGTGCTGGCTCCAGTGGAGTGAGTTTTACAATGGGGCTCTTGCTGAACACCTTGGCGCTCTTGCACATCTCTCTCCCCACCCATGGGGCCATGTTTGCAACGTAGAAAAAAGCGCTGGGCTAAATAGACATTATTTTTTTAAAAGAAAAAAGGAAGGAAGGAAGGAGCCGGGATCCAATAACTCCCCACTGGTAGTCGGGACAGACTGTGAGCATCCTTCCCTCCTGCCCACCTTGGACGGGAGTGTCTGTCTCTCTTTGTCTTCCCTGGGGTGGGGTGGAGTGGGGAAGGATGAACCGTACTTTGCTAGGAAGGACCTAGCAGAATGAGGCTTTCCTCCCACTCAGTGCCTGCATTTTGCCACTAGTGTGGGTGGATAGGGAAAGCAGGGAGGCTGCTCTTACTTCAGAACTTCCTGCCATTGTCAAAACTTTCAGTTTTAAACTGTCTGCGACAATCCAGATATCCTGTCCCTTAACCTTACTAGCCTTCCCTCCATCCTGTCTTCCATCACAAAGGACTCCTGCCCCACAGCAGCCTGCCCCAAGGTGCTGCCCTCAGGGTGCATGGGACCGCAAACTTCACTGGCCCCAGCCAGCAGGGGGGGTTGTGATCTGGCACTGGGCTGCAGACAGCCACACAGGAAAACAGGAATGTGTAGTGTTGTGTTGTTTTGTTTTCAATAAAGCGGAGTTAAATATCATTTCCAAGTTCTTCCCTAAGGAAGAAATGAAGCTACTTTTGCCACCACTTTTCTTGGTTACAGGATGTGGGTGCCACACAATTTCATTTTCCAGAAACCCTTTTTCTCTGCACTTTCTCAGACAACTAGGGACGACTTGCTGCTGACTGACTTCGAGGGTGCTCTGAAGTTTTTCCGTGTGCAGCTGCCCAAGCGATATCGCTCTGAGGAGAATGCCAAGAGGCTGATGGAGTTGGCTTGCAGCATGAAGGTATGTGAGTGGAACCAGCTGGCCCTTGCGGGGTTGCATTTAAGTGGAGCCTTGCTATGAAATACTCAGGGGGGTGGGAGGGTGAATATGCCCCTCATGCACTGCCAGCAGCGATGCCTCCTGTTCTGGTTCTGACTGGAGACTTTCCAGACAGTTAAGTAGCTGCTGTAAAGTGGAGGGAGGAAGACAGCTCACGAGACTTGCGCTGCCAGAGGGAGCCTTGGTGGAGCTTCTGCATCAGTGCCAGTAGAGGGAGCAAGAGGACAAGTTTTGTGCCGCTCCAACATCCCTTAACAAAACTGTTGGCATCCTTCCTGGGCAGCCTCTGGCACCAGCCTGGGCCCTCCAGATGTTCTGGACTGGGGCTGATGGGAGCTGTAGTCCAGAACATCTAGAGGAGCCCCAGGCTGGTCTGGAGGCTGATGATGAGGGGGAGAAGGTGGTGGTTTTGCAAATTGTGCTCCCCATCCCCTTCTGATTGACAGTCTTGCCTGTTGTTGTTCTTTCCGTTCATCTCTCACAGTGATAATTGCCTTTTTGTAGGGCGAGCTGGTTTGCCTTTCAGCCAGCCTCAAAATAAACCTTACTGCATTGGGATGGGGGACAGGTGGGAGCCCCAGGTTTGCTAGCTGGCTTGCCCATTCACGGGGATAAGAGGTTGGAGTGTGTTTGCTTCACTTTTCCCTTTCCCTTCCTGCATTTACTTCCCACCTTTTCTCCATGAAGCTCAAGGCGGCATATGTGGCTCCTCCCCATCTCATTTAACCCCGAAAACAACATTCCTGTGAGGTAGGTTAGGCTGAGAGGCAGTGACTGGCCCAGGGCCATGGCCGAGTGGGGCTGGAACCCTGGTTAGACACTCTGCTACACCACACTGTTCGTTTTGCGGAGCAAATATACTGCTTAATCCAAGTCAAAAAAATAAATCCAAGGCTTTAGATTTGTGTGATAACATTTCAGCAGTTAGAAAAGCAGGGCACTGGGTAGTGTGTTTTCTTAAGTGTCAGGGAATGTTTAAAAACTGCCAGATTGCATAAAAGAGGGGGTCTCCAGAAAGTCCGTGCCACAATAGATATGGACTTAGCACAAGTTAAAATGTACAGGTTAATAAATGCTACCTGAGCCCCACTCCCAGCCTGAAGCCCCCTCCTTATTAAGAAGCCAACCAGGATATGTTCCAGCTCTCGCTTGAGGTGAAAACATGAAAGATTGTTCTGGGGAAAATGTCTGTGTTTGTGATGCAATGGCGAGGGAAGAGGAGACCTTCTCCATGGAGCTTGGATCAGTGTGTGTGTGTGTGTGTGTGTGAGAGAGAGAGAGAGAGAGAGACATTTGCTGAAGATGCTTTGAGGCGCTCTAAGGGTTATGTGATCGGGGCACTGTCCTTCTGAAGTCACAGTCTCTGTCCCTCTCCTGACATGCACAACTCCTCCACACTTGTACTGATAAGAATTCATTTATCCTCCCTACTGTGTCCAGTGACAAACTCTGTAAATTGGAAGGGTGCCTAACTGTAAGCTTCCTAAGCAAGAGACTCCCAGCCAAATCAATCATCAGAGTTCCGTTTTGTTTTTATAAAAAGGCTCCAGCGGATATCTTGAGTTAAAAGAAGCAAAAGCACAGCTTCTCCACATGTCTTGACTGAGATGCTCTTGATTCTCTCCCCCACCCCTAGATTAGCCAAAAGAAGCTGAAGAAATATGAACGGGAGTACCGTGCCATGAGGGAGCAGCAGGCTCAGCAGGAAGACCCCATAGAAAGATTTGAGGTAATTTATGTTATTCTGTCATGTTGGGGGCCAGCCTTGGACCAGATAACCACACGTCTCGGTGTTGTATTGTGTAGGGACCACAGATCAGGTACGGTCCCAGGCAATCCTTTCTGAGAAGGCAAATCCATAACCAGGGGCACTGGAACCGGTACCACTGAAAAAGTCCTGCCCCTGCTGGCTATATGCAGCATTTAATTCCAGCCTTGTAATTCAATCTGCAAAAGTCAGTCTCCTGCCTGCTTACCCACCTCATGTCTTTGTTGGTGGGCAAGCTGTTGGTGGCCTCCATAAATAAGACATAAATAAGCGCCTTAGCCTCCTATTTGCAGTGCCAAGTTCCAGGCAGCTACAATGAATGTTTAATTGCAGGGTTTAGGGTGGAGGATGCCCTCTGGGGTGACCACTCTGGGGTTGCTTTGGGGGCACCAAGAGGCTGGGGCTACTGCCTTGAAAATAAGGAAGCATTTTGGGGAGCAGGGCCCCTCAACCCTTGGGTGAAGCATTGGTAGCCTTCTAGGAACTTAATCCAGTGTCTTCTGAGGTGGGGTCACTTAATGAGTCATTGATTCAGGAACTTGCTATCTTTTGACTCTTTTTTGCCTCAATCCAGCGAGACAACCGGCGCCTGCAGGAAGCGAACATGAGGCTGGAGCAGGAGAATGATGACCTGGCCCACGAGCTGGTGACAAGCAAGATCGCCCTGAGAAAGGACTTGGACAATGTAAGAGCCAGAGGCCTTGCCTGGCCATTCGCTGCCCTTCGGTCTGTTTGGCCGCCATTCTCTCTCGGTGCCCCTGAAGACAGAGCCCGTCTTTTGTGAAGGCCTGTAGCTCAGCGACAGAGCATCTGCTTTCCATGCAGAAGGTCCCGGGTTCAACTCCTGTTGTCCCCCAGATAGGGATTTGGGTTAAGGTGGCTTCCTGGGTTTTGCTCTTTGAGAATCCACTCCCTACCTCCAACCTTCTCAGCCCAGTTGACTTGAGAGCAGAGCCCCATGACCAACATAAACTGGCTTTATCCCTAGTCACTTGCGCCTGAGTGTCCTGGGAGGGTTGCTGTGATACAAAACAGTTGTGGGAGCTGAGTACATTTAGCCTGTAGAAGACAGAGATGTGATAGGTACAGGTAAAAGTGACAGGATAACATGGAGGTCCCATGGAAGATGGAGGAGGCTTGTTTTCTCCTCCTCTGAAGGTGGGACCAGAACCACTGGATTGAAATGACAAGAAAGGAGATTCTGACCATGTTGCGTTGGCATAGGCAATACGGCCATGTTTGCTGCGGCTGATGGGAATTGTAGCAGCTGAAGACTTCTGGGCGCCTGGTTGGGGAAGCCTGCTCTGATGAGGCAAAGCATTTCCTTTTTTGCAACAGTCCAGGCTTCTTTCTTTTCTTTTTACTTTCTACCAGTTTGGCAGCAGGTCTTTGGATCCTTCCCAGCCTTTCCTGTGCCTTATCACAAATAGCCACGCACTCTCTATTGGGTCATGTAAAATGGCACCAGTCAACTTGGTTTAGCCAGGTTCTCATGTTAGGACAAGGCAGGAACGTTCCCAAAACAGTGACAGTGGATAAGTCTGCCCTCCTTTCAGAGAGCAGTTGACTCAGGAAGAAACTGGGAAGATTTGTTCTGTGCAGCTCCTCCTAGCCAGCCTTTTTCTTCTGGCACTTACTGGTTTTAAAAGACCTCTGAACCTCTCTGTATTCACATAATCCCAGAACATTGTGTGGGAGGAGGAAACAAATGAAGGTTACCTGGCAGGTGAAAACACTGGAGGGGTGGATGTGCACGATGGATCCCTTCTCAGTGTCACTACCCTGTCCCTGGGAGGTCCTCATCTTGGAAAATAGCAGGAGAGGTAGATGTTGGAAATGACACGCACTGTGCTTGTAAATCAAGCTAGCTTTCTGCTTCTCCTTTTGTCTTGATTCCCGGTTGAAAAGGCAGTGCCTTCAGCACAAACCCTTGTTTCAGTATTGGTGGGGTGTCAGCTTACATGCCCCCCACCCCGACCTCTCTCCCCCTTTTCTATATGGAGTGGGTTTGTTGCTTTCTGAATGATGTCAGATATTACCAAGTCTTTATTCTAAATTTAATGTGCAAGACCCAGCCTCAAATCTCAAGTGCCTGCCCATGTATACACCCACTTCTTCACAACTGTTTATTTGCTATTTGCAGAATTGCTGCTTTCTGCTAGGAATGTTTTTTTTAAATAAAAATAAAAATAAATAAAACATGACCGGAAATGGACTCTACGACATTTTGGCTCTCCCACGTTTTGTGTTCCAGGCAGAGGAGAAGGCGGATGCCTTGAACAAGGAACTGCTGATGACCAAGCAAAAGCTGATAGATGCTGAAGATGAAAAGAGGCGGCTGGAGGAAGAGTCGGCTCAGGTTTGGGCCATGGGGCAAGGCGGTGGGGACGGTTAGGCTGCTCTCCCTCCTCTCCGCCAGTGGGAGGGAGAGCAGGCACGGCAAGGGCAGAACTACTGGTTCTAAAGTCTGGCAGCCTCTCCGGGTGGCTTTTCTGTGTTTCTGCCCTTGCCAAACCCAGCTGGATTCCAGATACCTGGGGGGAGAGGAAGGTCTTGTGCCAAAAAGACATTTAGAGCAGGCACTGTGCAAGTCCCTTTCAGGAGAGGGTTCTAGAGTTTTTCAGGGCAGCACCACCAAAAAAGCCTGTCCCTTGGTGCTGCCATCCCCTCCCCAAACAAATTTCAGAAGGAGGGCCCATGTGGGAGATCTTCAGGCTTGGGGGTGAGTGGGGAAGGTACATACAACTCAGATGTGAAGAGTTGCTATGCATCTTTGCTTGGAAGCAGAATGAGAGCTGTTTGCTTTTTTGCCCAGCCCTGATCCCTCCTGGTCTTTCTTTTGCAGCTGAAGGAGATGTGTCGCCGGGAACTGGACAAGGCGGAGTCAGAGATCAAGAAGAACAGTTCCATCATTGGAGACTACAAGCAGGTGAATGCAGGGGTGTTCCAGGTTGCTGGCTGCAAGGGGAAGCCTTCTGCCTTGCTGCAAATGGATGCAGCTCTCAAGAAGGCTGCTCCACCCTGATGCCCTCCAGGGGGTGATGGACTTCAGCTGAGGCTGCTGGGAGTTGTATTCCATCTAGATCAGGGGGTTGGAACATCCTTGCGCATGAGCAGGAGAGGAGAGGCCACAATGGGTAAATGGAATCTCTCTCTGCAATGGCTGTGCATATCGCTTCATATCTGTCTTTTGGCCAAGTCCTAACCACGGCTTCCTCAAGGCCTCTAGCTGGCCATTTGGGAAGCCAGGACCAAGGACTTGAATGGGCTCAGCTGAAGTTCTTTCTCTGTTTTGGTAGATCTGCTCCCAACTGAGCGAGAGACTGGAGAAGCAGCAGACAGCAAATAAAGCTGAGATTGAGAAGATTCGGGTAAGGAGTGCCTCTGCTAGGGCATTGGTTGGGTTTAGCACTAGGCTGAAGGCAGCTTGAATCCCTTGGAGGACATGTGAGCTGAGGGCTGTGGTGCTCAGGTCCTGCTTTCAGACTTCGTATTTGGGCATCTGGTTGCTGAGCCAGATGGGGTCCTTGGCCTGATCCATGCTGCTACAGGCTCTTTTGGCGTCCTCTTGAAACAACCCCTGTGCCATTTTAGGATTGGGCCATTTCTGGGATTGCTCCTTAAAAGCATAATAATATGTTGGAGGTTACCCCTGTTGCTTTTCAATGGTGCTCATCCTGATATGAAAAGGGTGACTCTGAAGCCTCTCATCTCCCTGGGGACCTTCTGACTCTGGATGCCTACCCATCTTGGAATGTGTGAGCAATTTGGAGCTTGAATTATGTATTGCAATTCCATCCTGCCTTTCCTCCTGCAAGCTCAAGGCAGCATACATGGTTCTTCTCTCTTCCACACCCTGAACTTTTATCCTCACAACATCCCTTTCAGGTAGTTTCAGCTGAGAGGCAGTGACTACTAACCCATGGTAACCTCAGTTAGCTTCATGGGTGCATTTAGATTAGGGTCTAGCCTGACACTCTAACCCCCGCAACCATACTGGCTGAAGCTGTGTAACCAGCCATATGAGAGTCAAGGTGTGTTTGTGTGTGTGATGGAATAGTTCTTGGATTGGGGAAGCTGCACTGGCATCTGGAGTGGCTTTCCTCTCCCACAGGTAGAAATTTACCCCTTCCCAATTGAGTCATTCCAGAAGCAGAAAAGTTAGAAAGTCCCATGATCATTAAGTTAAGTTTAAAGCTGCATCAGTTTGGTGTCCATATCAGCTGTCAGCTACTAAAGGTTGCCTCTGGGCAAAACTGCTGCTTTGGACCCAGGCTCCTGCTGCTAACTTTGGGGGGCAAATTATGGGTGTGCCAGGGGCAGGTTGGCACACAGATGCAGGCTGCAGTGGGAACCCTGCCCCTGTGGGTGGGGAAGCTCACAACCTGATCTCCTTGGCTTCAGCAAAAGGTTGACGACTGTGAGCGCTGCCGGGAGTTCTTCAACAAGGAGGGGCGGGTGAAGGTGGCCAGCGTTGCCCGGGAGGGCTCTGAGGAGGACACGGATGAGGAGAAGGAGGCGCTGAAGAACCAGCTGCGGGAGATGGAGCTGGAACTCGCCCAGACCAAGCTGCAGCTGGTGGAGGCAGAGTGTAAAATCCAGGTAGGTCACATTGGGGGCAGTGGGAATGGGGCGGTGCACCAAGCCAGTGCCCCTGCCTTCCTACAAGGGTTTGTAGGCTGTGTCCAAAATGAAGTCCCCATTCTTAAGCTGGAAATTCCCAAATTCTTCTCTTAAATGGTTTCTGGAAACAATGGTTTCTGGAAACAAGATGACGTAGAGCTGGAGTGAATTTTGTACCCCCTGCTTAGGTTTGTTCAAGTGAGGTTGGGGAGGGGGTGGGGGTGGTTGTGTGCACGGAAATTGGGAGTTCTGTGACTCTCCTTTCCTGTTTCCTTCCAGGATCTGGAGCACGACTTGGGGCAGGCGCTGAATGAGGTGCAGGCCTCCCGGAAGACCTGGTTCAATCGAACACTGAGCTCCATAAAGACAGTGACAGGCGTTCAAGGGAAAGAGACGTGCTGAAGGGGCGGCCTCCTCCCATGGCCCACGTTCCCCCTTGGGACACCTTCTGCCTTCCGTTGCTGCCTCGGCCAGTTGCCGATGCTGCTGCCATGTGGGAGAGAGAGGACCAGAATGTACATAGACTCTAGAAACACACAGCGCATGTTGGGGCTTTCCGCAGGTCAGTGGCCCAAGCTCTCTGCGAGGCTACCGTTGCGAGGCTCAGCGCAGGATCTTCATACTACTGATTATTTAACCAGGGGGTGTAGCTGTAGACTGGAAGCTCTTTTCAGAGGGGCAGGGAGGGGGACACACACACACAAAAACACTCCATTCTACAGTCTGGCTGGAGGCATTTCGCAGGCCCAGGTACGAGAATTTACCAAAACCTCAGACTTACTAAGTTTACAGATACAAGAACTTCTTTTTTTTTACAGTTATAACTCTTTAAAAGAACAAAAGGGGAAAAATACTATTTCCAAGAAGTTACTCCAGTGCCAGAGACCAGATCCGCCCTGCCCCCCCCCCCGCCTGAGTTAGTGGGGGAAGAAGCATTTGCATGGTTACCTTTTGGAGCAGGTTCGCCCCCCCCCCCCGCAAGTGTGTCAACACACCTCCCTGTGTCTCTCCTTTGTCCGCCATTTAGTTATTGTGTCACTAATCAATTCTATGCAAGTGGGTTGGAGGAGGGGGAGTGTCATCATTGTCTTTTCAAAGTACCTGTCGCTATTGGAGTCCTCCTTGTCTCCGAGCTATTTAACTTCTAGCGTGGTCCGTTCCACACGTGGTTCATCTTCCAGAGCCATATATAACACATACCTGTATCATTTCAGTGGCCAGGACCTCTGGACTGTGTTAAGCTAAACTTGGGCCCTAATGAAGTCTGCGAGGCTTTTAACTCTCTCCTAACTTTGTCTTGTTGACTTGGGTGGAATCTTCAGATGCTACTTAGCTTAGTTTGGATCCAGCCCATTTGTGAACCAGAAGCTTCGTACTTTTAACTTAACAAGCATTAAGACTGTCTGTTTAACCAGCCTCCCTCGCACTTTCTGGAGAGCGGCTCTGCCTCTGCAGGAGCTGTTATCCTTTATCCTTTATGGTTTTGCACATGGATGGGAAGAGGGCAACACAAAATAAAGGGTGGGGAGGGAAGGAGGGAGCACTGCACTGGCTGCGCTGTTGCTGTGTGCAATGTTTCGCCATCTTTGCATGGGCCTCTCCCAGGCAGAGGCGATTCGTGGCTCCGATGGCCGGCTGGGTTTTCCTTGTTTGTGTGCACCATTCCCGCTGCTGCCGCCATCCCTTCCCTTTCCCTCCACGCTTCCTGTAACTACACCGGTAGGTCCTAGGTCTGCTTGGATTTCTGAGCGCTTAGACTACCCCAAAACGTCTCACCAGAAAAGCTGTAGAATGGAGGTTTTGCACCTTTGTAATTTCTTCTTTTTTAATTTATACTGGTTTGTGCTACGCTGAAATGAAATAGCTATTGTATCAGCGGATAAACTTTTCTTGTGTGCAGTGTGTTTTGAGTATAAGCTGGTTACAATAAGAGGCACTGGTTTGTATATAAAGATAATTTGTATTTCTACGTTATTATTTTTTTGTTGTTGACCAGACTAATGCTAGCTAATGCAGCCTGAGACTACCAGAGGCAAAAAGACCTTGCGGTGCCCAGGAGTTCATAATTTCTCTTCCCCTTAAAACTGTGTACATGAATATCTCGTATTGTTTTAATAATACCAAAAAATAACTGTAACTCCATCATTAATAGATGTGTGGACATTGTAGTAGAAGAGTAGTTTGCAGAGTATAGATCTTTGAATTGATATATAAACTAGTAAAATTGTATTACTATTTTCTTGTTGTCTTTCACTTTTAATGGAAATGTCATCCGCTCAATTTGTCTCTGCTGCGGCCGTAAGAAAGTTAAGAAACGGTTGGGGCATTGGGAAGCGGCCTTCTACACTCAGAGCAGCAGCACTCCAGCGTTTCAGACAAGAGACCTTCCTGTGCTTTACGTGTAGGGATTGAGCCCAGTGCCTTCTGCACACAAAGCAGGTGCTCTGCTGCTGAGCTTTGGTGTTCTTGGTTCCTGGAACCCACCCTCTCCAGCGTCCCAGCTGTGTTCTGATGTGGGAAGAACATCACTCACAGGAAACACATCCATTAAAAGCCCCCCTGCACTGACCCACAGCACTTCGCTTGCACGGAAGCTAACTCCTTGTTTCACATCGGAAGCCCTGCTGGATGGGGCCATGGGGTGGGTGTGTGGGTGTGTGTGTGTGTGTGTGTGTGTGTCAGAGAGAGAGAGAGAGAGAACGTGTCTGTGTGCCTAAGCCTAAAATGGCCTCCAGACTCTTGGCATAGGCAGCACCTTTGAGCACCTGTGCTAAAAGTTCCCACTTTCCTAACCCTGGAAAAAACACATGGCTTGCTGTGTCTGGAAGCCTTGGGGCGGGCGGGCTCGTGTTTTCCGTTTAATTATTGACTAAAAGAACATTGGTTAAATGTTCTACAGCGCTGTTTGGCCTACAGGACACTGTTCTCCTCTCCCTTCATCCTCACCTAGACGGTGGCTCTGCTGAAGGTCTGGTGACTGCATCAGAATTTAGATGGTGAGCTTTGTAGCTGAGCAAGCACTGGAAACACTGCACTTTAATCCTTGGTTACAATTTGAACCCTTTTCAGAGAGGACGACTGCTAAGAGAGTCACTTGGGAAGTTCAGCTGCTGAATGTTTACCCTGACAAGTGGGGAACTTCACATCTCTGAGCACCATTATGGATATATTACAGGAAATTACTAATTGTCATCTATTAACTATCAGCCTGCTGATCTATAGCAGGGGTGGCCAACTCCCAAGAGACTGCGATCTACTTACAGAATTGAAAACGGGGGTTCAGTTTCCCTTTTGGGGGAGTACAGGGCAATGTTGTTGAGCTTTTTTTAGGGAGGAAGAAAGACCCCATTTTTTTGGGGGGGGGGAACGGTCACTCAACAACAGATCGCTGGGAAACAAAGAAAGAGCCTCACTGAGTAAACTCACAATGGTAGACAGGGCGAGGGGGCAGGGCTGGATTCTGTTTTTCAAACACTAAGGGAAGGGACCCAGCGATCAACCACGGTCTACCAAAACCTCCCAGGGATCTACCAGTGGATTGCAATCGACCTGTTGGGCATCCCTGGTCTATAGGATTGCAGGAAGATGCCTTACCCTGAGTATGACCATTGAGCCATCTAGCTCAGCAAACCAGCAATGGCTTTCCAGGGTATCAGGACAGGAGGCTTTGCCACCCACGCCTGGAAATGCTGCCAGGGACTGGGACCTTCTACATGCCAGGCAAGTGCTGTACCACTGAGCTGCACCCCATGCTTTAGCAGGTGCTGAATTGTGCCCATGGATGAAGGAGTGTTTTCTGAGGTGCTTCCAAGGTCCACTTTTCTGCCTGCTTGTGGTACCTTGGCTAGCAGTTAGAGCATTGGCTGCAAAGGATGGCTGTCATCGGGTTCCGTGGTCAATCTGTGCACATGTTTGAAGATTCAGGTTCAACGTGGAATCGAGCCCCTCCTGCCCTGTGTGCGACTCGGGGGCTGTACATTTGTTGATGGGCCTCAGAAGGTGGTGGACTCGCCTTCACTGGAGGTTTTTAAGCAGAAGTCGGAGGGCCATCTGCAGGGATTCTTCAGCTGTGATTCCTGCACTGCAAAGAGTTGTGGTAGATGACCCATCCACCTCTACAGTTCTAAGCTGTCTGTGGACAAACTCTGGCTCCCTCGGCCTGAAAAGTGAGGCGAGCACCACACCCCATAGTCGCCTTTGACTGGACTTCACCGTACAGGGGTCCTTTACCTTTCACACTTCTATTATTACCCTGAACCGCAAGCTGACGTTCACTCACTAGATGCAGCAGCTTCCAAAGCACACACAGGTGTTGTCGGGCCGCCCAGCAGGGGAGATGTGCTGCAGAATTCTGCTTTGTTGCTAATTGCTTAGGAGCCTGTCTCTCCTTCCTCCCCTTTTGAATTTAACAAAGCTAAGAATAGCTTGGAGGCCACCTTGGGGCAGGCAAGGCGGCTGCTTTGTGCAGGAAGAAAGGGTGCCTGCCTGACCAGAGCATTTCAAGGGGCAGTGTTGCTGTCAGGAAGCAGAAGGCATGTGATGCTGGGAGCCCCCAGGGATCCTGTCTTGGTGGGCAGGGAGGGGACAGCCTGCTTAGAGGCTCTGTCTCCAGAGCCCACAGACATAGCAGGCACACGGTGGGGGGGGGGGGTCCTCAGCTGCTGCTCCAGAATCATTTTCGCTGTGCAAAGGCTGGGAGCCCAAAGGTCCTCCACCATCATTTTCCTCTGGGTTCCACTTTTCGGGGGGGGGGGGGAGCAGTGTATATTGCATGTTGTCCCTACAAATTGCTTGCTGACTTCTTTTGTGTGAAACTATACATTTCATGTAATCAATTTTCAGGAAGTATGGCTCATTCAGTGCAACAGGGTCGTCCCCCCAAAAAAAACCCTCTTACAAATCCTTTATTCAGTTTGTCTCAAGTTGCTTTAGCACAGACAGGTGACTGTACGGAGAGCCAGCTGCCTTTCTGGCACCTGATGCACCTTTCACCTTAATTGCATTGAAACCTCTGGCCACAGAATTGCCTCCTCCCCCTGGGAATCCTTTTTATTGCAAGGGCTGCATGTCAGCGGCAGGTAGGGCCAAAGGTGAAAGTAACTGGAGCAACACATCTGAATTTTAACTTTGCACAGTGGGGTAGCTTCTGCACACATGCACACACCCCTCTCTGTCCTCCAGTCACACAAGAGGGAGGCATCACAGTTCAAGAATAGGCAAAACCACTCTGGGTGTGAAGTGGGCTAGGGAAAGGTGTGGCTTGGGCTGAGATCCAAAGTCCAGACGAGAAGGTTGGAGAGATGCATTCTGCCCCTCAACTCAAGGACCCCAACCCGATTTAGGCAATGCACTGCAGCTCAGAGTCTGCAGTGACCGCCTTGACCTTCTGGCGTGCTCTGTGCATGTGATGCAGTTGCCCTGGGCCACAGGAGTATAAGAGCCCAGGGAGAGGAGGCAGGGAGCTGGCAGGCTCATTGGTCAGGCTTGGTGGCCCTGATGTGGCCACAATCACTTTCTTCAACCACAGGACTCTACTGTGTCCCACCAGTTGCTCTTGATTGCCCTTCTGAATTGATGTTGCCAGTCAGCACAGCCAGAGAAACATGTTCTGAAAGTGAGCCAGGATGGCAGGGATTGAGCAGGACACCCAACGAAACATTGAAGTTCATTGGCATAAATCAAAAGGTAAAGGTAAAGGGACCCCTGACCATTAGGTCCAGTCGTGAGGGACTCTGGGGTTGAGGCTCTCATCTCGCTTTATTGGCCGAGGGAGCCGGTGTACAGCTTCCGGGTCATGTGGGCAGCATGACTAAGCCGTTTCTGGCGAACCAGAGCAGCGCACGGAAATGTCGTTTACCTTCCCGCCAGAGCGGTACCTATTTATCTACTTGCACTTTGACGTGCTTTCAAACTGCTAGGTTGGCAGGATCAGGGACTGAGCAACGGGAGCTCACCCCGTCACGGGGATTTGAACTGCCGACCTGCTCGGCAAGCCCTAGGCTCTGTGGTTTAACCCACAGCGCCACCCGCGTCCCTCCAATCAAAAGGTAAGCGTGATTAATTCTATCCTTGAATAATTTAGCCAATAAGTACTAGGAGCATAATAGAAAGATGCATCTGTGGAGCTTTTAAACTTTTTTTCATTTGGTTCCCCTTGGCTTGCAAAACACCTGTTTTGATTTGGGTCACAATCTGGAGGAACTTGCAGGGCGTGTTTTTAGCACTGTGGAATCCGGCGGAAGGAGAAGTTGAAGTAAAGTATGACTTCGTCACGCAGAAAAAAGGAGAAAAAGCTATGAAAATTGGCCCTTGCTTAATAAGCAGCCTCGGAATAAGATGGTGGTGTGCAGAACAGGTAGCTGCTTAACAGAATTTTCACAGCACATATTTCAAGGGTCCATAAGTGTGGGGCAGAACATGCACCTGTTTGAGATCATGGCTAAGGCTGCCGGTGACCCAGGAAGTCTTCCTGACTGTATCGCTGAAAGCAAGTGACTTCTTTACCCCATTTGCTCTCTTTACCTGTTGTAGGCAGTGATGCTAAATGTTTGCTCCAGGCCACCTAGGTAGCGATCATAAAAGACCTGTATATAAAAAACCCACGTGGCACATACTTTTATGGACATACCATTCTGTCATGACCAATAGCCTTCATTTTCTTTTGGTGTGCTGAGAAAGGGGAGGAAAGCAATTCTGAACTACTCAGAAATCCTTTCCCGCAATGCCAGCTTGCTGTGAAGTGGGACCGGTGAGGGATGTGGCTTGGAGAGAGAGCAAGGGGACCAGATAAAGAGAGCAGGTGAGATGGATTGGGCCAATGAGCCGGTGACTCCCCTTGTCTTGGATGCCTGTTCCCCTTGGAATAGTCTTAGTGAAATACCTAATATCAAATGGAATTGGTAAACATTGTAAAACCAGAGTTTGGTTTTCCAGCTGTGTCCTGAGGGCATGGCTTAAGTACACCCTGTCTGTGGTACAGAAATGGTCAAAGTCATAAACCGCCTCTACTGGCTCTTAATTTATTGCCATACTTGTTGGGTTTTTCACGCTTCATGTCCCATTAATTCGATACCTGCACCTGGTTTTGAAGATCAGTCTGGGACAAAGCTTCTGCTGATCTCCATAGCTATCTGGCTTCACCTGCAGCTGCTTCCCTCCTCAACTGAGACTTAATTGGCCCACCATACAAACAAATCTCCTGGGTAGCTTGTACTTCCTCATCCTCCCTCCTGTGCTTAGTGATCTGTACAGTCCAGGTTTATTTACCCACTGGCCAGTGCAATGTGAATGTTAAGCAACCCTAACTTTTCAGTAGGCAAAATCTATACTGGTTATATGCCTGTCTTTTTGCCATGGAGGACACTTCTTAGATCCAAGCATGTGCACAAAGCAGATCCAGACCGACCAGTAGACCATGGTGTGAGCAGCAAAGGCTTTGGACTCCAAACTAATTAACAATAAGCACAGCAAAGCAACTTTCCCCACTTAAATTTGTTTAGTCGTTTAGTCTTGTCCAACTCTTCATGACCCCATGGACCAGAGCACACCAGGCACTCCTGTCTTCCACTGCCTCTGCTGAAATGAAAAAAGCTAACCAGGACTGGATTTTCGTGTTGAAAGGGCTGTGTGCCTCAGTTCAGTTCTTTCATGCTATTCTTAAAGTCTAACTTTGTATCTTTTGCAACCATCTCTTGTTTTCAGGTCATGGAAGGGAGCCCAGGGTAATCTAGTCCAATTCACTGCAGTGCAGGATTCGCAGCTAAAAATCCCTGACACAGGGCGATCCAACCACTGCTTAAACGCCCCCCATGAAAGAGAGCCCACCACCATCTAGGGGCATCATTTTCTCTGTTGAACAGTGCTTAACCTCAGGAAATTCTTCCTAATGTTTAGTAGGAATGCCCTTTCTTGCCATTTAAATCCATTGGTTTGGGTCATACCCTCTGGAGCAGAGTCCTTCAGCCCTTCAGATATTCGAAGGAGACTCTCATATCACTTCTCAGTCTCTTCTCCAGGCTGAACGTACCCAACTCTCTCAACTGACCCTTGATCATCTTGGTTGCCTTCCTCTGCACCTGTTCCAGCTTATCAGTATCCGTCCTAATTTGTGGTGCCCAGAACTGGACATAGGACTCCAGATGGCGTCTGCTTTTTCTAGAAAAAGCAAAGTAGGGTTGACCAGCTGCCAGTCCCTGCTCCTATACAACCACAGAACAAGGGCAGGCAGACTCCACTGCTTCTTTCAATTGCAAGGGGGCTCTGGTCTGCTAGAGAAGGGCGTGTGCTGCTTGCCTGCCCTGCATCGCCCAATAAAGCAAGGACAGCCTCTGCCACCAATAGGGTTGTGCACCTTATTGCTCTTGCATAGTGATAATGGTTTCAAATTGAGGGTTTTTTTTAAGTAAAGTAGGGATACAGATGCTTGAAGGAGAGAACGAGAAGCAGGCTTTTTTTTATAAAAGAAAAAAAAAGAACACACACAGAAGTCATTGGAGGAAATGAATAACTTAATGGTTTCCCAGCCTGGGCTGACTTACAAGCAGAAGCTGGCCGGCCAAGGTTATAGCACGGGGCTCGTTTGCTCTCAAAGTGGCAGGGCAGAGCAACGCCAGGAAGGCAGCCAAGCTGTGTGCGGTCAGAAGCTCCCCTAAACACCAAAGAAACATTGCTGCAGTTTTTGGACTCCTGGCCTTTAGGAGGTTTGTGTTGTGCTTCCTATCACACACACCAAGTTCCCTTGCCAAACTCACCCCTGGTTACAGCTCCTTGTGGTAGCAATATGGATTTATTTTTGCTGCTGCTGTTGGGGTTTGTTTTTGTGTTTGTTTTGTAACTTGCCCACAACTAAATGCTCCAGCGTGTGGTTCCAGGCTAGACTGTATCTCTTCAAGCTGCAGGAATGAATTAGAATCAGTGTTGGGAGGGGTATCAGATGGTTACCTAGTCTAGCCCCCACTCTTACCATGTCCTGGACAGGCAGTTGTTCAGCCCTTGCTTGAAAATCTCCAGCTAAGGAGAGCAGCCTTCTGAGGCACAGTCTGTTCCAGTGCCAAACGTTTAGTCTAAAGTCTGTTTTCCCCTTGCAGTTTGAAGTTGGGTCCCATTCCCTCTGGAGCAACAGAGAATAGACTCTGGTGCAGCATCTACAGAGCATCTCTGCACATGGCTTGCATCTCACCTCTGGAAGGTCTCTTCCCCAGCCAAACCTGTTCCTACCTCAAGTAGGAACTGTTGCAGGCCCTTCCCCGTGGTGCTGCCTTGAATTATGAATGTTGTAGCTGGAGAACATGGATTGAGGTGCAGAAGGTAGACTTCCTGGGATGGGGGAGGGGTAGAACATGACACATCACTGCGTGACCCACTTGCTTGTAGCATGATTCTTGTATGAAGGCTGTAGAGGTACATTTTTCTAAGTAACTGGTGTTGGGCACCAGGGGGCACCAAAGGCACCAGGGGGGCACCAAAGGAGTATTTGTGTTGGGGGTGTGGCATTGGAAGCCTGTGCGAAGGGAGACCTACACCCCACAGCTGACTCCACTTCCCATAAGCAAACTGGGGGGGGGGGGGGGCAACAGCTGTGTGTTTCCAAGGCTGAGGTGGGCAGCCTTCAGCCTTGCCAGGCTGGTTTGGGGTTTTTCCTCTCTCTATCTTATGGGGGAGGTCAGTGGCATTAGATGTGAAGAGACAGTTCCAGAAATTCAAAGTTGCAGAGATAAAGAGGTAATTCTCCTTATAGCACAGGGTCTTCTTCCCACTTCACTTTTCTAAATTCTGCTGCCACAGTATGCAACATTTTAAAAATTGAACCCAAGAGCAGCTTCAGAGCCCTCCTGCGACATTTGGACAGTTTATTAAAGGTTCCCATCCAGCACCAACCTTATTAACCTATGAGTTAAACACTCATTCTCCACGCCACCCTTTCACCCCCACACAGGAATTAATCTGCTCTATTTATAAACATGTTCTCTGCTGACTAATGTTTCTTTTTAAATAGTAATAATAAAAACATCAGAGCATCAGTTAAGTGATCAGATTTAATTATTGATAAGAAAACATTCATTTCTTATTCATGACAGTTATTATGGGACATCCTCTTCTGTTCTTCAGAAGCCAGCAATGAGGGTGGTGGTTTCAGCACAAGCCCAGAAAAGGGTGTGTGGGTTATGGCCTGTGGAAGCACCAGTCCCCCACCTCAAGGACTGCAGCGTCTAAAATGGGTGGGGATTCAGTGCCAGAAAAAGTTTGGCAGCTTCAGCACAGGCTGCTTTAAAAGGGGGGAATTAGGCAGACTCACAGAGTGAAGGTAAGGCTTTTTCATCATTATAACTGCAGATGCCCAAAACAGAACCATCTAGAGGTCACCCGCTGCTAAATTACTGGGTGCTGGGGACCAGGGTTTGCCACCAGCAGGGTGGGCTCTGGACTAAGAGAGTGTTGGGGAAACTGGGGACTCCAGCTGTCATCAGCCCCCAGCCACAGATTCCCCACCCAGACACAAAACAGGCTACTCTCTGGTCCAGCTGTGCTGCTTTTAGGTCATTCAGATGGAACACAAGAGAGAGACAGAGAGCTCTAAATTGAGGGCTGATCAGGATTTTTCAGTGAGGACAACAGTAATTGAACCACCTGCTCAGAAGTGTGTTAGGAACCAGGTCACCCTATTGGGGTCCACCCAGCTCCTACGCTGATTGACAAGGGCTCTCCAGGGTTCCCAGGCCCATGTGGAGATGCCATGGGGATTCAACTGGGACCTTCTGCATGCAAAGCAGGCACACTTCCACGAAGCAGTCCTCTGAATGTGCCTGCCTCAGTGCTAATGGTGTCTTAAGACAAAATACAAATAATATTTTCCTTACGGTCAATTCCTTGAGCAGGACATTAAAACACAACTTAAATTGGTATTTAACCAAAGAAATAAATATGTAAAAAAAAAAAGAGAAAATCCTCCCTGGATATTTACATTCCATTTCACAAGTGAAAAAAACTACAGAGGAAAGCCTATTAACAGTAAGGTGCAGTGAAACAGCAGCATGGCTCAAAAGGAAGTAACAGAAACATTCTCTAGGCCAATAAATAGAAATGCTATTTCTCTTCCAGCCACAGTTCAAGCCTAACTTTATAAACAGAAGTCCAGAATGGCTGGAAGTGTGATTTCTATTAAACCTCCTGAGAAGCAGGTATAGCAAGGATTCACTTGCTATGGAGATATACCCCCCAGGACACAGCCTGCAGAACTCATCCCTCACAAGCTCTGCTGGAATAAGAGGGCTGCTCTTGCCCCCGACCCCCCAAAAAATTCCAACAGGACTTGAGGATTGGCTGCATTGATAATATAAGTGATACACCCGTCCTTGCAAGGGGGGGGGGGCAGGGTTTGCAAGGTAGGCTTATTGCTCCCATTTTATAGGAAAGGGCTGGCTCTTAACCAAAGCCACACAGAAGACCCACTGCTGAGCTATAATCTGAAGCCAAAGGTTCTGCACTCTCTTGCTAGCAATTGGGCTGGATTCACCCCTAAGGAATTTGTTTGTTCCCCATGGACCCAGCGCCCTCCGGTGGCACCCTTCAGGCCGTGAGGTTTATAGGGCAAATGCTAATGGAGACGGGGGCAGCAGCAGCAGTGGGGGCACATTTATTTGCAGGTGAAAGAGCCTATAAGTTTCACAAAGTTGTGCATTAGGAGTGAAGCTTTCTTAACTCCCCACCCCCCACCCCCCCAAAAAACCCATCTATAAACCAGGAAACTTCCCACCCCATTGCTGCAATCCAGGGGGCGGTTGGGCGGGGGGGGGGGGAGTGGAGAGAGAGAGAGAGAAAGTGTTCCCTTCCATTGCTCAAATTCAAAAGCCCAAACTGGAGTGCCAACAATTTGACTGGAGCAGCTAGGCCAGTGCTCAGAATGCAACCCCCCCCCCCAACCCTCTTTTCGACAGGGTGGTTCCTTTCTTGGTGAAATGCAGAAGTAGCCAAACGACATTCTTTTTGTACATCTATTGCTGTGGTTTTAAGGGTTGTATTGCTTTTTGGGAGTTCAGGAAAGTTGAGAATTAAAAAAAATACAAACGAGCTTTTTTCTTTTCTTTTCCCTGAAAGAGAAAACTAGAGAGTCCCAAATCTGATTGCTGAAGGCCGCCCCCCGCTCCCCTCCTCCTTCCAAGTCTTGCTTTTAAAAACCGTTTGTTGGAGGGGGAAAAAGCACCTTTTTCCGAACCGCATAACCTGTTTGCTCTAGAAGTCAGAGAAGAAATCTTGAGGGCCCAAGTGAATGATAAAAGGAGCCATGTCGAGAGGTTGGCAATAAGGGCCGTCAATGAAAAAGCCACCTACAGCAGAGAGAAGAGCAGAGAAGCAAGAGGAAGAGAAACCGCAGGTTAATTAAAGAAAAGGGAAAAGTAGCGAGCGCCGCTTAAATTTCTCTGCTCTTTCAAGCTGTAAGTGGGATTTTCATTGCAAAATGGGCACATTTTTTGGATACCTTTTTGGGGTAG